CTTGACGCTTTCCCAGTGCCCAGCTGACCTATCATTATGCCGGGCCAGCGATGATGCACTACATCCGCCAGGCAAGGAGTTGGAGTTCAACCATAATTCTTAACCCCAAACCGATCATTAGGCCTACGCACGAAGACGACCCCTGATCCGGATCCTGATCGGATCCGAGGCAGACGCATATATCACAAATCGAGAGTTATGGCCGCGGAATTCCAGCACGTATCAATCTGAAAAATGTTGCAAAACAACCTTTTGCATATAGAGTCGGTCGGTCTGTTTCTGGATCTCTGGCCGATCCCTGCCATAAATCAGTTAATCCTAGTGCCGCTGGGCACTCGGATGTGCATATTCATGAGTTTGATTGAACCCATAAATCAGAGCCAAACCTATGGGGACCTTTGGCGAGCTTGTGAACTCGGATCTTGGCTGTGGCAGCTGGAGTGTGTTGTGTTTGAGCTTCACCTGCTCCGTTGACCCCTTGGGATCAGCGGAGAACGGTTGTGCCAGAAAACTTAATTAATTTGACACATATCAAGGGAGCTATAGCACATGAATATGAATGTTTTGTAGTTTTTGCCACCAAAAAATAAAAGGAAGAAATGCGCTAATGAAGCTAAAGCTGGGAAATGTGTTTTGACTCGCCGTTTTTTTTTTGTTTTGTTTTTTTTAGACCCCAAAAAAGTCCGTTGAGAGACCGCCAAAAACAGTCGTCGCCAGGCCATAATTAATCATGCAACAACATTCTTTTCTGGCTTTCTGGCCTAGAGTTCCGCTGTGTCTTCTGTTACCTTTTCTTCTCTGCCGAACCGGACAGGCGAACTAACTGAACTGAAAACGCAGTTAGCAGCCGCAGCAAGAGCGCAAAAACAAAAGCAGAATGGCCATAGCTGCGAGTGATATTAACATATCATTATGATAGCCATTAGCACATTTAATTGATGAGTTTTTGCTGCTGCCTGCTGCCTGCTGCCTGCTCCTCGGATCCCAATCCCCAGATCCGAATAGTATCCATCCAAACCCGGTTGCCAATCATTTGTCAAATGGTAAAAAGCCCGACGGAGTCGAGAACATCGAAAATGGCCGCGGGTCAGCCAAGTTGAGACTGTAAGAGCTTCGGTGGTCGTCTTCTTTGCCGCCGGATTGCCCAAAGTCCGAATTTGTGTAAAAAAAAAAAACAATGAATGGGGTGAATGTGTGATGGAGTTGTCCAAAAAGGCCAATAGATTTCTAAACCAAAAAGCAAAATTATAAAGCTTCGTTTTTAGTAAGATACAAGTTTAAATTCATTCATATTTATTCCTTAAAAGTCATCGGAATTGTGATTAAAATTATTATTTATGCAACTGAGTTGTCAGAACACCTTTACCCTCTTTATATATATTAGAAGATATCACTTTCATTATCTAATAACATTAATTTTTATCATCTCATCATACTTAATCATATTTATTGTTAATCTACTTACTTTTTTGAGAAATTAAAGACCAGAGATTGTAAAATTCGTTGATGCAGGCAACCTATGTGAATGTTTCCACCTAATTATTGGAAATTTTAGCACTTAAGGGGACAAACAAACTATTCCTTATCATTTTCTTTTTATATGTATTCCAATTGCTGTTTTTTTCTGTGTGCTTCACATTGAGTAATCCACATTAAATAGCGAGTAGAGAAGCAGTGTAGAAATTCATTGATGAATTCTGAAGCCGAGCCTCAATTTAAGTTAATGGATCCGCTCGCTCTCAGTTCCGAATCATTATGGGATTGCGGCTATCAATTAGCGAATGAGGGTGAAAATTGTTTTAGACATTTAGCCAGATATTTACACCTTTCCCCTCAATGGTGTCGTGTTTAGGTTTTTACTTTTTTTTTGTTGTGATTCATGTTGCATGTTTTGTTTTTTTTTTTTCCTTAATTCTAGTTGGAAATTCCAATGAAGTTGCTCCCCAAAACATGCAATTAAATGCCACAAATGTCTAAGAACGTTTACCGTTAGACGACGAGGTCCCCAAGGAGCCAAGTTAGTAGTGTGGCCTCGAGGTAATTCTACCTACGATTCGGGGCCCTCTTCAAAGGGTTCTTCTTTGATATTTCTTTACCCAAAAGAACACGCCTCCCCTTTGGCACATGTTGGACACAAGCCGTGGACCGCGGGTATCCGCCTCCAGACGCGGCTCCAATTAGGCGGCAAAGCCAGTCAAGGATGCGCCTTCTGGACAGGATGTGTTAGAAGCCGTCGGCAGGCGAAGTCTTGGCCAGCGAAAGTTGGGACGACTCTGGCCCCCGGCGGTGGCCTTAACGGAAATGGAAATGATCGTAGCAAGGCAGGACAGGAGGAGGAAGAGGGGATCCCGGGGGGATCTCTCTCTGGACCAGGCAATTAGGCAGCGCCTTCGCGGACGTGAGCGAGCCGAAAGTGCCAGATACATCAAAAGTGAACGCAATCCATCATCTGGCGAATCACGGCGTGATGAGAGCAGCGCCGACAACTTCCCCCAGCTCCCAGTTCCATCCTTATGACGGACATGGCTTATGATGATGACCAGGAGAGTGGCGCGTTCGCAGCACGAGCTATAAGGGTTCCCTTTGCCGTTAGATAATCGAGGGATTGGATGGGGATCCCTGGGCAGGCCTGGAGATTGCTGCTACCTCAAGGTCACAATTAATTGGTCACAGAAAGAGTCTTTCTAACACCGCCGCCTGATCTACATTCGGTGGAGACGGTGGAGGAACGAACAAGGCGCAGCAATTAAAACAATTACAGGGACTCTGTCTGGCCTGGTGAGGAGAGGAGCTGGGAGAGCTCTTCTTCACTGGAATCGCACGCCCATTAGCGACAATCAATCTCGACCAAAGCTCCACTTCCACTTCCCCAAAACTCAGCAAGTCTGCGTCTTTTTCTTCAGTTTTATACTTTGCCGCGCGAATCGCATAGTTTCCTCTCTTTTACTTTTTATTATTTACGAATGCCACTTGCCAGATAACCCATAATTATGAAATTATTATTGGAGCGCCAAGCTCGAGATCGAGACCGAGACTGAGACCAAGACCCGCCAGTCTCCGGCACAGCGAAATGTATCTTTGGTGCCGTCGGAAAAGCAGAAACCATTTGGTGTTGCGGCGGCACAGGAAGTTTTCTTGTTTTTTTTTGGTTTTTTCTTATACAAAGCCTCGGGCCCTGGAAGTTGCAAACAAAAAATATATAACAAATTTAACAACAAAAGCAGCCAGACCACCTTCAAATTTGGTGTCGTTCGATAAAGAAATTGAGATACCAAAAGGAGTATAAATTTCCAAAATAAAACAACGTACTACTTGCTGCTTAATTCCTCCCTCATCTGTGAATTAATATTCAGTTTTATATGCAAAACTGCCGCAAGGAAAAGCAAACAAAGTGTCCGAAAAGCGGGAAATAATGAAAAATTTCGGGGCAAATATAGGATCCTACGTTTTGAATATTTATTAAGGTCTTTTACGATCCTGTATCCTGCACATGCCGTTATGAGGGTTCTCGACTTTTTAACCAAGAATGTCCTGCGGCAGGCAGGAGGGGAACCTGTTTGTTACCTTAATTTTTAGTGAAGCTTCAAGCTAAAATAATTAAAACCTTTTTAGGGTCAAGTGTCGTCTATCATATCTATTACTTGGGTAAACATGTATAACTTTAAAGGGAGGGTATTTATTCAAGTACAAAGACATTTCCAGTAAGACTGTCACTCACATTAATACATAAATTCATGTTTATTATTAATGATAGTTTTTTAAACGAAAACTCCTTAAGAACTCTGCACGTAGATCCATCCATCCAAAGCCCAACCACAAGAGGCCGACGGACAATGAGAAAAGATGGCGATGCTGCAGTGCGGCCATGGAGGGGGGAAGGCCAAGAGGCAGGAGCAGGAGCAGGAGCGGGAACCAGAGGATGGGGTGTGGGGATGATACTTTGAATGCGAGCAGGAGAGAGATGTTCATCGGAACGCATGTTCTTTGAAAATTGCCCATAATTATGCGAACGAACTTCAAACTGATTGTTTCTACCGGCAGCGCACCGAGAACTGGGAACTGCCAAGGAACTGAGAACCCAAAACGGACTCAGACTGAGGCTCAGATTCAGTAGATCCATGGACCAACCGGGCCACGCTGTCCGAAAAACGGGCGACTGCTGCATGCAATGTGGCTGAGGGATCCCGAGATCGGGATGGGCCCGGGTCTGGGTCTGGGTCTGGGGTAAGGCTATGTGCCCGCTTGGTGGACTGCAGTGAAAGAGAATGACTGTAATTACGCATCACTTTTTCTTAATTTTCATGCAGCATCTTGTGGGCTCTTCCTACTCCTCGTCGTCAGAATGGTGGCCATCTTTTTGTCGCTGGGAAGTAGAGAAGTGGAGAAGTGGAGTTGCCAACGTATTTGGACACTGAACTTGACCCACAAGACGAGTTTGTGGCAGAGTTTTAGAAAATTGCTCGTTGCGTGCATGCGAGCGAGCGACTTGAAAACATTTTGCGTGCTGTATTTTGTGTTGTCCGTCGCTTCCTTCAATGAGAAATCTAATTTAAAAGATACAAAATTTTAAATTATGGGGTTTTCTTGGCTGCCAAAAATGTTTCTTCTTCCTCTCCTGCCCTTCTCACATGCTCATATAACATATATATACATATGATTGCTTCTACGTGCTGCGAACGAAGAGTCTGAAGTATTTTTTGGGATGCGGATGCGATGGATGCCATGCTGGCATCGCACCGATACGCAATTTCGTGGCGGAAATGTCAAAAGTGGGGCTCCAGCTGCCTTAGATTGTGGTTACATAACACAATTGTGGCTGAGAACGCGATGCTCTTCTTCGGTATCTTGAAAAAGGGTTAAATGCAAAAGTAGAATTTGAAAGTTTAGCGGGCGATATCTGTTGATATCGATATCGATAGCAACAGGAAGGAATTTGCTGATTTGGCAGCACTGCCATTTTAAAGGCGTTTTATGTCGTTTCAACTTCAACGTTAAGCAGCCACACTGGACACTGTTATTGTTTTTAGTTGTAATGTGATAGTTTTGTTATGTTTACATTGTTTTTGATGTAACCGCCTGAACGTCATGAATGACACCCCCGCCGGCATGCCGGACCTGGCCAGCGTCTCCTTTGCAGACTTCGAGCCAAAGGCGGCCGAGGGCGATGTGGATGTATCCTGCTTCCCGAGTTTCCGGCAACAGGTGAAACACTCGCTGGATCTCTCGCTGGGCCAGAAGTCGTCGGAGAACCTCTTCGCCGCAGACCAGACGCCCACGCCGACACGGCTAATCAAGAACTGCGATGAGGTGGGGCTGTTCGAAGACCTGCAGCACGTGAATCCCTTTGATATCGGGTTCCAGCGGGCTGCGGAGCAGAATGTCTGCGGCAGCACTCCCAGTCGCCCAGAGGCGCCGCCTGTCGAAGGTGAATCCCTGCACACGCCGCAGGTGTACCCCATGGAGGCGCCAGCGCCTGGAAATACACACAGCGACAGCTGCAGCAACGTGGACGTGGAGCAACTGTTGGCTAGCACGGAAGCCACCACCGAACAGCAGGCAGAGACAGGGCCACCGCCGTTACAGCTAATCCAGCCGCAGGTCATCACTTGGGTGCTGCCAACGCAGACAATCAATCCCCAACCGCCCGCGGATTCCCAGCGCATTAAGACTTCAGTCAGCAGCAGCAGCCGCCCCTACATCCTGCCCAAGCCGAGTTCAAGGTCATCTGACGGTGCCAGCAAGCGGCCAGATCCCATTCTCGTATCATGCAATCCACCGCTATCAGCTCCAGAGCCGAGCAGCGCTAGCCTGACTCCCACCTCCCAGTTGCCCATCAAGGAGCGCCTCAAGGCCATCCTGCACAGCAATAACAACAACAGCAACAGACGTAATTTCTCGACCCCCTCGAAGGCGACGATGCCCAAGGATAAGAGTCGGGACGAGGACTGCATGGAGAGGCGGCGGGCAGCTGCCAGTCGGTATCGCAACAAAATGCGGAACGAGCACAAGGATCTGCGGCAGCAGAATGCCCAGCTGCAGCAGGAGAACCGGGAACTGCTGGAGAGAATCGCCCGGCTAGAAAGGGAGCTGCAACAGCATAAGAGTCAGAGCGCCTTGGCCGGTGGTAAGACCAGAGACTCATCTCTTAATAGATCTCCTCGACTTTTGCCTAATCCCTGCTGAATCTTCCAGCAATGGCCAACCAGCTGCAGATTCCTCCCTCCAGCATCCATTTGCTCATCAATGTGCCCAATATGCTAGTGCCTTCGCCCGCGGACAGGAAGTGAGGCCAAGAAGATGCCTTTATTTATTTTATTTTCGCGATGCCATGTAAATATTCCTAGCTTAGAGATTTATTTGTACCTTAAGGCCGCCATTTGTTATGCTAATTAAGATTAGGAGACATTGCCCCTACGTCCCTTGGTCGTCAGTGTTGCCTCTGAGCTTACAATGTCGGTGAACTCGCGCTGGATGTCCAGTATGGAGCTCTCAATATCCGCCAGCTGGGGATAATGTGGCGCAGCAGAAGAAGTGGTTGGCGTGCGTAGCTGTTCCATGGTCATCTGAATATAGGAAAGAAAGAATAGGTACAATAACTCCTAGGGAGAAAAAACCTCTTGCGCTCACCTCTTTAAGATCCTGCTGCAACTGATTCCGCTGCCGGCATAGCTTCTGGATGTTGTCGTAGTACTTCTGGGCCAATGGAGCGCCTCCCGACTCCGAATAGTAGCGCTGCGCCAGGAGCTCCATCTCCTGGTTGCGTATTTCGTCCTCAGCCAGCTGCATCTGCTGGTTGTTCCGGCGACGCTCACGCTCGATGCTGTGCATCAGCAGATCAATGTCCTTCTCCATTTCAATGACCTTGCGTCGCTGCTCGGACTGCTGCAACTTGCTGATGACCTCGCTCTTGCGATGACGCACCTCCATCTGGTAGGTGAGCAGCATCTTGCGCTGGCACGTGATGCGCTCCTCCTCGCGGTGGATGGTGTCCTGGTAGAGCTTCTCCATCTCCTTGAGGCGCCGCGTATGCTCCTCCTGCTTGAGGCCGTTCTCCAGCCGCTCCATGATATGCACCTCCTCCAGCTCGAGGTGCCGGATGCGGGCATCGATCTCCTGGTTGTGCTTCAGCAAAGAGACGGCCTGCTCCTCCTGCTGATCGATCCACTCGCTGGGATACTTGAGGAACTTGGGATACACGCCACTCGGAATGGCCTCGAAGGGTTGCATGAAACGCTGCGGATGCAGGGCAAGCTCGCATCTGCTCATTATCCTGCGGGCCTTGGAGAGCAGCTTACCGATGTCCAGCGGGTTCTGGTCGTGGAAGAACGAGAGCACGGATCGTTGGTCAGGCAACCGTATGATAATCTCGCGATTGAGCAGATTGTAGGCCACCACCAGGAAGATGGGAAACCAGGGCGGCTCCGAGGCAATGTTGTCCCACAGCACCAGCCACTGTTGCTCCTCCAGGATCTCGGCGAAGGCACTGCTTAGCAGCGGCCAGGCATAGTCCTTGGGCAGCACCTCCTGCGCCTTGTAGAACTTGCATAGGCGCTCGTCCAGGTGCTGCAGGAGGTTCTCGCACAGGGCCAGGTAGTTGGCGGGAGGCAGAGGATGGAACTCGAACCACAGCTGGAAGTGGTTCAGGATAAGGGTGGCCAACACCTCGAAGGCGATGAGACCGTTCTTAGGCAGCTGTTTAACGAACGGATAGATCAAGTGCGGCATGAAGTCGGCATGGGCCAGCACCTTGCACCACTGGGCCAGGCAGCTCCAGATCTTGATCACAGATCGCTTCTGCGCCTCGTTGCGAATCTTCAGCTTCTTGGCTTTGTTCCGAACCACAAGCGGCGAACCCAACTTTAAGAGTGCCTGAAACTGCGAACCATTGCAGGGCAGCTCCATTAGAGAAGTCCAAATCAGGAACCTGTACTTCTCCGGATAGCATCCGTACTCTTTGAGTATGCTCCGAAGCCGTTGTGGCTTCAGCAGATGGCGCAACTCCGGATTCATGCATCCGCTGGCACTGGAGGAGGCCAGCGGCAGGGGCAGAGGAGCCGTATTCTTCAAGGCCGTGGCCTTGATGTGGTTGAGGCAACGGGTCTGTACCTGCAACCCGTTGAAGAGGCGGCATGTGGACCACACATTGACCTCCCCGCCGCCGGAGATTATGCTCAGCAGCTTGCCATCCTTGCTCAGACTCAGGCTGATTGCATTCGAACGCTGGACGATCAGCTTGTGGTCTGTATTGGCCAGGTCCAGCATGACGGCCTGATTCCTACCCGTGATCCCGAACACCACACGCTCTTTGGGCTGGCTGAGGAAGGCAAATTGACGGAGCACTAAGTCGGTGAGGCGGAAGATCTTCTCCAGGTCGAAGGATGCCGTGCTCAGGAGCAGCAGGTAGCCGTCGACGGTGCTCAGGCACATCTTGTTGCCGTCGGGAGTGAAGCAATAGCTCATCAGCTTGCCATCGGCAAAGTCGTGGTCCTGGCAGTCGAATGTGAGATCATTCTCCAGGTCACTGTCATTGGAGCCACGCAGAGAGATCTCCGGAATGGACTCTCCTGCCGGCAGCAGTCTGAGCCTGCGGTCCTTGGCCTTAATGGGTTGGGCCATCCGGAGAGTGCTCAGCGTATGCGAAGACCAAACATGCAGCGAGTCGTTCGAGAAACCGATGAAGAACTGGTCCGAGTTGGGCAAAAACGCAGCGAACTTTAGTGTGTAGCGCGACTCGTCAAAGTCCAGCTGATGGGAGACCTGGAGCGACTGGAGATTGGCCAGGAGGGCCGTGCGACCGAAGCGCATCAGGACGTTGGCGGCGCGGGGATTTCGCAGGCGATTGCCGAACGTGATCTCGTCGGGCGGCGTATTGCCCACCTCGCTCTGGCGCCCCAGAATCGAGTTGTCCACATCAATGATGAAAATATGGCCCAGCTTGTTGCCCACTATGTAGTCGCTCCTGTGCTGCGGCGACGGACGAATAACCCTGACCTTGGGGATCCGGAAGCTCAGACGCCAGTAGCGTTTGCTCACAAAGTCAAAGACAAAGATGTTGCCACTGAGAAAGGGATACAGATATAGAATTCAGACTCCATCTCCTCCTGGATGTCTTACCGCTTGTCGATGACCACCAGTTTGTTGCTCAGCTCATTGAAGCAGCAGGCGCCGATTTGGATGCGCATCTGCTGACCATCCTCCTTGACTGTATGGTGTACGGTGAGGATGTTCCTGGGCGAAGCAGAGTTGTCAGAAAAAGGATTTAGGTGCCTCTAAGAGCGCAGACTTACCCGGATTCGTTGTGCTTCAGCTTAAAGGGATACTTGCGTATCGTAGCATCGTTGGAGGGCAATGTTCGAGCGGTGTTGGATTGCGTGATGGTCACATCAGTCTCCTCAGATTCTACAAATTCCTGGTCACTGAACTCCTCAAGTTCTAGATCCTCCTCGGTTAGCACCTCCTCCACATGCATATCTCCATAGTCCTCCTTCTGCAATGTGTCGCCTCCGATGCCATGCAGACTCACCGAAGGAATCCCCGTAAAGTCCTCCACTTTTATTTCCTCTTTTTTTACAATCCTATCCATTACAATTTCAATTTAATTACTAATTTTACCAACTCATCTGTCAAAGGACCGACATCGAAGTGGCAGTCCCAAATCCGGACATGGGCGTAGCCAGAATTGAGGAAAACTTAAGTTGGGGGAACTTTAAAGTATTTTAAATTAAACATCCAGTTGGATAGCCACAACTATATTTCTTGATTCATTCATTCTGAAACTAGATTAATGATGCGTAAAACCCTCTAGATACGCCCTTGGAATGAACCACTTGTTATCGGAGAGCGTTTTGAGTGTGGAACTAGCAAATTAATCGGAACCAGAATTGAACTAATATTTACTACTGTGTTTATTTTGCTTGCGTTATGTTATCTGGATACACTGATAATATGAGATTGGCTGAATGACTGTAGAAAATAGCCAGGTTTCCAGCTGACCTCCTGCTGGGCGGTTACTGGACTTCACGTTTCCTTCCGATCCTCCCTAGAACATGCTGCCGTATGGCTCTTCATCGCGCATGGCATAGCCGAAGATGGTGCCGTAATTTATGAGGTTACTAATTATCGTCAGAGTGCACGCCGTCCAGGTGATCTGAGAATTAGGTGTGTGGGAATTAGAAGCTTGTGCAGCATTTAATACAAAGAGTACTTACCACCGAGGAGTGGGCGAGGACGATGGGCAGGGCGAAGGCGCTCAGCACCATGCCGGCGGTGAGGAAGAGGGCGAACTCCGTCTTCGGGTTGGTCTCTCCATTTGGAACGGTTCGCTTGGCGATGAACACCGGCAGAACGGACAGTGCGTAGAAGAGCAGGACGAAGAAGGGATAGAAGATCTTGGGCGTGGGCACCGCGCAAGCCAGGATCAGGAAGGTCAGGCCCATGCATGTGAGGAATGCGCAGATGATGAGGCTGCAAGTGTCGCAAAAGGAAAACTTATTAGTAATCGTCCAGAGGCGGGGGTGGGTCCGAACTTACGCTGCATGTCAAAGACGGCACAGGTGGAGGACGTACCGGGTTCCATGTGAGTGCAAGAAATAGACGAAAAACTCATCGTTAATTACGCACTAAGAACTCTTTGCATAATTACCCTTTAAGGTGGCCATTGTGTTTGTTTATTTCTCCTTTGTCGACTCTCAAATGACTCACAGATGTGTAGTTCGTCGTTTCGTGTGAACTAGTTTGTTTTGTCAGTGTGGCTGTAATGAGTGAGTGAAATATACCATTCCGATAAGTTGTATTTTTCAAAAATACCAAATATTTTAAATGTACTGTTAATAATGGTCATTTAAAGTTTCTATAAGAAATAGGTTTTAAGCGTAACTTTCGTTTTCTAAATGAAGAAAACTATTTAATATCTCTTAATAAGATGACTTAACTTTATTTTTGGTTCAGAATTTAGATAAACTGCTCAAAGCTACTACAAGTCCTGCTTTAAGCTTTCATCTTTTGGCAGACTTTTCATGAATGGGTAGACCCTATAAGAGGATGGGGAAAAATCACGCTAGTTTTGTTTTTAATCTCTCAAAATTAAACTTTTATCATCATTCTTAAAGCATTTTATAGTTGGATTGAGGACCTATTGCAAAGATTAATGTCTTTAACATATATCTATTTTATAAATGACACAATTAATAACCAAAGTCTCATTTAATACTAGTACTTCTGATCTAGTTTATGTGACTTTAGGCTGCTCCCATTGAAGATCCTTTCCTGCAGTTAAGGAATCTCCATATTCACCCTTACTGCTGGTGTCTTTCAGTGGGAAAAAGCTCAACTGCTGCAAATTCATTGATAAAAATAAAGCGCGCCCTATCCCAAGCGAAAAAGCTGCGGGAAAGGGAAGGCAGCTCCACGGGAGTGGGACGAGATCCTTGGTGTCGGGTACTTGGTAGTGGCAGCCACCTGCTAGCTGCCGAGAGTCGAGTTCGCCTCGTCTCCTTATGAATGCGTCCGTGTTTACTCAAAGAACCATTGGACGTGCTGAGCTTTCCACGGCCATTGAGCGCAGGCGCCTCCTCGGGCTCCTCCACGGTGCCCGTCGTTCTGCCCTCAAAAGCTGCCCGCAACATTTAACAGCGCGGGGGCGGACCTAACATTTGCGTCACAGCTTCTGCTTCTTCTCGGGGCACTCCGCTCGTTGTCGTGTCTTGTCGCGTCGTGTCGCTTCGTGTTGCCGCCGCCAGGCTCATTCAGTTTCTTCAGTATAACGGTATACGTCGACAGCACAGCAACGCAGACCCAGGAATCAGAGGAGGTCAAGTCCCCCAATGTCCCCAGCTCCATATGTCCATATGTCCACAGCCTTTTCGCCTGCATTCTGAGAGAAAACTGCAATCTTTGACATTTCCGCCAATCGGTGAGATTGCCAAGTGTTCGAAAAGTGTGGAAAAAGTGCGGTTAAGCTACTGTAATTACTCGAAATATTGCACGCCCACGCCGCGAAAAGTTCGGGGAGCAACCACCAGCAGCTGCCACCGACTGTGTGTGTGTGTGTTGCTGGCGAGTATACCAGTGTGAGTGGGTGTCGAAAATCAATAAACCCCGTCGACGACGTCGTCGTTTGGCCAAAAGCATCAGCCAAGTGTAGCAGTCCCATTAACCGGCCATATGGCAGAGGCACTGCATTATTGTTAGCCAATTACCAAGTGCAGAAAACGAACACACACACACAAAAAGACAATCGACAAATCGAATTTCGCAAGTGCAAAAGGCAAGTGCAAGATGGCGGCTCGCCTCGAAATCACCGTAAGCTTCGCCCTGGCTGCAACGCTGCTCTGCTGCATATTGGGTCACTGCGAAATGTCCGTTTACCCAGGTGAGCCTAAAAATAGCACACTTCGGCCGTTAGTTTTAAGTCCGGGTGCGTGGTGAATGGCGCAGGAAGTAACACAAGCAGCACTGCGAGGAGGAGAAGGCGGTGGGTAGGTAGGGGCCAGCAGGCCAGCAGGTTTGCCACCTCGTTTTGTGTATCCCCTGCACTAGATACTTGTATAGTATACACTTGAGCGAGGGTATGTCCTGCCTTCGTGTGTCGGTGTCCGTGTCGGGGTGTGTGTGTGTGCGGGGTATTCACGAATCAAAACCAAAACACCCACGCTCTTTCACTTTGGCGAAAATTCAAATGAAATGCAGCGTCACAAACAAATACACAGATACAGGAACTACACACACACACACACACACTGGCAAATGGAAATTTGCAAGGCGGAAATCCGCCTGAAAAACTTGCAAATAAAGTTCATCAGCCAATCTATAGTTATTTATTTACTTAAAGTGAGCCTTAAAGTCCTGTTAAAAGCTTGACGTAATATACCTAAACTGCATAATTTATTAAATAGTTTTCTGTTATTTTGGAGGGTTAAAAGTACTCTTAATTTCTAGATTTTGTCCAGAAGTAGGCCACAAATATTATTTCTTATTATTAAAACTATATAACCATGAAACCTTTGGCATTTTGCATACTTTCCGACCCCTTTTCGATGGCAAGGAGGCTTCAAATTTTGAAATTGAAATCAAATATTTATTTCCAATTTCCATAATTAGTATTGGAAGCTCTTACAAAACGAAGTCCTTAAAAAACTCTCAAAGTCCTAAGCGTATTCTAGGACTATTGATAGTCTCCCCTTTTTTGTAGCATACTTTTCGACACCTGGCGAGGTGATTCCCAATCACTATTAGTGCGTATTAAGGGCAGCCCCAGCACTACAACAGCAACGCTATAATTTTCTTGATTTGAGCGCAACAATGGGAACTAAAAATAAAAGCAAAAGCACCAACAACCGATGGCGATAAAGTTTCGGAAGCACGTCACTGGCTTCGGCCCCCATCTGTATGGTGGTCTCCCTCACTCCAAGGCTCCCTCGCTGGGCGCGTGTGTAATTGGTCTATTTTTAGCCTCTCCAGCAATAAAAACGGACTTTTGTTTGTCTATTTCGAATCGAATCCTTTCTTTAACTCGCTCGCAGAGGGAACAGGGCGCTAGGGTCAGACCTTCGTGCAGCGCTATTTTCGACCTTTCGGTCCTTGCCTTCTATTTTCTTGACGTTTTCCATGCCTTCCGCTGACACGCAGCCCACCGGCGGAGGCCGCAGGCACATTAACATTAACATAATCACCTGCTGCTTGCCACTCCCACTAATCCATCCGTTTCCCTTTCGAAGGACTACGCCGCAGGCCCATTCAGGCACCGGTGATGGATCCACAGAGCGAGCAGGAGTACGCCTTCCTGGCCCAGATGATGGAGCAGTATGCCCGCCGGCGGTTGCAGCAGCAGTTCGACCAGCAGCTCCACGAGATCAATCTCAAGATGGACCGCCAGCGGGAGCTGCTCGAGAGGGAACGCTACCGCCAAAGGCAGCAGGAGCTGGCAGTGCGGCGCGAGCAGGAGGAGGACTACGAGGCCAATGAAGGCAACAATCTGGAGCAGCAGTACGATCAGTACGACAACGCGGAGGCGGAGGCCAGCTACGGCAGTCCGCTGGAGGCGGTGCCGGATGTCCAGCAGCCGCCCTCACTGTATCTGCCACGTCTGCCCAACCTGCCGCCGCTGCCCAGTCTGCCGAAGTCATCCCCTGGCCGGAACAGCGTACTTCGGGATCGGATTCCCTTTGCCGTGGGTCCCAACGATGCCCGGTTCTTTGACAACCCAAATGACCCTTCGGGCGAGCTCGATTCCCGCGCCCTGGAGGACTACGAAGAGTATGCTCCGATAGAGCCCACTCTCGAGGTGGCCACCGCACCCAGCAAGACGAAGATTGAGACACCAGTAGCGGCCCCCGTGCCCGTGGAGCCGCCAAAGCTGCTGGATGTGGCCAGCGCCAACTTCCATCGTATCAATCCCCAGTCCGTAGCTGCTGCTGCTGTGGCTGGAGTGAATCTTCCCCAGGGCAAGGACCAATCGCCGCAGGAGCTCAATGCCCTGATCAATAAGCTGCAGAAGCAGAGCAAGTCCCCGCACCTAACCCTGGTCAACGATGGCGTGGCCAATCAGGAGCAAATCGTGCTGCGCCAGCACCTGGGTATGAACAGTGAGATGGGAGTGTATATCGTGGCTCTGATAGCGGGCGTGAGTGCGGCGGTGACCGTAGGGTTGCTGGCCCTGGGCGTGACTTGGTAAGTAGCCACCACATCCTTGGGTTATACGTTCCAGATGGTAAATTCTATATCTCTAACAGGTTCCACAATCGTCACAAAGCGGCGGCGGACGTGGAGTATCCTGCCTATGGAGTAACAGGTCCCAACAAGGATGTCTCGCCATCCGGTGACCGGAAGCTGGCACAGAGCGCCCAGATGTACCACTATCAGCACCAGAAGCAGCAGATCATCGCCATGGAGAACTGCCAGGCCACTGATGGCAGCTGCAGCCTCTCGGATGTGGAGAGCGATGATGACAACGAGGAGGGTGACTACACCGTGTACGAGTGCCCTGGCCTGGCGCCCACTGGCGAAATGGAGGTAAAGAATCCGCTCTTCCTGGACGAGACGCCGGCCACACCGGCCAACAATCTGTCGACCGCTGGAGCAGCAGGAGCAGGAGCAGGCGCTACCAATAATAACATCACGCAAGCGACTCCACAGCAGCCGGCCACACAGAAGAAGGGAACTGTCAAGCCGAATATGAATCTGTTGAATGCCGCCGCCACAGCTGCAGCAGCGGCCGCCGCCTCTGCATCGGCAGGTGGAACTGGCGCCGCTGGAGGTGAGGAGCCAAAGCAGAAGCGCAAGAGCAAGAAGTAAGGGGGAGGAGGAGCTAGGCGGAGCTTGTTTAACCCAGGAGCTGCGGCGATGGGTAAAGTTTGACTGATCCATTGTCAGCCAAGAACACACAGCACACTGAGAGCGATTCGGTACTTCTTGAGTCCGAGTACGTGTAGATGCATTCCTAACAGACAGTCTAGGGAATCTAATTCCAGGAGCAGCCACAACCCACACACACACTCACACAAACACACACCCACGCAGTCCAGAGTCTACGCAACAGTCTCTGTAATGTGTATTCTCTTCCCGTTATCGCATAAGTCCTGTATGTAATCACATTGCTATGCAGTAAGACTAGGCCACCCAGCACGCCCCCAAGGACCCCACAGGAACTTTCGATCCGCTGTCAGTTGCACAATTTGCTGCTGATGTGACAGGATGTGCAGCAGACAGGTGGAATTACGTCGAATTATTTGTATATCAAACTTTTTTGGTGCGCCGGAGGAGGAGCGCGTTGAGAAGCTACTAACATATTATATTATTATAAATATATGTATACACACACATATATATAGATATATATATTAATGTAATTATTGTATCATATATATATATTATACACACAAGGGCGGACACCTTTTTACTTACCCCGTCTGTCCCTGGCCTGGTGTGTGCAGTAACTATCTTTTTTCTCATTTTTACTACGCTTTGTGATCGATCCTAAATTATCTGTGTCAATTTAGAAATACAATTCTGGTAACTACAACCTGTATGCATACGAGAAGACATATTATATGTGGAGGAGATGAGGATTATTTACAAGTAAAACTTAACAATAATTTTCCCCGCACACATTCATGTAAAGTAAATGAAAAACGACTGATAACACCACACACAAAGATAAAAACACGCGCGTCTATTTGTACAAAAACGAAACGAAACGAAAATGATAATGAAATCGAAAGAAAGAAACAATTTATTTACCGATTAGGGAGAGAGATTAGCAAAGCAAAAACAAAACCAAAACAACAACAAAAAAGAGGAAACTAAACTATCAGCGGAAAAGATTCCCAGCCCCAAGAAGCAAAGCGAACATTTTACTATTGTACTCTCAATTGCTGTAAAACTGTAAATAAACATGAATAATAAAATGAATGCATGAACTTTAGGCGAGAGACGAGGACGAAACGTTGGAACCATTGCGGCCGAAAACAATACATTGAGAACACAACCGAATTGAAGAACTTGTGAGTTCAAAAACTAGCTAAAACACTACAACCTAAAACCAAAACATCATGAATAATAATAATAATAATACACCATGTTGACTAGTGGAATTATGCAAAGCATCTTGGATCATTGAAAATTGAAAATTTCGAGAAATCTAAATCGAAAACTGACTTAGCCACAATAAAAATAATGAAAAGAAACATGCGAGCATGCAGCATATGTACGTTGAGTTTGAAATATATATTTTATAGTGTTTGGATTCCCCTTCAAACACGAAAAAATGACACGAACTCAAGGCGACGTGAGGAGAGAATAAACAAACGAGCATAATTTAATTTATTTATGTATGATAACCGGTAACAACACAAATTATACAATATGCATACAGAATAAACTAAACTAACCGAAAAGATGTAATGTATTTCTCTATTCCTTTTATAATTTATTAATCTCTTTTATATTTCTTTTTTTCTTCCTTTTTTCTTTAGTTTTCTCTTATCTTTTAGGTTTTGGGAAAACAAATGAGTTTGGATTTATTTCAAAAGTAACGGACAGGTAAAATTTTCGTATAAGATTGAGAGTTGCCAGCAGTAAAATTTGTCTTAAATGTTACCAACTGTCATTGTGGTTAGAGTGTGACCAGCTCCTAGGAAACTAAAAATAACTTTTCATCTGTTCACAGAGGCGCGTTGGTTTTTTTCAGCTTAAAAGCGGCAGTCACATTAGTTTTAGAAACCGTTCCGCGCACTTGTTCTTGACGTAAGTCCCGTACACTTTCGCATTTTCCGTGATAATAATTCGGCCTCAGCACTGCTCTCGGTGCCTGCATATTATGTAAAGTGGGCGGAGAGGGGAACAGATAGCTGGAGCCTTTCCAAACATATGGAAAGTGGTCACCGAGTGTGCTTCCCGTGTCCCAGTGTTTGTGTGTGTGTGTGTGTGTGGGAATGTGCGGTGGTCAGTGACTTTGAGCGTGTGTGTGTGAGTGGGGCTTCCGTGTCGCAAGCGGAAAACAAATGAAATTGATGATGAGTTTTGCGTTTGAGTCATATGCATGCTGCCCATTCGAGTAGTGCTTAATTCGATTACCACGAAGTCGCCCCTGATTGGATCGCAGTGAATTCGCCAGGCGAAGCCCCAACAAATATAGACAATGGCGTAATTGAGATCGGTGCTCTCAGCTATCAACTCTCAGCTCCCAGCTCCCTGCTCGCTGCTCGCTCTACCCTGGCTGGCTGCTGTGTGCTAATTAATTAATTGCTCATACTTGACCTGGACACTGAACAGAAGCAGCAGCAGCAGCGGCAGAGGCCGACAAATATGTGTACTCCGAGATGAAATGGGCGAAAATAGTGCGTGTTTAGTTTACGTTACGTGAGCTAGGGCCAGTTCTTGTGTGTTGGTAGATATGCTGCATCCGTGTGTGCTACCTTCCAGTGCGTGTGTGTGCGAGTGTGTGCTGCATGCCTGTGTGTAGAGTTTCTCTCGGTAGCTCGACTCATTTAATTTCTTTTTATTTACTCTCCGGTTCACACAGATCAGGTTTTTTGTTGTTCGGTGCAGTGCAGGCAGCTGCATTCCTTCTCGCTCTTGCCCCCTCGCTCCTACTCCTGCACCTGTACGTTCTCGGCCCCTACCTATAGTGTGTGTGTGTGAGTGTCTGTGCACTTGCCACGCTTGACTTGCAGCAACGGGCCGTCTGCAGGCGACGCGGAAATGCCATTGGGAGCGACGACGACACTCCACTCCGATAGCCAGTTCCAGTTCCAGTTCCAGGCCCGATAAGGACAGGACGGGACCGAATAGAGAGATAGCCAGCGAGAGCGCGGCATAGAGATTATTTGCATAGACTTCTGGATGGATTGATGATGTCGTGATGGGCACATGCTCTTGTACGCGGCGGCACTTTTTGCTGTCGATATGCTTCCTGCAAGTGGTGAGTGTGCTGCCTTCCGGGGATTGTTGGAATAAGCTCCCCCTAATCTGAAATATAATCTGTGTTGCAGATAACGATCGTGGAGCGTCAGGTATTCGACTTTCTCGGATACATGTGGGCTCCGATACTGGTGAACTTCTTCCACATTCTGTTCATCATATTCGGGTTCTACGGCGCCTATCACTTTCGCGTCAAATACATTATTACCGTGAGTGGCCCTAAAATACATTATCATATCTCCCGATAACCCCAATTTCATTTCCAGTATCTAATATGGAATTTCCTGTGGATCGGCTGGAACGCCTTCCTCATTTGCTTCTATTTGAATGTAGGGCAGTTGGACAGGGTGAGTTGTGGCTGCTTTTGGTTCCCCTCTCTTTGTTAATTAACCCGTTTTGGTTGGGCCCCTTGCAGGACAGTGACCTGCTCAACCTGGGCACCGGCAGCGTCTCCTGGTTCGAGGCGAACGGCTATGGCTGCCGGCCCACCTACAACATGACCTCGGATGATCCGTTCCGGCCGCAGCGGCCGGAGCGTGTGGAGGACTGCCTGCTGGACTATCCGCTGGTGGAGACGGTTCAGGCGGGCGTGCAGTGCGCTTTGGCGGTGAGTTGTTGCCGCTTAAGTGGCCTGAATTGTGTAAATTGTCTAAATCCCTTGCTCTTCTCCCACAGCTGCTGGGCATACTGGGTGCCATTCTGATCAGTTGCATATTTCTCGATGAGGACGACAGATGTAAGTGGCGGTTATTCGCCGTGTACCGCCTCCTCCCGTACTTCATGCTCGACTCCATTAACACCCAAAACTGGTCATGGTCTAAACTCTCCTCACTCTCTCTCATCATTATCCCATTATTATCTCTGTGCACTGTGGGTTTATGTGGTATCTCTATGTATATTTCCCCCCTACGTCACTTAACCTGCATTACTTCCCTGATTACCCGCCCCGAAATGTGGAATGTGTGTAGCGAATGTTTGTATCAAGTTAAATAGTGACAAGGAGAAACGTCACTAACCCAGCAAACGATTGTTTATATGTTATATCAGTCTTGTCGATGTGTAAGCTATATGGCTCTAGCCCCCACCCATAAACCCGCACCCTGGAATGCGACTATTTTGATTTAAACACATATTTATCTATATATATATATAATGTATACACAAAATTAACCAACACATTGTGAACTGTGTGCGCGAGAGCTGTGAGCAGCTCTCCGTATACATTATACTCGCCATTATATACATACTCGTATTGTAATCATGTTATGTCCAAGTCCAAGTCATTCACTTTCATAACAATCAAGAAAATCCCAAATATTGTACTATTGCCCCATCCGCAACGACACTGTGCAGCGAAAATAGACGGAATCCTGCACAGTGCCGTCGTCGGATGTTTAATCTCTTCTACGTTAAAGCATTTTAATCAATTTCTGGTTTACAGTCGATTTCATGAACGGCGACGCCAAGAGTCCACAGCACACGGTGGTGCATCCCATGTACGTGAGCTATACAAGTATACCCACAACATCTGCCAGCGCCACCATGCAATCAAACAAGCATCTGCAGCTGCAGCAAAACTCACTGAAACTCTACCACCATCATCACGCTGCTTCCGAGCAGTTGCAGTTGCAGCAGCAACCCAAACTACACCAATTCCACACCAACAACAGTAGTCACAACAACATCAACAACAACAACAACAGCCAGAACTACCTGCTGAGCAGCGGCAGCAGTGGCAGCAACAATAATACCCTACTTAACCATAATGTTCGGCAGCGCGCCAATTCGCTGCTGCCGCTGTCGCCAGACACAACAAATAACCAGAGCGCATCATTCCAACAACAACAACAAGTCAGCAACCACAACGCCAACCACCCACAACACCTAACCCCCAGCAACAGCAGCAGCCTGCGCCGCCCACGCCATCACCACAATAATCCATACCATTTCGCCAACAAGGGCGCCCCCATCAGTCCCAGTCCCATGTCCGCCCAGACCACGCCCTCGCTGTCGTACGCCTCGCTGCAGAACTCCAATCCCTATCTAGCCAGCGGCGGCGGCAACACTTCGCTGAGCAACAGCAACTACAGCATCTTCCAGAGTCCGGACTCGATCCAGGGCAGCAGCAGCTTCTCCCACTTTGCCCGCATCCATCACAAGCCCAAGCCGCCCAAGACGGCCCTTCCGGCTCTCTCGGTTCAGGGAGGAATTGATTCCAAGCTAGCCTCGCCCGTCCGTCCGCTCGACCGCCTGTCGCGCAACCTCGAGGAAGACGAGGACAACTTCTCGCTACAGCAGTTTGCCCCCGGCGACCATGGAGTGACCTATGTGCCCTTCCAGAGTCCCACGCCCAACGGTCTGTTTCTGGGCGATAACAATAATGCCCAGCCGCACTCTGCCGTCTTCCACTTGAACTCTCGCTCCAGTTCCAACAACAATGCTTATCCCTATGAGCAGAACGGCCTGCCCTCGCCCCTTCGTTCGGCCCGTCGACCCACGCAGATTCCGCTGCCCACGGTGCCCATGCATAGTTGCCGGGAGTTGAAGCATAACGAGGACGAGGAGGCGGATGCCGAGAACGAGGACGACGAGATAGATCGCCATCAGGTGCTAACGCCTCCGCCACCGCCGGTTCCAAGGCCGCATATATTCCACCAGCGTCTGGGCCAGGCGCCCTACCCCGATCTCTCGCCGGAGGTGGCCGAGCGCTATGCCATGCCCACCCAGCTGGGACCCAGCTCCATTCAAGCGGCACACGGACACCTACCCGTGCCCCACGGCTCACCCATGGTGCGTCGCAGTAATCGGCGGCCAAGGCCACCGATTCCTGTGAACTTTTGCGACCAGATTCGCGCCCCTCCTCCGGGGTATGTGGTGCGGGCCCAAAGCGACGACCGTTTGGAGAACCAAACGCAGATGGAGGCGGAGGCTGCTCCTCACGTTAATCGTCGAAGTGGCCGCAATGGCAATGGCCAAAAGTCCCGTCCCCGCTCCTTTTGCAACTCTGTAGTGGGCGTGCAGGCCTAGAGTATGTCCCAAAAGTCTCTCTATCTCTGACTCTCTGTCTCTTGATCATGCTCTTTAACGGGCAGGATGTTACTAACTCCCCTACACACAAGCCTACACCCACACATTGCCCATTCACACAATCCAAGATGAGTAACGCGCGTACATTTGGCTCTCGAGCGCATGGCGTTAAGCATCTTGGAGTTTATACATACCTATTTGCGTGTTGCTGTTTCTCTGTTGTGCCTAACCAGCCGGCTACCTGGCCCAGATCTAGCTTCGGACGAGCTGCTGTCTTTAGTTTAAGTCTAAGTACCATAATCACACGCGCGTGCATACATTTAAGACTTTCTCTGTGATAGAAAAGTCGGGAGAAGAAAGGAAAGTCGCTAAAAAATTTTATGTTGATCTGTGATAAACTATAAACAAAAAACATGAACATGAACATGAACGACAAACAAACAAACGATTATTTCACAAAACGAATGAGAACGTCACAAACTATCATGATATATGAAGAGATTTGTCGATGATAAGAATGCCAATTGCAAACAGAGATGCCTTGGATGAGAATGACGGAGAATGTAGTAGAGATTAGACAGACATATATATTGATGTGTTATGCGAAGGAGAGCGAAGTCTCTCCGAAACAGCAGCTGCCTTTTTGTTGTTTAACTAATAATATATATATATACATATATGCTATATACACATATTTACGATAAATTACAAACTGTACTACGATGCAAACGTTGCCTATTGAGTTAAGTGCGAGATTCGCTATACGAAACAAAGGTTTATAGAACTGTTAAGTCCTAGTACTAAGTATTAAGCTTGAGGCATTATCGCGAGGCAGATCCAAATCTACGTAGCCTAGACTCTATTTACCATTTACTGTTTAGATAGAATCCCCCTGTTTAGACCTTGATCTTTGCGAGATTCGAAGCGTTTCCAATAAAAGAAGAAAACTTAAATGACTCTTGCTCCTCCTCCTCTGTAGCGGCTAGTACATCCTCTTTATCACCGGTAGCTGGCTTTCCGTAGCATACTTGTGGCTCTAACCCAACGCTAACTCTCTTGACTCTCCTCCGAACGTAGCTAATCCAACTTGTTTAACAATAGCTCCTCCTCCTTCTCATAAAAAAAGCACACACTCAAGCTAACCTCCAGGTAACTCTCGTATCTCTTGGAAATAACGCATCAACTCTTCAGATCTCTGACTGATCCACTCTCGTTCTCCTCCCCCTCACCCGACGCAGTGAAGCATATTAGCAAGCAGTCCAAGCACCGCCAGTCCCTGTACTCCATCGAGTTTGGCGGAAGCAGCAGCGACACCATCCGGCACGGCGGCCACTCCATGAGCCTGGGATTGGGCGATCCACGAGGCGACCAGGACGGCGGCGGCGAGCTGAGTCCCAAACCGATGACACCGCGTCGCGTCAAGCGGCGCTCGGTGATGGCACGTGGCACACAAGGACGACAGTCGAGTGGAGGCGGTGGCAGCAGCAGGCGCTCACATCACGGCTCCAGCGGCACATTGAGATCCAAGCATGGCCACTCGGGCCACGGGAGCGGGGCGGCGGACAGCAGCAGCGGCAGCTATGTGAGGAGCAGTACGCGTAGCTCGCGAAGGAAGTATCACCAGAACCCGGTGACCAAGATCATTGACCAGCAGCTCCAGCAGCATCAGCAGCTGCAGCAGCACCCTCACCTGGGCTCCTTCCACCGGCAGCAGCAGCAGCAGCAGGACAAGCTCTCGCTGACCGCCTCCAATCTGCAGTCCCTCAACGACGACATCGTGAACAACACCAATGTGTCCGGCAGCCAGCTGGGTAGCCTGGGCAAGAGCAACCGGCACTTCTACCACAACTACCGCAAAAACATTCCTCTGGACCCCATCTACTACAACACCAACGGACAGGGAGCAGTGCTCGAGGAGCCGGGCTCTCCGAACCTACCGCCACCACCGCCGCTCCCAGCTCCTGCATCATCATCATCCATCCTGCAGTCGGGCGGAGGACACTATAATCCCAGTTACCAGCACTCCACCACGCACCTGAACGACGTGGGCCACGCGCCGGACGAGATGTACAACAATCGGCCGCCCTCGGTGCGTTCCAGTTACTCCAATTTCCATGGCTCCCGGCCATTGTCCACCGCCTATGGGAATGCCGCCGGGGAGAACGTGTTCGCCGGACTGAATGGGGCCAGTGCCAGTCCGCCGCAGGCTCCCTGCACGCCGCCGCTCTACCAACAGCATCCCATGCACATGCAACAGCAGCAGCAGCACCATCAATATCTTCCGCCGCCGCCCATGGATCCGGCGCCTGCATACGTGAGCGCCATGGGTTTCTCCAAGCGGACAGCGTCGCGGGAAAGCATCCGCTCCATGGCGTTCCTCAACAACGGCCCGCCCGCCTACAATCTTAACTACCACACGCCGCCTGACTCGGAGACGACAATGTAGACAGTCCGTCCAGTCCGTCTTTTGTCTCGCCCTCATCCAAAATGGATCTCGGACACCACCCACGATCATCATCACGGCCAGTGCCTCCATTTTTTTATTTATATTCTTGTGCAACAAGCCATGCTCATACCCATTTTGCGCTTTAACCACATGGAAAGTGTCCACTCGATCCGTAAGCTAACGATATTTGTAGTGCCTAAAGTTAGTCGTAAGATTGTGTCGTTTTACCAAAGTGCCTTTGTAAATAAACATTTAAAGTATGTATGCGATGGATTTGAATCCAAGATATGTAACAAATTATAGTAATAGCTACGAAAGAGCTTCACTCTTTGTAAATGTATATTTGTTTCAGTCCATCGATTGCCAGAGACAAATACCTTCCTCAAAGGACCACGTTGGATACGCTCCACAACAGGAGAGACAGGTAAGAATCGGTTGAAGAATCCCTTAGTACACCCATTAATATTAATTATTATATTATATTATCAATATTAATGTGCTTATATTTTTCATTCAGAAGTAAATAGATACGGTACGATTAGGTGTTGTTTAGGAGCTTAGTCCCTGCGGCACACTGCAAAATCAAAAAGAGAAATAACTCACGAAGAACTCATCTCCGGCTAGATGTACTCACACTCATCGGCATCCCAGCCGGGCTCAATATCCAGCTGCTTGTTGCGCTCCTTCAACCAGGTGAACAATGGAGCAAAGTACTCCAGGATACCACGACCACTCAGCTTGCGCTCCCCGGTGGCAATCTCCATGACATCGCGCCAGTGGCGACTGGAACCCAACCGCATCATGTCCCGCATCTTCTTGCCCGCCTCCTTGCTGCCGTAAAAGTCGCAGTTGTGCAGCGGATACTCCGGATCACCGGGCCTGTACTGATCACTAGCCAGGCAGAAGGAGCGGTAAAACTGGAAGCCCAGGATCTCGGCCAGGAATTTTCTATGACCAGAGATTGATAGGTATTAAGTGATTTCCAAATATTCCTCAGAGGTACTGACTTAGTGTTGGAGGTTTCGGGATTCATGCCGCGATAGAACTTAAAGTCCAGATCAAAGTCCTTGTTGTTGCGCTGCGATGGGGGCTGAACGCCAGCGAACTTGTCCTGTAGATTCCAGTAGGCACAGTTGTAGTCCTTGACCCCGATCCGTCCATCCATCACGTCCACGAGGAACTTGTCGTTGATGAAGTACTGCGGCACGGCGATCAGCGTGTGCACTCCCATGCGAAATAGGCGGTTGAGGGACTGCTCCTCGGACAGGCTCTTGTTCAGCAGAATGTGCAGCCTCTCGAGGTGTCGCGCGGTGCCGGAGGCCAGGATAGCCGTTTCCGCTATGGCGGCACCGAAGCCAGGACACGGCTCCGTGTCCAGTCCAAAGGGCTGCGACAGTTTGTATATATTGTACTGCAGCTCTGCCATAATGCCATGGATCTGCATCATCTTCTTGTAGTCCAGCTTGGGGCAGTAGCGGAGGGCCACGTCCGGCGGGAAGTAGTACACCTGCGATTTGCATTCCAGGCCGCCATCGTCGTCGTTCATCCGGCGGGACCAGCGATCCCAGAATGTACTGACGACGAGGAAAGTGAAGGATGTAGCTTAAGGGATTAGGAGATCGTAGAGGGATCAACTTACGCGGACTGGTTGTTAAGACCCAAGGACTCGAAGAACTCGGCAGCCTTGCGGTTAATCTTAACGGGCGTTACCAAGACCTCCTCCAGGCGACGGTGTACGGAGGGCAGCTGGTGCTGCCGACTGGGATGCGGCGTGCGGAAGAACTGATGGGGATACCAGTCCTGCGAAAGGATCTGGTCCATGACCGGAGCAGAGATGGCGCCGTCGCTCTTGGTGTCTGCCTTGGGGTAGGCGGCCTGCACCTCGTGTCGCAGATAGGCGTGCAGCTCCCGGTAGAGGGGCATAATCTCCCAGACGACCGCCTCCATCTCGGCCTGGAAGTTCTCCGTGTCGTAGTGTAGGTACCAAGTGCGCGAGGGCGTCACGTGGCCATTGTAGGTGGCAGCGATTCGCAGCAGGCGCACATAGTCGATGAACGTGGACTTGGCCAGCTCCTTCTCGTTGATGGCCTTGCGCCAGCCAAACCAGTTGACCAGCAGTTCCTCGTACAGCTTGCTGCGCATATTCTTGTTCACGATCTGCGGGTACATGGCCAGCGGGCCGCGAGCCGAGCAATCCTCCTGCGGACAGACTATCTGACCGCTCACGAAGTTGTGCGTCGTCCTCAGCAGATCCTTGGCCTGCTCGTAGTCCTTAGGGCGAAGTCCCTGCAGCTGCAGCTTGGCCAGGCGCTGCACTCGCCTGCGGAGCAGCGGGTCGCCCAACAGGGCCACCGGCACCACGCTCAGATTGGCCGCCAGCTCGTACATCAGCCGATAGGTGTCCGCCTCCACTTCCTGCTTGCCACTCAGGGCCTGGCCGCCGGTCATCGGAGACTTACCCTTGGCGGTCAGCTGCAGGAAGATGCGCCGCTTCATGTGCCAGATCAGGTGCATGCGGTCGGTGGCCTTTTTCAGGATCTGCTGAGTGGCATGCTCATAGCCAGTGGTGTGATTAGAGGCCCTTGTGGGAGCTCTGGTGGAAGGAGTGGTAGTACTGCGGGGAGTAGTTGTAGTTCCGGTGGAGTCATCCTCTCCTGCTACCACCACCGTCAGCAGGACGAGGACGAGCAGCCACAAAAGACGCATTTTGGCCTAGACTGGCTTCCGTTTCCAATGCGATAAGCAGCTTATCTGAAACTTTTGCAATTACGATCGTGGGCGGAGGAACTTTGTTTTCCGCGTTCTTCCGTCTCTGACGGATTCTCGACGAGAACTAAGCTTCCAAATAGGCGGCCTCTCGAGCTCTCTCAGCTTATCAGTGGCTCAGCTTATCTGGCATTGCGAAAGCAAGCGGCAGCTTGATCCGCGGATCGGCGCTCCGACCAACGTTGCGTATGCGTAATATGCTGCACATTACGTATACGCGACGTGTGCCAAGCGGCCGGAGGCGGAAATCGAAGGCGGGCTAGAAAAAGGGGGCCGTCGCACTTGGACTGATGAACAGCGTCCGTCGGCATGCCCCTGGTGCTGGCTTTGTTAGCCAGTGGCCCATATTCAAGCTTAATCATTTTGACATTCTCCCCCGCAGCTGTGGGAAAAGCGGCGAAGGGAAGGATGCCTGCGGTGCAGCAACAGCGATGGAATATGGGGAAGTTCCTGGTCGTGTGGCATGAACCTGCGGTTGTGTTAGTGTGGCATGTGGCACGGCATTTGTTTATGCCGGCTGACCTGGAAGAGAGGAGAGAGCACGAGCGAACAGAGTGTCAGAGAGAGAGAGAGGGAGAGCATTTCCCGACGAGTCCTTTTTAGTCGAAAATACGGGGAAGTTCGAGTGTGTTTTTTCATCGCTCTGCATCGCGGTCGCCCTGCAGATTACGTCAAACGGAAAGGAAAACCCGTTAGCCGAGCTCAGTCGCCGACGAACCTTAGTGCTGAGCAGTCGCCATGCGAGCGCACTTACGTAGAGTGGGACACGGCCAAGGAATATATGGTGAAAAGCAGTGAAAAGCCTGAAAAAAGAAAATACACAGAGTCACTAGCTCACGCACACGTGCGCGAATACAGTTACAGTTTACAGTTACTACATTCACCAGTACAGCCACACACAAGTGCATTTCGGCGAAGGAAGCGGACAAAAAATTCTTCAGCGCCCAAAAATAGAGTGAAATGTGTGCTGCACGTTGTTGTTGCTGCTGTTACTGCTGCTGCTGCTGCTGCTGTTAGGGATGGGGGAGGGGCCATCGGAATACAACGGAAACTAACCTACATTTTCGCGCTCTTTCGCACGCTTCGCACACACACACACAGCCACACGCAGAGGCGAAGGGGCCTCTGTGCTGCCTCGCTCGCACTCGCCAGTTGGTTGGCAAAAGAAATCAACAGTAAATTGTAATAACACTTCTCAGTTTGCTGCTGCTGCTGCTGTGTGTGCGTGTATGTGTGTCAAACAATGTGCGTGCCCAAAGTTTTTTTTTCCGTGCTTTGTTTCTGTTTTTGTTGCTGGTTCCGTTCCATCCCCATCCCCCCGCATTGTTGCACAGTTGCGACTAAATAAAAATGTAATTAATGTAAAATAAAATCAAATAAAACATAGCAGCAGTGGAAACAGGAGCAGGAGCAGGAGCAGCGGAGCAACAAAACTAACGGGAGTAGTTAGTGAGTGAGCCAGTGTTGGGAAGTGGAAAGTGGAACGCGAACGCGAATGGAAAGTGAAGTGTAAAGGTACAAGTGTGTAAGCCGTGTGTGTGTGTGTGTGTATTGCAGGCCCAAGAAAGTGAAATACGAAAATAGAAATAGAATAGCGCACCGTATACGTATACCAAGTAGTGCAAGCACACCAGCGATTACATAAAGCCCCGCTATCATCCCGACAACAACAACAACTACAACACCGACAACATCCATACACTGCTACAGCTGCAACAGACGAAGAGTAAACAACAATTAAACGCAAATGTTTAAAGGTAAAATCAAACATTTAAATTTTGCGAGGGGTTCTCTGGGTGTGTGTGTGTATGCATATGCTGTGTGTGTGTGTGCGGTGGCCGCCCACACTACAACCGCAGTGTGGCGGCCACGGGGGCATGGCGGCATGAGGATTGGGGCCATAAATTAGCTCTTGATGTGCACTTAACTAGGCGGCCACACTTTTCGTTTCATTTCGTGAGGAGAATGGGAGTTGGGAAGATTAGGGGGCGGGAATGTAGCAGGAGTCCGGAGTCGTACCAAATTTGTAGCACAACTTTAGGGGCCAACTGGAAAAATTTCTCCTGCTTGCCGCCGCCGCACTTTTATGGGCCAACTTTAAAACCAGCAACTGAACTGCTCTGCTCTGCTGTGTTGTGCTGTGCTGGTCACGCCCAGAAAACAGCAAAACCGAAAAGCGGGCAGGGGGCAAGCAAAGTAAGCAAAGCAAGGAAGCAGCAGCAGCAGCAGCAGCAAGCCCAAGGGGAAGACCCGCCGTAAAATTGTAAGCCAACAAACAACACATTGTTTAATGCCTCGTGCGCCACTCTTATTGTTTGTAATAAAAGTATTTTTCACGATTTGTGTGTGCGGACCAGCTGCAGGTGGATCTCTTTCTCGGATCTCCTATGGCGCTTCTTCGCCTCCCCTGGCCTAATGGCATCCTCCTCTCCTGCTCCTGCTTACCTTTTCTTGCTGCGAGCAAATTTCCGCCAGCAAACATCAACTGCCATAACGAGGGGCGGCACGGGGTCGGTGGAAACTTGATATTGAATATTTTATGGGCGCCTTCATCTAACGCTTTTCCATTTTCGCGTCAGTTGCTCGCTTGCAGACGTGTCAAGAAGTTGGCTAAAAACACAAAAACACAAACACAACACAGGAAGCAGGCCTACAGATACGATACTCACACATACCACACAATGCCGGGGAGCAGCAACAAAGCGCTGAGCAATGAGCAGCATCCAAGCATGTCGGTCCTTCCTCCCACTCCTACGCCCACGCAACCTCATTGCTTTTTGTTGGGGGCCATTTATCAATTCTTGGTATCTCACTTTGTGAGCGCCCGGTTAGTGTTAGTGTGTGTGTGTTTGTGTGCTGCTAGATTTTCTGAGAGGGTGTGTGTGTGCCATAATGTTAATTAACTTTATCTCTTCTAAGCTTTAAGTCTTAAAGCGGCGCTCAATCTGTCCCTGTCCTTCCTTGCCCAGGTGTTTATCTCTTCTTCTTCTTCCGTTACGCACATTACACACACGTAAGACGAGTGAGTCGTTACGTATACGTAATATTACGTATACGTAATATGTATGCATGCTTGTGAGTGTTTGTGTGTGGGGGGGGGGGTGGTATGCCCTGAGCTAACAGGGATTAGCGCTTTGCCAATTACCGTTACATGACACGACGCATAGCAATCGGAAGGAGAGAACGGATTTAATTTAGCCCAAGTCTTCCCCCCCCTTCATACTTAAGTTTAAATCGCTCTTACACACATTTCTTTGAATCTATTTCTTCCATTTACAAAACAGAAAACAGAGGCATCACACAAAATGTAAAGTAATAATCAGCACAACAAAGCCAGCCAAAGCTCTCACAATAGAACTAGAAGGAGGAGATAAAGCGACGCAGGAGGTGGAGGAGGAGGCGGCACGAGCTGAGGAGTCGAGGCGATGCCAAATGCTATTATTGGAAACTGTCGTAGTCATAAGATTTGCATAGCATAGCAATATAAGCAATAGTAGGCATCATGAGAGAGCGCACAAAATGGTTAACAAAGGGAACGGTGACAATATTAACGGTAAACTGAGCGATCCGCTCGCCTGAAAAAAGTGTGAGACAGCAGACAGACATACCACATACAAACATACATACGTATGCACAGTGTTCGAAAATCGAGTGAGAAGCTTTGCTGGCGTGAGTGCGAGCAAGAGCGCCAGAGAGACATGCTGCAGCAACTGCCCTAAGGAGCCCAGCTAAAGAAAGAGCAAGGGAGCAAGGAAGCAACAGCACCAAAGGACGAGGAGGAAAGAGCAGCAACAACCAACCAAACGACGACAATCAGTCAAGATGAGTGATGATCAAACGGCGTCCAACGATGAGAAAGGTGAGTCGCAGTCGCAACCCCAAAGCCCCAATACCCGCTATTGATAGTTTTCCAGGCCCAGGCCCAAGCTGCTGCTGCCCCTCCCTGCGATCTCATAAATATTATTCTTGAGGTGTCCAGAGGGAGCGGCGGGGTCAATGGGGCCAGGCCATCAAATCTGTATACGAGGGCATATGCATTGAAAGCCAGTGTCGAGGCAACTAGGGGGCAGGTGTCAGGGGTCACCTGCTCCAGCCACAGCTCCACCTGCTTCTTTGGCTATGCTCCTCCGACGACGCCCCTGACAGCGACACCTGCACGCCAACTAAGCGAAACACGTGCACAGTGGGCGCCGTCTCATACAGATGTGGTGGCACGTTCGCAGCTTGGCTCCTTGGCTTGGATCTTGTGGCATGTCCTTGGTGGATAATCCACACCAAGAGCAGGCGACAAGGTGCCATTTGTGATTTTAAACCCTAAAGGGACTTATTTACTCATTTTTATGCGGTAATAGGCAGCACGCGGTTTCAAAGCTGTGAAAAAATGGGGTCTATCGAAGTAAAGGAGAGTAATCATAATTTGCCAAACTCTTGTTTATTTCCTTACAACGTGGGCAACTTATTGGGAAGTGTTGAAGTGTTGTTGATGTTATGGAAATTTAGTTTATCCTTTTTCCATATTTATCGTGGTCTAACGGGTACTGGTTTTAAATCCAGACAATTTCATTCCATGTGATGCCAGTTCAGGCTTTAATCCAACTGTATTATTATACGAAAAACATGATTGCATTCTATTTTCAAAACCTGAAATATATCCCTGATATATGGTTCCCTTGAAATGAACGCATTTTTGGCATATATTGCTCTTTGTGATGGCCAAGAAATGAGCTGGAAACCAACACCCAGATTGTAAATAGTAAATTTATCATCAGCATCTTGTTTCGTCTTACTAAAGCACCACCCACTGTGCAGGATACGGAATGTCGACGGAGGGAGTGACGGGGAAGCGGGAAGGCATTTGTGCTTTTTGTGCGTGTTGTGCGTTTTCCTTGCCACTTCCTGTCCCGGATTCCTGTCCTCCTCCTGTCCGGTCGTGCTCATCAACATAATTAAATAGCATTGCTCATTGTGTGTGCTGGGTCTGGGTCTGGGTCTGGATCCAGGGTCTCACGACCCCAGCAGTCTGGCTCTGGGTCTTCGCCAATAAAACGAGAAGGGAATCGAAGCGGCTTAATGGAGGGACAGGCCGACCCTAAGGCCGTTTAAATAAATGATAAACAAATCGAAAAACGGGAAGCGTCCAGCCAAAGTTTTCGGCTGATGACTGGCCATAAGTTACGCAATCGTTTTGCAGGCGCCGATAGAGAGCGCAATTTGTCCTCTCTGGCGCTGGAGGAGGAGGAGGAGCAGGAGGAGGAGGCGGCGAAAAACGAGAGGGTCTGGGCCATGGTGGGTGCCATTGTCAACGGAGGATATTCATTGGGGAGGTGAACAATGCACAAAGGCCATGTGCAACGGGCGCTGCCGCCAGCCAGCTGTGGATTACGAATATGAACGGAAACGGAAACTAATTAAATATGTAGAGCAATTGCTGGCTGCATCTCGCTTTATCCTCTTTACCCGATTCACTTTTTCCACTTTCTGTTTGTCCGGTCCGGTCCGCTTCGCCTCACTGCCGCTTCTGTTCCTCATTCTCATCCTGCTGCTGCATCTCCTCCTCCTCCTCAAAATTGGATTTGATTTCGCCCAGGGCCAAAAAGCGAATGGGACACAGTGCCACCACCCCCTGCGAAGCTCCTCCTTGTCTAGTCCAAGTACGACGAATCCCAATCCCATTTCTATTTCCATTCCCGTCACCATTGAACTTGTGCAAAGGTCTGCGCAGCTGCAACTGCAGCTGAAGCAGCCGCGGCAATGGGAATTGCTACTGAAACTGCAACAATGACTGCACTTGGAGAAAATTCTGACAAGTAGTCCAGTAGATTGGCAACAACTGAGGAGAGTTTAAAGTTGCTAAGCAATGCTCTTACTGTGAGGGTACCAAAGTCACTTTATTTTTGCTATTTGTGTTTCGAATCGTATCCATTATGTTGACTATATAAATGTGTTTTATGATAAATGAATTACTAATTAGTTGGCAATATTTCTTCGAGTGGAAGCAACTGGTTTTATTTCGGGGAAAACCACGACATTGCACGTTGCTAGTTGCTAGTTGCTAGTTGCAAGAGGCTAGTGGCTTTCAAGTTTTCTGTGTCTGTGTTAAATTTCCTTTTTTGTTTTTGGGCGCTTTGAGAATGACTTTGCTTCCGCATGAAGATGCTTCAAGTCCCGGGCCTGGCATCGGGGATTATGCAATACGGGGAAGATGTGCGTTGCTGTTGCATCTGATGTTAATGTGCGACCGCCAACCGGTTGCCCATCGTCATCACAGTCATCTTAGCAGCAGCAGCAGCATCACCATGATGATCATGATGATCAGCAGCAGCAGCAGCAGCAGCAGCGTCAGCATTGGCCCTCGTTGCTCCACCGAAAGATGTAATCCCAATCGAGAGATGACTCTCTAGTCCGCTGTTAATGAAATGCAACTCCAGTGCCCGTGCTCTGCGCTCCCAATTCGAACTCCATTCGCCACAGCATCGTGATTATGATCATCATCATTATGGTTTGATTGGCAACAGATTGTTGCGTTGGTGTCCCGCTCTCAGCGCGACTAGTTCCTTATGTAAGGTCCCCCCATTGTTTACAATCCGAGTCGAGTCGAGTCGGTTAAATGTGTATTAATTATTCGGCAACGATGGAATCTGCCGAGCCAAGCTTCCAGCTGGCAACCGCTGCTGACGAGCTGCCAAGATGATAATCAGCGACGTAATCGAAATTGCCGCATGGCCCCGATTCCCAATCCCATACCAATTTGGACTTGGACTTGGGCTTCGGATGAAAATTGCGGCGCTCAGTAGTCAGTCACTCAATGCTAATGAAAACTGTTGCTAATCAACGGAGAATGCATAACAGCAGAGGAGGAGGAGGCATACAGCGGGAGGACTGGGCAATGGGTGGTGGGTGATGGGTGGTGGGTGGTGGCCAGTGGCCATGACCTCTCCTCCGCTGGCAGTTCGTCAGTCGTCTCTGCTGATGCTGAAACAAAACCCAGAGCATGACGAGATATTTTGATGCTGCGCTGCAGGCGAGGCTTAACCCAATAACAGCTCGAGAGCCACTTTCGCAGCTCGCTGATGCTCCAAGAGCCCTACCCCCCAAACGGGGAGCCCAAGGAGTAAGGGCACAGAACAGAACCCGTTTGCTCCGTTTTCCCTGAACACCAAACAACATTATCGGTCTAATTTCCGGCAGCAGCATGCTTCCCCCGTTATCATCTTGTCATCAATGGGTTAATGACAAACGACCTGGCCAGCAGCCAAACCCTTGGCCAATCCGTTATGCAAGTCCGGGCCACAATAAGGAATTGCCAATAGGAAGTCCGTATCTGCATAAACATCCATAAACATGAACGTAGTAAACAAAATACCTAACGGTTAGCGTTTGGATCGCGTTCAGCAATAACAGAGACCTCTGGGCACAACATAAAAACAAAATAAAACTGAAACTGGTCAAGTTGCATATTACTACAGTTTGAATTTCGATTTAACCATTTTCGGTTATTTTCGGCCATTTCAGACAGCCCACAAAAGCTTAGGGCGGCCACTCAGATTTTCTCTCAAACGAAAGTGGAGCACCAGAAGCCACTGCTCTACAACGAAGAAAGAGAGAAAAGAAAAATAGATAGATACACGGAGAGAAATGCCCGATAGAGAAGCGAGACAAAATAATGAAGGAATATATATTCAATCGTTTTGAGAGCAGTTGAAACAGAAAAGCTTTCCGAATTAAATACTTTTCTAAAGCGTTTTTCGTAAACGAAAATGCAGGTGTATGGGATACGGATTTTCCCGCAGTGTAAGCTGAGTGAGAGCGAGAGTTTGGTATATTTGCAAAGGGCACATGTTGGATATGATGTGAAAGGTCAACACTCTCGCGATCGGGGATCGCCCCGCGGAAAGGGAGAGTGGAGCGGAGCACAGCGAAGACGAAACAATGTGGCCTTCAATGGGTCGCGGTCGTGGTTCCATTCATCTCTTGTCGCCGTTGAAAGAGATTATCTCTGCACTTGCTTGATGGCTCGATGGCTCGGTGGCCGTCGCGTCGCGTCGTGTTGCTTCTCTTACATAACCCAGCTCCCAGCTCCCGGCTCCAGACTATAAAACGGCGCGCGGCCACGATTGCCGAATCATTTCCAGTCAGTTCAGAGGCGAGTTATCATCCGAGAGAGTCCTTGGCAACGAATCCAGATAAATGGCGGCCCGTTTTATAGTGAGTTTCCGGCTGAGCATCTCCTCCTAGCATTGGACGCTAACTTTCCTCTTCCTCCTCACCTCAGATCAGTGCGCTCCTGCTGGCCAGTCCGGCTGTGTGGGGCAAGCCCACGTTCGGACGCGAACACGTCCACATCCGCATCCATCTGCCGGAAAGCGGTGGGGATCATGGAGGCCACGGAGGTGGTGATTTCGGTGGACACGGCGGCGGCGGTGACTTTGGAGGTCATGGGGGTGGCTATGAGGTGCACTCCCACGATGGTGGTTACAGTGCAGGAGGCGGCGGTGGGGTGGCGGCCATGTTGCCACTTATGCTGTCATCACGGAGAACCACGGCTATAGCGCCGGCGGTGGCGGGCACGGAGGTCATAGCTCCGGTGGATATAGCTACGGCGGTGGACACGGAGGATCTGGCCATGATGACGCCAAGATTGCTGCCATAGCAGCTGCTGCAGGTTCCTCCTCGTCCGACCATGGACATGGACACGGACACGGAGGCAGCGGACACGGTGGAGACTATGGTGGCCATGCCATTGCTAACATTGCAGCCATCGCCGCCAGCTCGGACTCTTCGGCCCATGGAGGCAGCAGTGGAGGATACGGAGGCAGCACTGGCGGATACGGTGGCTACAGCGGAGGAGGCGGTGGACACGACACGCAGCTGGTTGCTGCCGTTGCCGCTTCTAGCGATGCGCACGGCTCCTCTGGTGGATACGACGCTGGCTCCTCTGGCGGCTATGGAGGTGGCTCGTCGTACAGCGGCGGATCCTCCTACAGCAGTGGCTCCTCTTATAGCAGCGGTGGCTCGTCCTACAGCAGCGGTGGCTACAGCGGTGGACATGGCGGTGGGTACAGCGGTGGACATGGTGGCTCCAGCTACGACACACAGGTGGTGGCTGCTGCTGCTGCTTCCGGCAGTGGTGGCTCCTATGGAGGAGGATCCTCTGGCGGTGACGGATACAGCTATTCGGCGCCAGCTGCCGGCGGCTGGTCAGGTTCCGGCGCCTCCAGCTGGTCGTAGACGGCAAAGTCCGTCCCTGGCCATCATATCTGGTCGTCTAGTCCATTCTATTGCGCCCTCATGTCCTCCAGTTCACTCCATCCGCACGGAACTCTTAACTTATATACGGCTCGTTCATTCATATATTCCATACATCCTCACGCAATGCTGATGTACAAAATAAACCATGTTAGTGTAATAATTTAAACCCCATTTTGATCTCAGCACAAAGTGTTTATTGCCTGTTAACACTCACCATTGCTGTCCTTTGTTTTGCCCTAGGATTCCACATTTTCTAAACATGTGCTCAAGCTGAAAATCCCTCCAATTTTGCTTTGTAAAATTGTATGGTAGAGTGCCCCAAAGTTGAAGATTATATCTTATATCTTTATTTCCCGAAAGCACAACCATCTAATGATAAAAGGTTCTATATTTCTATCATTATTTGTAAAAACCTCGATATCAGATTCCATGCAACTGGGATCCCCATTCAAGAGTCCGACACGCCTATTGCAACTCTTCCTTGCGTGGCGCAATGAACCGACGGTTGACCACGTCATAGATGGTGAAGTAGAAGGCACTGGTCAGCGCCGACTTGATTAAAGTAGGCATTATTCCCTTGTAAAATCCGTGCAAGCCCTCTATCCGAAATGTGGCCACGATGCACTGCAGCACCGTGGGGCAGTCGGGGCTGCTTCTTTGGGTCTGGTTCTGGTTGAGGCTCACCAGTTGGATGCGCTTCCTGAGCAGGTCCACCGGATAGATGAGAGTCTTGGCCACCACTCCGGCCAGGGCGCCATTCACGAACAAATATCCGCTGTGGATGTCCGTGCACTGTCCTGTCCGGGGCGAATGCACATCACAATTGTGTTCATGCTTCCCCGCCAGCACCCACGAGTTGAGGTACTTGTAGATGAGAAAGTTGATGCCTACCAGTGGAAACGTCTCGGCCATGGTAAAGGGCAGTCCCGTCATGAGGCCCCTCCAGCCGAACTTGCGATACACCAGGCGCACGCCCTCGATCGGACGCATGTTACTCCGCTTGGAGTTGGGATCTACTACCACCACCAGTGTCCGGACAACGTCGAAGGGTTGCGATGCCACCGCACCCATGCAGCCCGAAAAGCCGCCGCACAGAAAGTGACGCAGCGAGGGATGATCCTCCAGGTAGGACACCGTGCGCGCCAGGCTCCGGAATCGCTCGTAGGACCAATACTGGACAATGGCGTATGAGATGCTCATCACCTGGCCGGAAGAATGGCCGCGCATCAGACCCCGGGCCCCCTCCTCGACGTATACCTTCCGAAAGCCCTGCAGGATACTCTGGTACTTCCACTTGCTCCTGTCGCTGAGCGGCTCAACCTGGATCTGAAAGCGGATTTTCAGAACGTCGAACGGATGCGTAACGACCCGCGTCATGGCTCCGGTCATGGCCCCTGCGATGGCCTGCATCACTTGAATCTTCACCGGGTATTTATCCCGATCCCGCTCCATGAAACCGTGTCGATTGCAATGCTCCGTCAGTTGCCGCCAGACTCTAGATTCTGGTACTTTTAAAGCACATCATTTATAAATTTATGCTGCCTTGCAGCCAACTAAGATCAAAAAATTAAAGCAGTCAAGCCAATTCATTTCATAATGAACTCTCCTCTCTCCCTTGCCTTCAATGTACAATCAATCGAACGACAAAGTTTCCTATTTAATTTGAATTTCAACTGAGGGGGTCTCTCTTTTTGAACAAATCGAAAGATAATCCTAAACTGCATATATTATTTGGAAAATTAAAAGGTAATGATTATATGGAAATTAAGCATTTAATTTTATATAATAATTGATTATTCTTGCCTTTATGAATCTTTTTTATTTGCAGCTATCGCCAAGCACCAGGTCGTCGCGTACACGCAAAAGTCCCAGGTCAAGCATGAGAACCGGCACATCCAGCTGGTGCGGGAATACGGCTTCCATCCGCGCACCAAGGCTTCCGTGGAGGATGGCGACGTGCTGCCCCGCAAGTTCGAGCCCTTTCCGGAGCACATGTACGGCAAACCGCTCGAGGAGATTGACACCTTCATCTACGAGGAGGTGAGTGTGTGATCCTCGGCCTCTGCCTCGGCCTCGGCGCTCTGCGCTCATTATCCGCAGAGCTGCCATCGCCTCACCCCAGTTGGCCGCCCCATTGGCTCTAATTAAAAAGTCACACGGACGCGACCCAGTGCCCGTGGATCCGTGGGGTGGGGCAGGGTAGTGCAGGGTAGTGTAGGTATTCCGGTGGCGGTAGCAAGTGCAAGTGGCACAGCGGAAATGGAACGCGACTCGGCTTGCTGCCTGCCTTGCTTTTGTTTTGATACCTTTTTATACGTTTTTTTGTTTTTTGTTTTCTGTTGCATTTTGCGGCGCATTGTGGGCACAAGTGGATATGCACTTTCCGCGGCCAAGAGAGTCCGGATACGGAAACGGGGGTTACCGGGGTTAATGGAAACGCCTAGAACGGCACTCGTGGGCCCCTTTTCGAGAGCCGAAAAGGAAATCAGCCTAAATGCCGCGAGAGCGCGAGCGCTCGTTAAATTTCAAAGGCGGGAATAAATTTTTGGAGCTACAACATCAAACAAAGGACACACACACACAATACGACTTGGCCACTGTGTGGGAATATGGGTCATGTCATGCACAACTCAGTGTGTTCAGTGTTCAGTCCTCCGTCCAGCTCTCCTCTGCTCCCTGCTGCGGGCAGCCAAGTTGACAACCGTATTTACGTGACTCAAACAAAACTGGCCCGTACTCCGCTGCCGCAGCAGCCGCAGCGGACAAATTATAGGCGAACATGCAAGTGTACTCAAGACTTGGCGGCTTTCAGGTTTCAGTTTCAGCTTTCAGCTTTCGGGTCTCGACTCTCCACCAGCCAACCGACGGACCGACCACGTGTCGTGGCAAAATAATTCACAGGATAGCATAGCGCGACTGGGCAGAATGAACATGCAAGTGACCAGGGTACGGCTACGGCTACGGCTGCAATATATAATGGGAGGTGGAAATGGACTTTAGTGAGGTGGGCGGAGCCATGGAGCCATGGAGCCATGAGATGAGCGTACCTGCGACATCGAGTGATGTGTTTATCGACCGACTGAGTATCCTTTCCACCGATGCCACTGCCACTGCCCCTAGCTGTGCCTCTGTCTCCAAAGTCCAAGACAAACACAGTCCAGGCCAATCTATAATTAAATCTTATTGGCCAGAGGCTTAGAGTCGTCCGGCCGAAGCCCAAAGCAAAAGGCAAATATAAGTTGCCTTCTGGCTTATGGGTCACATCTCCCAGGACGACGACAAGCAGTGCTGCTGCTCCTGTTCTGTTGTTCCACATTCTGTAATTAAATCTTAACTGTGGTTTCAAGCAACCAAAGTTCCTTGATAAAATATTGATCCAGACGGTGAAGATATAGTGCAGGAATGTGTAGAGCTCTTTTCTGCAACACTAAAGTATCTTTTTTAGAACAAAAATCGATACTTGGGCGAATATCTTAATCAAATCTAGCTTAATCGAAGCTCAATATTCTTCCTTGTCGAGTTCTAGTTGCTGGGACTAGTCGCAGAAGTGCGTAAAAAGACCACAGACTGCCTCAAGAGTGTATCCCCTCGAAGCGAGGCCGAACAAGCAACTGAGAACTAGTCAAACAAAGTGGCTAAGCAAGCCCAGGAATCCCTGGCCCATTTGCTTCCACTGCCAGGTGGATGAATCAAAGTGCTTAATTGCATTTAATGGCACTCACTCCTGGCAAACACGTCGTCTCTTTACTCCTCTCCGGCGCCGCGATAAGACACAGCCACAGACGATGCTGCTGGCGTCGCCGCATGTTTGCCTCAAATGCCGAACAAGGGCCTCTAACACAACTTTTCATTTCGGGCACTTAAAAGTACACACGCTTATCCTTAAGCTCTCTCCCTGCCTTGCCGCAAGACCCAACCGCACGGAGAAGGAGAGGTGGTATAGGGAGCAGGCACAAGTGCCCTCGCTCATGCAAATTTCCAGCTCCAGCCCTCGGCCCACAAAATGGTAAATGGCAAACTGCCGCCCAATCGTAACTTTTGCTTGTTACATTAAAATTTCTGCTTACTCGGCTGAGCGACGTTTATGTGTGTATTACAGTGACAAACGACCTTCAGACAAGTGGGCTTCCAGAAGGGCGGCAGGGCTGGACGCAGAACCATCCTCGTCAGAGGCGCACATCATCTGCATATATAATTGAGGAAATCAGGGCGCTAATGAACAACCTGGCCCGGGCGGGCATCTGCTTCTGGTTTCCCCGCGTTCCCTCGCGTTCAAGTTCTCCCCTCCGGCGGCAAACAAATCGATATTTCCGAATGTGGCCAAAGGAGCAGGGCGGCGCAGAACTGAGCGGAACGGCATGACGGGCGCACGACACGCGCTCCCTGGAGGCCAGGAGTAGTGTAAGGAGCAGGTCCGATTGCGGACCTGAAAAATGACATTAGCCGATTAGGGGGGAAATTTACTGGCCTGGTCTGCCTTGGCCAGGCCACGCCACGCTCGAGATGATCAATGTTTAATGCCGTCTCCAGATTCTAGGGCTCCAATCCGCATTGCTGCCGGCTCTTCCAAATGCCGAGAAAATGTGTAGCAATTCTGATAAAAACGTGCTCACGCACGCACACTCACACACACACACACACACATGCACATATAGACACATGATTCGCGCGAATGTGGTTATGTCGAAAGAGCACGCTTGCCATCTTTTCACTGCTCTGCTACCTCTCTCTCGCTCGCTCTCATTAATAACACATGCTTTTCATTCATTTGTGGAACTTTTGCGAAAATCCAGTAATTTATTGGAAACAATTTTTACGTGAAATTTCAAAGTGAATTCTAAATGCACATGTTCGTTCGTGTGAAAACTGGTCTTGCAAAATTACATGTGGGCCCCCGCAATCGGGTACCCCAGACGGCATGTTTCGGTATGTTGGCTGCGGTCAAAAGTTCCTGCAAGCACAGAAAGCGAAAAATTGGAATTAGCATCTAGCTAGGGGTGCTCCCGGCAGGTTTCTACTCACCATTCAGTGGGCGATGGCGCTGCGATTACTTGGACCTTGCACGCATCTTCCTGCGCTTACGCTTCAACCTACGCATACGCTTCTTACGCCACTAAAAACGAGAAAAACGCACGGTTAATTAGTGTTTGGCTTTGTGTTCGCGGTCACCGGCACTCGGTTACAAATTATTTTCTTATATTTTTTGCACTTTACAAGTTATTTTTTACCTTAGCTCTCATTTTCCTTCTGGTCGGAACGACGATTTGAGAACGAAAGAAAGAACGTCAAACGGAAATGGGCGAACTAGGCTCGTTGGTTTGCGCAGGGTTGCTTTGCAGGGCTGTTCCGGCTCATATCGATATATCGATTTGTATTCGTTGAAACGTACTATCGTGGGTTGATATTTATCGAGGTTTTGTGTTTCTAAAAATAGAAAAATATGTCGCAAATCTAAATGTTCACTAATTACTGGCCCTGCAAAAAGACTCTTTAGACTTTGTATTTTTTTTTGTCACGTTTGATATAGTTTTTGGCTACTATCGAATGCCTCTCTTATTTAAATAGTGACAGCTTAAACGGTGGCAGCGCCGAGTTGGCGGAGTTGCCAGACCCTTGGACATGCCAATGTTGCCAGTTCAAGTCACATAAACATTGACATCATATACAACCCGCTAATGATTTGCGCGCTCCTTTCGAATTGCAGACTTTCTGCGTGGTGTCCAAGCGGTTCCGTAAGAACTACATTCACCGCTTCACGGGCACCAAGAGCCTGTTTCTCTTCCACCCATGGAGTCCGGCGCGGCGTGTGTGCGTTTACATCGCCACCAATCAGTTCTTCGACTACTGCGTCATGGCCACCATTCTGTTCAACTGCATCTTCCTGGCCATGACTGAGACCGTGGAGGAGGCTGAGTAAGTATAGATGTCTTCATGTCCAAATGTTGCCATTAAATTAACATTGGATATCCACAGGTACATCTTCCTGGCTATTTACTCCATCGAAATGATCATCAAGATCGTTGCCAAGGGCTTTCTGCTCAACAAGTACACGTATCTGCGCAACCCTTGGAATTGGCTGGACTTTGTTGTCATCACCAGCGGTTACGCCACCATAGGCATGGAGGTAGGCAACCTGGCGGGCCTGCGTACCTTTCGCGTGCTGCGCGCCCTCAAGACGGTATCCATAATGCCCGGATTGAAGACGATCATCAACGCGCTGCTGCACTCCTTCCGCCAGCTGGCGGAGGTCATGACGCTGACCATATTCTGCCTGATGGTCTTCGCGCTATTTGCCCTCCAGGTGTACATGGGCGAGCTGCGCAATAAATGTGTGCGCCAGGTGCCCCCCGACTGGACGAATGTCTCCCATGCGGACTGGCAAATGTGAGTGATTGTAGTTGAGGTGAGACTGAAACTAATCTGGATTTGTCTTTCCTTGCAGATGGGTCAACGACACGGACAACTGGTTGTACGACGAGGAGGAGTTGCCCGTCCTGTGCGGCAATTTGACCGGCGCCCGCCACTGCCCCTTTGAGTACGTGTGCCTCTGCGTGGGCGAAAACCCGAACCACGGCTACACCAACTTTGACAACTTCATGTGGTCCATGCTGACGACATTTCAGCTGATTACTTTGGACTACTGGGAGAATGTCTACAACATGGTGAGTGCTCATCATCATCAATGCTATCTTCTTCTGCTAATCTCTTGATCCCTGAAGGTGCTGGCCACCTGTGGTCCCATGAGCGTCTCCTTCTTCACGGTGGTTGTGTTCTTCGGCTCGTTCTACCTTATCAACTTGATGCTGGCCGTCGTAGCGCTGAGCTACGAGGAGGAGGCAGAGATTACGAACGAGGAGCGCAAGAAGGACCTGCTGGATCATCGGGACGACTCCACTTTCAGCTTCGATCCCTCGGTGCTGAATGTGAAGAAGCTGAACAAAAACAACAAGAAGAAGATCGACTCACGGAAGGGCGTTCTCCTGGCCTCATACAGCAAGAAAAAGACGCGGCGAAAAAAGGCAAAGGGTGGGAAAGAGGGCAGCGGCAATGGCAACGGAAATGGCAATGGCAGCAACGGCACCGATCCCAAGTCCCCCTCGGCCACGCCCAGTCCCGGGCGAAGTCCACGCCACAGTGCTACCACACCGGAACGCCCATCAGCGCTGACTTTGCAGGCTCAGAAGCAGTACCAGCAGATGGAGCAGCAGAGCCAGCTGGCAAAAGCAAGCGGCAACGTTTCTGCCACTAGCACCAGCACTGCCTATGCCACCGCTCCCACACTGCCGCCCAAGGGTCGCATTAGCTTCCAGGACAGCGGCGTGGGCGTAAAGAATCCCAACATGCTGTATCCGTCGGACTACAAGGGCCAGCTCATAGCCAGCAGTCGCCAAACCAGCTCCAATTCCAGTGGCGTCAATCGTGAGTCCTCGCAGGATGACTCCGGCGTGGTGGACGATCACGAGGAGCAGGACACTGTCAACGAGCTAGGTCACGTGTCCACCGTAGAGCTGGCTCTATCGCCGCGCGAAGTGCGTCTGATCAAGTGCAACGGGAACATAGCCCGCATCAAGAACCACAACGTGTACGCTTTGCACCAGGAGTTCTCCTCGGAGGTGGTCGTTATCGGTGAGTTTTGATTGAACTCTATCTTGGAGGATAGGCTTGATGATTCATTTCTCTTGTAGATGATCTGCCCGACCGGAACTGCGATCGCTGCGTCCACTGGTGCACTGACTACGAGAGCTGGCTACAGTTCCAGAACTGCCTATACAAAGTGGTGCGCGATCCGCTTTTCGAGCTGGCAATCACACTGTGCATCGTCCTGAATACCGCCTTCCTGGCCATGGAACATCACGGCATGAGCGAGAGCTTTCGTAACGCCCTGGACGTGGGCAATAAAGTGGGTTGGAATAATTCGTAAGGGTGCCCTTTTAAAATTAAGAGTTGTTTGTACTCTTCCAGGTCTTTACATCGATTTTCACCTTCGAATGCATTGTGAAGCTAATGGCTCTGTCCAAGGACTTCTTCTTGTGCGGCTGGAACATCTTTGATCTGCTCATTGTGACGGCCAGTCTGCTGGACATCATCTTCGAGCTGGTGGATGGCCTGAGTGTGTTGCGTGGCCTACGATTGGTAAGAGAAAGACGGGAGTGGGTGCCACTTGGAGTAGCTTCTTTAATTTCCATTTATATGCTTTAGCTGAGAGTGCTGAAGCTGGCTCAGTCGTGGACCACAATGAAGGTGCTGCTCAGCATTATTATCTCAACGATCGGCGCCCTGGGTAACCTCACGCTAATTCTGGTCATTGTCATCTACATATTCGCCGTCATCGGGATGCAATTGTTCTCCAAAGACTACACGCCCGAGAAGTTTGACCCAGATCCAGTTCCCAGGCAAGGCTAAAGGGAATGCCAGAGAGTATTGTGGTTTTAAGTTCCGTTTTTTACGTTTTCAGATGGAATTTTAACGACTTCTTCCACTCGTTCATGATGATCTTTCGCATTCTGTGCGGCGAATGGATCGAACCTCTCTGGGACTGCATGCGTGCCGAGGAGGAGGTATGACTTGCTTCAGAAACCCCTGCACTTTAGCTATAATCCCTAACGAATTGCAGCAAGGAGCCTCCACATGCTTCGCCATATTCCTGCCGACGCTCGTCATGGGCAACTTTATGGTGCTCAACTTGTTCTTGGCCTTGCTGCTCAACAGCTTCAACTCCGAGGAACTCAAGTCGAAAAAAGAGGCAAGTCATGATCCCATTGGTTGCTCTAAACGTTCGTGAATGTGTCTATATATGTCTATGTCTATGTCTATGTGTGCCAGCAATGTTATTTAAACAACCGAACAACTAAACTCAAAAATCGCTCGAAATCGGCACAGGAAGCAGAGGGTCACCTCTTGCCTCGTGTCCTAAATGATCCCCATAAACTGACTGGTTAAAACGATCGGTGGTTAGATCGATTCCCCATGTTTGACTTGACTTGAATTTGCCTTGCACTCTTGATGTGGTTTTCGGTACTCGTATTTCCATATATTTGCGTATTTGTGTGTGTGTATCCGAGTGTGCGATGGTAACCAACATCCCCAGGATTGAACAATCATTTGAATTATACACCATACGATCTGTGGCACTCTCTTCTGTTTACAAAAAGAGCAAATTCCATTATGATTTCCATGTCTTTAAATCACTCTCTCTCTCTAAATTCTCTGTCACCATCGCTCCTCTGCATTGTGTTACTAAACTGTTACTATTTAATTAAAGACTAATAAAAACCCACCCATCACAGGGATTACTACTCCTCGCTGGGTTCATCAGTTCGGTTATCACCGAGTTGTGATTGCGTAGGGTTTGTTTTGAGAGATCCTGAAGTATTATTAAGCACCAGGGCTTATATATAGCAGCTCTGTCAATCACTGTTTTATGGACTGAATTTGAATAAAACATAATGTTTCGTTTGGTATTTAAGTCCGGTTGAATGTTCTCCGTTGAACTCTTCTTGTTAATAATAGTAATCTGTAAACTCGGTTAAGAGTTATCTGTAGTTGCTTTCTTTTCCTTGCTGACAATGCTATACATTTAAAATTAACCATACCATAATATATTAAAATGAGAGGTCTTTTAACATCTCTGACTCCAAAACAAACCTTTGTAAGTCTATCGTTTAAGTCTCAATTGTAGGTCTAAATATATAAAAACAATATCTACATGCACTTAAGCGTACTCCAATTAACCAATTTCTGTTGTCAACTTTGCACAATGCGATTAAATCTAAACTTAACACACAAAACACACACCAAATACTAAACTCTGAACTCTAAACTCACAACACCAAACACTGAAACACAAACTGATAAACCGAAAAACTAAAACCTTTAAATACACACTGAAAACGTTAAACAGATTTTCAAGAAGAAGGTAATTTTTATAAACTAAATCCTTTTTAAACTTGCTTTAAACTGCTTGCCTTGTTTGCGTTAATAAAAACAAAAAATACATATCTAAATCCAGACAAACTGTATGTGTAAATAAATATATATAGAGATCAGGCTGTATAGTATAAATAATCTTTTGTGTTGCCTGCCTTAGCGTAAACCATGTTTAGTTCGTATATGCATTGGATCCCCAAATAATCGTAAAATGTCTATGTAACCATATATATCGATGTCTATTCAAAAAGAAACTTGTTGTAGCGAACTCTTAAGTTGAGTAAAACCTCACCTCACCCCTGTGTTTGACTGCGTCCTAATTGGTTCTATATCTGTACCCCGAATAGGAAGTGGGCGAAGAGTCCAAGCTGGCGCGGAGCATAGAGCGCGTGCGCGACCTCATCCGCAAGAAGCGACAAGAGCGCAAGGATCGCAAGGAGCGCCAGTTCGCCGAGAAGTTTCAGCAGATCGTCCTGGACGCTCAGCAACAGGCTCAGGCCCAGGCTCACTCGCAACAGTCTGTAGTGGGTCTGGAGCGGGGCGACAAGCCGGGTGTGCTGGCTGAGACCAAATTCCACAGACTGAGTTATCAGGTGAGTTTTCCCTCAGGCTCTGTTGCTCTGAAATTTAAGGCATGTCGCTTTCAGGAGTCCATGAATCGACCTGTCTCTGGCTCGGACTTCGGCTTCCAGATACCCCTGCACGACGGCCTACACACGATCGTCGACGGCCTGGAGTACGACGAGGTGGTTGATCTGCCCGAGCAGATCCAGCTGCAGGCCCATCCACTGCCACCCAACGCTGACTCGCTGCCCCCCACCTATGAGACCGCCATGATGACCACCGGCGGCGTCAATGGGAATGGGAACGGCCAAAATCTGACGCCCTTTTTGCAGGCAGAGCGGCGGCTGCATCACCAAATCTCCTCGGGCGTAAGCACGCAGCAGAACGACTCGCGCGACGAGGCCACATACACCGAGTCGATAGAGCTGCGAATGCTGGGCCAGTACAACTCCACGGACACGGATCCATATGCCAATGACCGGAGCGGCTGCGGCTCCTTCAACCGCGGCGACTCGCTGCAGGACAACTCGTCGCGTCGCTTCGGGAGCGAGGACCACGACGAGGCCTACCTCAAGTACCAGAAATCACTTCTGACGCGGTCGCCAAGCTACCGCAAGTCGCTGGATCGCCTCTCGCAGTCCAGCGGTCAGTCGCAACGATCACTTCTCAAGTCTGAGGAGGCCGAGATGCGACGGCACTCGAGCGGCCAGTCCCTCAACTCCATATCGATCGAGCAGGACGAGTTGCTCTCGCAGCAGGGCAATCTTCGCGAGGAGCTGCTTAACTGCGACCAGAAGGAGCTTTTTCAGTTCCTGCAGGAAGATGACGGCAAGAACCTCAGCTGCATCTCGCAGGCCATTCGATCACGGCGCCCCTCCAGCAGTCAGCTGGGACAGCCGGAAAGCGAGCCGCTGGTTGAGCGCTCAGAGTTCGACAACATCATCCTGAGCTTCGAGAAGGAGCTGGAGGAGATCAAGCGCTCAACCACCTCGCTGGAGCGCAAGCTATCCACACTCTCGGAGCCCTCGCCGGCGGCCGACGAGGCCACCAAAGCCATAATGGACCACATTGCCGTAATTACAGGAGCTTCAGAGCGCTCGGCCGCCGACGAGGTGGTGCATCCACTAAATCCCTACGATAGCTATGACCTGTCCACGGTGCCTCGCCGCTCGCATTCCGTCAGCGCTGCCGCCCAGCGGCAGTCCGTAAAGCTAAAGCGGCGCAGCCTGGAGAAGCAGCGCAAGATCGACGAAGACTTCAACATCTCGAATGAGATACGAAAAATCTGTGATCAAATCCATGCCCCCTTCGTGGCAATGGAGGCCATGGCGGTGGCAGCCACCAGCGCCTGCCAGGCTACCGGCGCCAGTCAGCCGACAACCCAGTCACCGTTTCTCCGGCGAAAGATCGATCCCTTTACCGTACAGTTCGATCGTTTCAAGCGGCTGTCCCTCATCGATCGCGTGGAGGAGCTGCCCGAGGAGGAGAAGCCCATTTCGACGCTGCGCATAGAGTCGGAGAAGATGCCGCGCAAGTTTCTCCATAATCCCATGCGCGACCAGTTGCGCCTGGACAGCCTCTCGCTGAAGAGCACCAGTTCGTATGAGAACCTGCTGATCCAGAAGCAGAAGTTGGGCATGGCCACGCCACCCGCCGTGCCCGCCACACCGCCCACCTCCCTGAAGTCGAGCATCGAGCCACCGACACTGGCGCAAATTTCATCGCTAAAGACCACCCCGCCGCTGGCTGCTCTCACCGAGCACCAGCAGCACTTTCATGCCACGAGCATCCAAGCAGATCTCACTCACGGCCCCGCCAACGCCCATGCCACACGCACCCACGGACCGACGGCACATGGTCATGGTCCTGTGGCTGGGCAGCGGCGACGACCGGAGCATCCACAATCGACGCTAGACAAAGCCGCATCCTTCCAGTCCGCGCGCACCGAGTCGCACAGCTCGGGGGCGGCCGACACGAGCTCCTCGGCCCTGGCCCTGGCCCTGAGCCACAAGACTGACCAGGAGTCGGCGCAGGCGCCGTCAGAGACCACACAGAAGCCGTCGGCATTCACGCGACTGACCGAAAAACCATGGCATTGTTTGGTTTCCTACGTAGACGATCTCACTGTCGGTGGGAGACGTAACTCGCAGGGAGCTTACAATGATCCCATGACTTTTCCGAGCTTCGGGGCGATGAAGGCGCCCAAGGTGCCCGACGACTGTTTCCCACAGAAGTGCTACGATCAGTGAGTAGTTATCCCTGGCAGTTATCCTTGGACTGATATCTGATCTCGATTTGCCTTCTAGCTTCTACTTCCGTTGCCCCTGGTTCATGAGCTGCATGGACACGCAGAGCGCCAAGCACTGGACGCGGGTGAGGACGGCTGTCTTGACGGTTGTCGATACTCCGGCCTTTGAGTGGTTTGTGCTGGTGTTGATCTTTGCGTCGAGTATCACGCTCTGCTTCGAGGACATCAATCTGGACAAGAACAAGACGCTCAAGCGGGTGCTCTACTGGATCAACTTCTCCTTCTGCCTGATATTCGTCGTGGAGATGATCCTCAAATGGCTGGCCCTGGGCTTCTCCAAGTACTTTACCAGCTTCTGGACCATTCTCGACTTTATAATAGTGTTTGTAAGTAGTCTCAGAAAGATCTCTCGGGATGTCATCCAAGTTTATGAAACTTTTCCTTCCAGGTGTCGGTGTTTTCGTTGCTCATCGAGGAGAATGAGAACTTGAAGGTGTTGCGCTCTCTGCGCACCCTGCGAGCCCTGCGTCCACTGAGAGCCATCTCGCGGTAAGTTGCGATAACAGTAGCGCTGCTTTTTCGATAGGTTGCACCACCACCTCAGGCATCAGGGGAAGAAGAATCTACCAGTCTCTCAGCGTAGGAACTTTTCCCCCACTTCTATTACTACTACTACTACTACTGTTTCTTCTAAAGCCTCTCTTTGCTTTTCCGGAGAGGAGAATGGGTCAGACCGAGCGAGGCGATCAAGCGGTGTTGAGTAGGAATGACAGAAATGATCGATAATCGAAACTGTATCGGTAATTAACGTAATTACCGTTGCTTAATATAAATGGAACTACATTTCCTATATAAATAGCTTAAAACATTTAGTTTTAGGGGTACTTAATCGGTCAAAACTGCATATACAAAAGATATTCGGGAATGTTTTAACGCAAATAACCATATTTTTCGGTATTTCGGAATTCGATATGTTAAACTTTAAGATTTTCTTGACTTGTATAATATTGTGCGGAATTTTCTTCTCGATATGCATCTATAGTGTGGAGCAGTGTTTAATACAATTCCGTCTTCTTTATGGATTTCGAATAGAAATACGTACTCTTAGAACATCGTATTGCATCGTCCTCGCCTCCTGTCCCCTGTCCTCGAGCTCGATTCTGTGTAGCCCGTAGTTAAAGCTTTTCCGCCTCCGTTTCTGTATAATCTGTATTATGTAGATGTGTACATATGTTTATATATATACATTAGCTAAGCTAGCATAGATAGCAGACGAGATCCACCCACTCTGAATCCTACCTAGCACTGCCTCCGGCCAGCATCCATCTTCCCGTATCTTCTCACCGCCCATTTCTATTCCAGGTGGCAAGGAATGCGGATTGTAGTAAACGCTCTCATGTATGCAATACCATCAATTTTCAATGTCCTTTTGGTTTGTTTAGTTTTTTGGTTGATCTTCTCCATAATGGGTGTTCAGTTCTTTGGTGGTAAATTTTTCAAGTGCGTCAATGAACTGGGCGAGTTGCTGCCAATTACTGTGAGTACTCCGGAAGGGGGCTACATCTTCCGCTCCTTGATACGTCTTTAACTTATATTACTAATCCCTGCTTGATTGGCTTGGCAGGAGGTGAACGACAAGTGGGACTGCATCGAGCAGAACTACACGTGGATCAACTCAAAGATCACCTTCGACCACGTGGGCATGGGCTACCTGGCCCTGCTGCAGGTGGCCACCTTCGAGGGCTGGATGGAGGTGATGGCCGATGCCGTGGATGCCCGTGGCGTTGACCTGCAGCCGCAGCGAGAGGCGAACCTGTATGCGTATATTTATTTTGTTATATTTATCGTGTGCGGCTCGTTTTTCACACTCAATCTGTTCATTGGAGTTATCATTGATAACTTTAACATGCTCAAGAAGAAGGTAAGTTCACTGGCCTATGCCGTTGTGTTCCAGGGTCACCTGCATCGCCACCTGTACATACGCTACACACTCAATCGAATCATATCTGATCCTGTGATCGCTCTAAACGTTACCATTAACCATTAACCATTAACCACTTAACCATCACCCGATAATCGTTAACCTCTAACCTTTAACCGTGTTACTGTGTTTCTGTGTTGTTTCATATAGATTGTGTGTTACTCTTAATTGTGTGTGGATTGTACATACATTTAAATTATAATTATAAATGTTCATTCTATTCTCATCACTCTTATATAGTATGAAGGAGGAGTGTTGGAAATGTTTCTCACCGAATCTCAAAAACACTATTACACGGCCATGAAAAAATTGGGACGAAAGAAACCACAGAAAGTTATTAAGCGACCTATAAATCATTTTTTAGCTATGTTTTATGATTTATCCAATTCGAGAAGGTAAACAAGCCCCGCCAATCAAACCCTGAAACTCCGAAAACCAATCTAAGATCCAGCAAATTACGTATCTCTACTTATAGTTTTTACCTATACTATCCTAGCCTATTAGTCCAACTCTGTCTCTACCCACTCGTAGTTGTCTCCTAAGGTCTAAGGTTAGGCCCACAATCTGAACACATCTCTCTCTATATAGACTGTTTCTGATTTGGTGATAAAACTTATTTGAACACTTGACGATTCCCCGGCATTTTTGGTCAGAACTCCGGTGCTTGTCCCACCAGCAACAAACACCGTCAAAAATGCCTCTCTTCTGTAATCTATAAACTGTAAACTGTAAACTGTAAACTGTAAACTGTTTTCTGTAATTCTGCATACTTCTGAACGTTCTGTAGAGCACCTTTTCCTCGATATGATACGACCAAAGACAATATAAGTCATCAGATGCGTTTGCACCACAATACTATTTGGCTCTAGATCTTATGTTGTCTTTGAAAAACCCTTTTTAAACCCTCCACTTAAGAGACATCTCGGACTTACCGCACTCTGAATGAGTAGCATGTTCTATCTAGGATGAGTAGATGCCTCCTTTAGGCCCAGAGAGCCACCCTTCTCTAATATTACCTTTCCCCAAACCAGCATGTATAGTTAGACTTAGAACCTAGTTTTAATCTTTCTCTGTAGTAGGGTGCTCCCCGCTGCCTGTATATAATTGATTGTCCCTTCCCTGGGAAGCATCTTGACTTCGGCCTGAAGCCCGAAGCTAGTCTCTCCAGTGTGTCCATCTGGAATCTAATTTACTTTTGTGATGTGCAGGTTCGAGATCGCGATCTTTGTACTGATTTTCTCAACATGCTTACCATGGGCATCGAGCACTACGATCAGCCGCACGCCGTCTTCTTCATTCTGGAAGTGAGCAATGCCTTCTTCACCACGGTCTTTGGTCTAGGTAAGAGAATGCGATCTCCTTCTGCACATGTACTAAAGCCTCTTTTTGTATCCCAAACAGAGGCCATTGTGAAAATTGTGGGTCTGCGCTATCACTACTTCACAGTGCCCTGGAACGTGTTTGACTTTCTCTTGGTGCTGGCCTCTATATTCGGCATCCTAATGGAGGACATCATGATCGATCTGCCCATCAGTCCGACGCTGCTGCGTGTGGTCCGGGTGTTTCGCATAGGTCGCATCCTGCGCTTAATCAAGGCCGCCAAGGGCATCAGGAAGCTGCTGTTTGCCTTGGTGGTGTCGCTGCCAGCCCTTTTTAACATTGGAGCTCTGCTTGGCTTGATCACCTTCATTTACGCCATCTTGGGCATGTCGCTGTTCGGGCACGTGAAGCTACAAGGCGCCCTCGATGACATGGTCAACTTCCAGACGTTCGGACGCAGCATGCAGCTGCTGTTCCGGCTAATGACCTCGGCCGGATGGAACGACGTGCTGGAGTCGCTGATGATCCAACCGCCCGACTGCGATCCCTTCATCTTTGGCCAGACGAATGGAAACTGCGGACACCCGCTGCTGGCCATCACCTACTTTACGAGCTTCATCATTATCAGCTACATGATCGTGATCAACATGTACATTGCCATTATCCTAGAGAACTTCAACCAGGCACACCAGGAGGAGGAGATCGGCATAGTCGAGGACGACTTGGAGATGTTTTACATTCGTTGGTCCAAGTAGGTGTCCGCTGCCCCCTAGTTGTGGCTCAAGAGTCCAAGAAGAGTTGATATTACATGGTTTAACGATTGATTTACTTGCAGATATGATCCACATGCCACCCAATTTATACACTTCTCGCAACTGTCCGATTTTATTGCCTCTCTCGATCCACCATTGGGCATCTCGAAGCCCAATAATGTCGCGCTAGTGTCATTTAATCTGCCCATCTCGAAGGGCAATAAAATACACTGCCTCGACATTTTGCACGCGCTCGTGAAGCACGTGCTAGGTCATGTCGAGGAGACCGATAACTTCAAACAGTTGCAGGAACAAATGGATGTCAAGTTCAAGAAACAGTTTCCAACGCGCAAAGAATTGGAAATTGTTTCATCGACGCGGATCTGGAAGCGCCAGGAGAAGGCGGCCAAGACCATACAGACGGGCTGGAAGGAGTATTTGCGGTACCTACGAGCCAGCCTCTTCATCCCAATCGATAACCTTTCTTTACATTACTTAACTCACATGTATTTGGTGCGTGTTTCTCCACAGGCGGAAGCGGGAGAAGGAGCGCTCCAATTCGGGAGACAGTGCAACCCAGAACTCCAGCCCCGGCGGATGGCAATCGAAGCTATCGGCTTTGAATTTCTTCCACCTCCAGGTAACAGGGAGTCCAATATAAGCATTCACTCTATAACTTTGATGCCTTCCACAGGTCAGTCGCCGCGGCACTGCCTGCAGCAGTCGCGCCTCTTCAAGGAAGTCCTCACGCGCCTCAGATGCCTCTGATCTCAGCGAGCTGGCCGGTCCCTGGCTCAACCTGCCGCTGATGCTCGTCTCGGGGGCCGATGATGTCGTCAAGGACATCAAGCAGCAAAGCGACGAGCTGGGCAAACGGTAGATATCTCTGGCTCCATCTACACCCAACATCGTTCACCTCACATACTAAACGCAAACACCACACACACCCAGACACGAGACACCAGACATCAGATACGTAGCCATTCCATGTATGTTTGTGTTTCATGGCTGCGATGAAATTTGAAATGCAATTTTTAGACGAAAACGAAAGCTTTCCATGCCCATGCCCACATACAAGAACATTTGAACATTTGAGCATCGAATATCGAAAATCCGATAAATTAACGTTTTGTGTGTCCACAGTGTGTATATGAACTTGAGCCCTATTTCTAGCATATCCTCTTGTATCTCCCTAAACTATGAGTCCCTGCTCGCAGACATGGTCACTGCCGTTCTCAGGAGTGGCTCCCAGCCTAGTGGCTTGAATTACTTAGGTAAAGGCAAACTCCCATCCCCATCATCACCTCAGGCTAACTACTTACTATATGTAAACTACAATTTATGTACAATCTTAAATCTAACAACAGACAACAATCAAAAATCCGTATCAGTAATCTCAGTATCAGTATCAGTAATCAGTAATCAGTATCAGTATCAAAATGCAACAAGCTATCTACCGAAACCAACTTCTTTTTACCTCATCCATTCTATCTCTCTATCTTGTTGTGTATATTCGCTAGCTTAAGTACTTGTAATAAAACTCAATTACAATCTAGAACTTGCTCCAGTCGATCACGTAATATAAATATCTAGTAGCTCCATCCCAACTCAACTCATTTAAGCCAAAACAAGCAAAAAGTCTGTCTAAACTCAACTGCAACTATCTATATTCAACAATTCAACAACAATGCTCTAACTACATATGTTTTTAACAATTTCCTATCGAGTTACATGAACAAAACTCAACAAGAGTTTAGTATTCGGTCCCATCTAGAAACTTTATCTCAACTCCACTCATTTAAGCGAAATTCTATCTAAACTCTACAGCAAACTCTCTATTCAATAATTCTCCAACAACAACTACCTATCAGAACAAGTACAAGTACAATTCGAGTAATATATATACCTATGTTAAGATCATTTGTAAGTAGCGGCCTACCCGAAAGCCTTTGAACTCTAGAATCAATACCAATTCGTAAGCCACTCCCACACTCTGAAGAGCCTCTGTGAATGCGCAGTTTGAGTTTCTTTTCGTTGATATTGGTTGCCTGCCCTTTCCTAGTTCATGTTATACCCTATAACCTATATAATATAATAACTATATCAATTAGTTTTAGAGCGTAGCTTGCTGTGTCACCAGGTAAATTGGAGCTCTCCGTCTAAATCTCATACCAAATCGATCTTCCATTGCCATGTACAGCTTCTTAGCCTTCTTTCGTTTGTAAGTTCGTCAAAAAATTGCAGCTAAAGTTGAAACGAAACAATGCCCGATCTCTCGAACCTATATATGTATACCCGAAGACATTCTACATCCCAGTGACCAAGACAACATGTTATGCTTATGATTGTTACTGTTATTATTCCAACTATTACTAAACTATTAACTATTATTAGCGGTAGCATATTTGTGGAAGCGCCTAGAGCAAGTCGTCGCCGAAGCTTTTATAATTTCTTTTTGCGTCATCAGGATGCTGTCGATGACAGCTTAACCTCACCTTCAGTACATAGAAAAAGTAATTATTGACAAGTGCCTAAGCCTCTACTCTCTCACCTAATCCACGTAACCGTAACACATCTCCATTCACTCCATTCACTTCACTCTGTGCACTTTGCCCCTTGTAAATACTCTCGCTCTCTATCTCTCTGTGTGTACATAGCCACTTGGAGGCAGCACCTTGCACCATTGTCCGACCCCTCATCGGTGGCTCTGCCGCCTCCATCGATAATGCACTCCATCCAATCGAATCCTAGTTATATAAGCCTCTGTTCTTGACCCGTCATATCTACTGTTGTTACTCGCTACGATCTCCATTGATCAGTCTATCTATCTATCTATCTCTCTGACCTAACTGTCTGTCCACACAACCCTTGTACTTGTGCGTTGTGCCGGACACTAATGCGTGTCTTTCACCCACGACAGCCGCAATGAACAACAACAACAACACGACCAACACCACCTCAACCTCCGCCTCCACCTCTGGCACCGCCACCGCCTCAGCCTCTGGTGCGGCAGCCACTTCCGACAGTGGCTCGTCTCCGGCTCCGGTTCCAGCTGCGGCTGCGGCTCCCTCACGTAAGCGCGCCTCTAGTTTCATACGCAAGAAACCGCCCCTAGAAAGAGGTTTGTCAGCACAAAGCGCTTTAAGAGTTAACAAGAACGCTTTTGTCTGTATGTGTTAAATGTCTGTGAGATTCCTCCCTCGTGCCGTTAGTAAACTTCCATATTTTGCCCTTCCAGCCGAGGCCCCAGCTCCCGAGGTGATCGTCACAAAGCCCTCGCCGGACCAGCAGACGCATCCGCACTCACACTCGTTAGGACTGCGGCCGGACAACGCCACGTTGGTTCACGTACTGGTGCATCGCGAGAGCGAAGAGTACAAGGAGGAGGATGAGAGCAGCCCGTCCTCGCCGTCCTCATCAAGTGGCAACGGGAATGGAAAGGGCAAGCAACCGCCGCCACAGATACGCATCAGCATGGGGTCCGTGGAGGCCAGCATGGACACGTGTCCGGTGCCCACGGTACAGATCATGGTGGACAGCCCCAAGGATCCGCCGCGCGGCGACTTTAGCACCGAGTTCGCAACCGCAACCGCACCGGCACCAGTCATTGTGGACGTGGATGCGCCCATCGATGTGAATGTACAGGGTGACACGTCTCAGGTGTTTTATGACTACAATCCGGAGAGGTCCACTAGCGGCCAACTGGACGAGGAGGAGGAGGAGGAGGAGGAGCAGGAGCAGCAGCAACAGCAACAGCGGCAGACGGAAAAGGAAGCTCTGCCGGACAGACAGAGATGACCTTCGGAGCAGCCGCATTGCTCCAGCAGTAGCAGCAGCAGTATTGCCAGGAAAAGCTCGTCCTCATCGTCTTCGTCGTCATCGGCGGCATCTGGAGCTGGCCCTTCGGCTCCGAGGCGTCCAAGTTGACAAGCTCCAGTCTGAGTGCGTATCCAATGCCGATTCCTGTGTGCATTTGTGCCGAGTGTCGCGACTCGTAGTTTCTTAGGCTTAGGGATAGGCTTAGGCACGGGGCACCACGCCCCTTTGTTATCATAGTCGATTACGATTACCTATATAATTATATATACTAGTCGCTTTATACGATATACATACATATATATACGGTTACAGATACAGATACGGAACTATCCAAATTTATACATAGCATATATAGGATCAATCTAAGGAGAAATCAATATTAACTCTATGTTAACAAGAACGTGCATTATAAACCGTTGTAGAACTCGCGAAATCAAATCAAAAAGTCAAGAGTCGCCATCGCCATCGCCATGTTGTCACAATCAGAGATGATGATGAGATTCGTCGTCGTCGTCGTCGGTAGTTTACTGACCGATGTAGCTGTAGATGAGATCGAATGGGAGGAAGGGAATGAGTTCCCCCCTCTCCCAATACACATTTTCGAAGGTTGTTTTTGAACTATACAATACATAGAAAGAGATTGGCATTACCTTAGTGTACAACTAACCAACTATCGCGGTTAGGATCTAGGCTCATTACTCGTAGTGTTTCTTTTGCAATTATTGATTATTGAACAAATTATCGTGCATATACAGTACGGAGTAGAGCTGGGAAAGAGTCCATCTCAACATTTATCATCGATTCGGTTGGAAGGGATTGATTTTCAAGTTCAATTCCACCAATACGAATAAGGTTAGGTGATGGAAATTATCGCAATGTGATTCGATCTCATTAGTTTATAAAACTAAAATATTTTCTTTGATTAATTGAACGGATTTTCTACCAGCTCTACGACGGAGGGTATGTGGATGTAGTATCTAAATACATTTTGTACATATGCCAAAGGAAGTATTTTAAACTGAAGAGATAATACTACGTACATACATATAGAGACATATAGCATATATAGCGGGGACATATGACATTAGTTAGAGACAATTTATTGAAATATTTATAAAGGTTTTTTTCGTTGCATAGCGCAGACAATTGCCGATTATGATCGATTACCGATAGCGAATATTATCCATTACCGATTGTTCGAAGTACAAAAAGCGAAGTATTATTAGTAGATTTGACTATTTACTCTTGTACATATCTTATGCCCTCGCCCCATGCCCTGTCTCCTTCTTTGACATCCTTTAACAGTATATAACTAAGCCAAAAACAAGGTCAAGTGATCACTACTCACTCACTACTACATATTTGAATCAATCTCAAGTCCCAGTCGGGATCTAGCCACTAAACACTGCACTAGAATCGATATCGTTACCAAAAAACCAATCAACCAGAGAAACCCAAAACTAATCAGCAGTCCTACATACATAAGTCCCACAAGTACCCGCGAGAAGGAAGGTCTTCTACGATCGGTTTAGTTTAGCTTAGTTTAGTTTAGTTCGTTTCCGAAGTGAATCAAAAGCAGGATAAGCAAACTCCTACACAAAATGCAACCGACAAGCTTCCACAAGAACTCTATGTATTTTATTGATATCAAAATGATTTACACTTTTACGACTCTTTGTACGACTCTCTCTACGATAATGGTTAAGGTCGGGCCACGTTTCCAAGAAACTCGCCTTTCGTTTGTGTTAACGTTTTTAAGTGTTATTCTCTCTTAAGTCTCAATTGTGATCGCATTAAGTTTACACACATCGAACTCTATACTCTATATAGGATCAAGTACTTACTCCAATTCCATCTCCACTTTCATAACTTAACAACAGACAATCAGACAGCGATTGATATAGTAAATTGATATAGTAAACTCTATGGTACCAACTAAATCGTTTTCTCCAGGAACAAAACAAAACCAAAAACAAAGCAAACCAAAATGAAACCAAAAACGTACACACAACAACTTATTGTGATTTTAACTGCAATTTTTACACAGAAAAATGAAACATAATTTTAAATTAGAATTGTTAACAAAAACCAACAACAACAACAACAACAACCGACAGAAACCAAAACACTCGTCAATTAAGTGATATTTAATATTGGTACGTACTCGTATTCGATTGTACATAAACGAAGTAACGATTATGATAATGAAGATAACGAAATAGCAATAGAACCTCTCATCCTCAGCCATTAAAAAAGAAAAACCTAAAAAAAGTACTAAAACAAGGAAAAAAAAAAACAAAAACAAACAAAACAAAAGCGCAAAGAAAAGCTTTAATTTTAGTTATCTTAAAAAAAAATATATATATATATATTATAAAAAGAGAGCGATGCGAGAACAGTCGGAGCGATGCAATGATGCTGCGGATACTGGACTAGAGCTGTCAAACCATCTTTGGTACTATCGGATTCGGATTTAGATAGCACCATCGATGCTCTTAAAACTATCGCCCTAATATCGCCCCACAATATATTCAATATAAGTTTGTCTATTATTAGTTCTTTTTTTCCTTTAGTTTTATACCCTTTTTAATTTAAGTCATAAGCTTGTTACGCTGTGAAGGAGTCATTATATAACCCTATAAATTATATACATATATTCTTGATCAGCATCAACAGCTGAATCGATCTAGCCATGTTTGGAAGAAAACAAATTTTGAGATTTTTTTTTTGCATTTTATTTCCATTGTTAAAATTGTGAAAAATATGAAAAAAATTATTTTTATAAAATTTGAAATTGCTTATGAAGATTTATTAAACTAATAAAAACTTGCATGGGACAGCTTTCAGAATACAAATTAATGCTTTTTTGGCTCAGTTATGAGTTTTTTAAGCATTGATTCGTATAATAAAATTGACAGAAAATTATAAGTAATATCGACTCAAAAAGTGGTATTATAATTTCAGTCAGAAGCTGAAAACACAGTGAAGGAGTCATTTCCGACCCTATAAATCATATATATTCTTGATCAGCATGAACAACCGAATCGATCTAGCAATGTTTCAAAGAAAATAAATTTTGAAAATTTTTATCACATTTTTTGTGTTAAAAATTGTCATTGTCAAAATCTAAAAATTTGACAAAATTCAAACTTTCTTTAATTTTAAAACTCAGTATGCAGATTTGTTAACCCCATAAAAACTAGCAAAGAACAGCTTCCCGAATTGAAATTAATGCATTTTTGGCTTAGTTATGGCTTTTTTAAGTTTCAATTTGGTGGAAAAATTATCATATAACAAGAAAGGAAGCTAACTTCGGCACGCCGAAGTTTATATACCCTTGCAGATAGAACTTCTATGAATAGGAATCAATACAATATAAATTATATATATTTGTGTTAAAAAACAATGAAGTAATACCTGCTTTCATTTTATTTACCTATACATATTATATTTGCAGTTTTACATTCACTGATTTGCATTTTTCCTCCACATCAAACGATCTTTTGTATGGCACCTATATAATTTAAGACTTATATAAAATGGCTATACCTCAAATTTGATGAAAATCAGCTGAAAACTAAAAAAGTTATAAATTTAATTTTATTAATTTCTCGATCGTTCCTATGGGAGCTATATGATATAGTAGTCCGATTTTTATAAAATTTTGTACAAAATTGAAGAGTATAGTAAAATGGCTATATCTCAAATTTGATTCAATTCTATTGAAAACTGAAAAAGTTAAAATTTTCTTTGTAAAAATTTTCCGATCATTCCTATGGCAGCTATATGATATAGTCGTCCGATCCGGCCCGTTCCGACATATATACGAGTGAGAGTATATACAAGGCTAACTACAAAGTTTCATTCAGATAGCTTCAAAACTGAGAGACTAGTTTGCGTAGAAACGGACAGACGGACAGACGGACAGACGGACAGACGGACGGACGGACAGACGGACAGACGGACATGGCTAGATCGACTCGGCTGTTGATCCTGATCAAGAATATATATACTTTATATAGTCGGAGGTGCCTCCTTCACTGCGTTGCAAACTTCTGACTGAAATTATAATACCCTGCAAGGGTATAAATATATATAGATATCGACTCAAAGAATGGTATTATAATATCAGTCAGAAGCTGAAAACACAGTGAAGGAGTCATTTCCGACCCTATAAATCATATATATTCTTGATCAGCATGAACAACCGAATCGATCTAGCAATGTTTCAAAGAAAATCAATTTTGAAATTTTTTTTCACATTTTTTGTGTTAAAAAATGTCATTGTCGAAATCTAAAAATTTGACAAAATTTAAACTTTCTTTAATTTTTTAACTCAGTATGCAGATTTGTTAACCCCATAAAAACTAGCTAAGAACAGCTTCCCGAATTGAAATTAATGCATTTTTGGCTTAGTTATGGCTTTTTTAAATTTCAATTTATCGGAAAAATTGTCATATAAATACATATAGATATCATCTCAAAGAATGGTATTATAATATCAGTCAGAAGCTGAAAACACAGTGAAGGAGTCATTTCCGACCCCATAAACCATATATATTCTTGATCAGCATCAACAGCTGAATCGATCTAGCCATGTCTGGAGGAAAGCAAATTTTTCGATTTTTAAATTAAAATTGGGAAAAAATGTTGATTTTTTAAAATTTGAAATTGTGTATGCAAATTTATTAAACTAATAAAAACTTGCATGGGACAGCTTTCCGATCTAAATTTAATGCTTTTTTGGCTCAGTTATGAGTTAATTAAGCATTGATTTGTCGAAATTGAAACTGGAAACTGCAGGGATATATAATTTGGACTTCCCAAAGTTTGTTTACTTTCTTTTTATATTTTATATTGCATTAATAAATCACAAAATACAAAGACTGGTAATTATTATTATTAACATTATTTTTTAAAACATTTCTTATTGTTGTAATTCTTAGTAAATTATTTATGTAAATCCCGATTAGATCGTTAAAGAATAATTGTTTTAAGCTATTTAATTTGATAAATACTGAATAATTCTCAAAGTGCTATACGTCGGTACTAATGCGATGGCTTTAGATATTTTGACAGCTCTAGCCGGATGTGTTTAATTTAGTCATAGAGTATAACGACAATAAAACGAATGAGGCATATATTAAATTATACAGACGTTACCAAGAATATCCCAGAAACTAACTCAAATTAACACCGCAGACAGACAGAAGAAACAGACAGAGCAGGCCAGTAATTAGCGACATTTTTGCTCTCTAGATATTATATTATCAAAATCGTAATCGCCATCGCAGTCGCAGTCGCAATCGCAGTAGATACCGACGCTTTGCTCCCAAAAGTCAGCTCAAAATGGCGAAACGAACCAAGCGAAAGCATCGTAAACGAAACAGGAGCGAACAGAACCGGGTCCTGTGCATTTAAGGCTTTTCAGGACTCTCGGGGGAAAGGACTATGGAGCTGGAACACAGAGATATGCATTCATACATATACCTATAGTTAGCAATAATGCTGGGTTTTGATTAGGCATGCCTTACAGAATACACGATTTTATTTATATAAGCGTATTTATTGTTGAGATTAAAGTATATAAGCAGGGTTAACGTTTCATTGGACAAACAGAAATACCAGAAATACGAAAATAAGAGTAATGGTAAAGGATCAGAAACAGAAAAAGACTCAGAACCAGAAACAGAAACAGATTACAAGTTGTAGAAGTTGTTGAAAATATGCTCTGAGAACTAAGTCAATTATTTTGATTTGCCGTTTTTAAGGTCCTAGTCCTAGTCCTAGTCCTAGTCCTGTAGCTAACGCGTAATCAAGTCGAGTAAATATTTGTGGAACTAAAGCTTAATATTAATAATTCGTAACTAGCTTAGCTTAACTCATTGCTTGCGCTCCACTCGCTCCATACACGCTCCGAAGGTCGTTCTTCTTTTTCCTTCATTTTATTTTGCCGTTTAACCGCCATAATTGGGCAGATCATTTTTATAAACAAATTATGAACGTCTTTTTTGTTTTGCATAATTTTCCAAGTGGTTTTCTATGACCAGATGGCGACCGCCTCGCTTGGTCTTAGGTGCGTGAAATTTTTTATTTCAAGCTCAGTTTTGTTCAGCTCTGACTTAAATAAAATGAATTCTTATTAACGACGAACGGGGAGATACGATTAAGAATCCATTAACCATAAGAGGCGTGTGACTAACACACACACTACACACACATTTTGAACCGAATCATATCAAATCAAAAGCAAAAGAAAAGAAAACCAAAGTAAAGGGAATAACTAAGCGAAAAAATCGAAAAACGAAAAGGAATAAATCTAACATTTGAAATTAAATATATATTTACTTGGGTACAAGATGAACGTACAGTAAAGATTATTCGTTTATACAATATTTACTGTCTATATAACCATTATATACTAACTTACTTACTGACAATTATTAAGGGTTTTGTTCAATTTCATAATTCGTATGTTAATAAAAACAATTTCCGACTAACTCGGTCTCGGCTCCTCTTCCAGGATAGAGCTGGACAGGCTTCGATTCCGTTCCAGCTCTGCTTTCAGGCTTCCTGCTTTATTAAATGTAAGCCCGTAATAAATACTTATTCGCGGTGGGCACCTGGCCATAGAAGGATCAGTTGCGCTCCTGGAGCAGCTGCACCAGACTCTCCAGCTTGTGCTCGATGAGCTGGAGGCGTCGGTCATTGACCTGCTCCCGCTTCCGTCGCTGCTCCGTGATGTTCTTCTGGTCAATGAGAGCAAGGGATTGTTTGACCGTACTTCCATCGATCTGGGAACACTTGCCGGTGAGCAAGGAGCAGCAGCAAGGCAGGAGGAGCAGCTTGAGCGGAGGATCCAGCAGCTTTTTCTGCGGCTGTGACGCACTAGAGGTGGGCACTTGCTGGAAACTGCCCTGCAGCTTGCTATTCAGCGTCTTCATTTCGTAGGGATCCTGCATGGGAATGAGGACTTTGTTGCCATCGTTGGGCAGGACGGAGATCTGGCGCAGGCTCAGGTAGTTGGGATAGATGTTCATCAGCCGCTCGTAGATGCTTCTGAAGGGCTGGTTGCTCACCAGGAAGCCGGCGCTTCCGTGGCCAGTGAGGACCTGTTCGTAGCGACTCAGCATGTTGGTGCGGCAGATGGCGCCGTTGAGCTCCGCCTGTGCCTTGATGGCCTAGTAAGGATTAAAGGGGAGAGATTAGCTAATAAGCTCCTGGGAAAGCAAAGTCAGATCTCACCTGAGTGTCGCTCACGGCCAGACCGTTCAGCAAATTGAACAGGACGATGGTCATGAAGAATACGAAGAGCAGAAAGAGTAGGTAGGTGTAGATGCTGGTGAACTTAATGTCCCCCGCATCGAACTCGCCCGTCAGCATCACGATCGTCTTAATAAGGGCCTCGATGGGCTTGGTGAACGTGTTGAAGTTCCCGTCACCCTCCGCCTCCGGTTCCTTGGTGGGATCTGACGTGGCGCTGCCTACTTCATCCAGAACTGGCGGTTTACCGAACAAGATGTAAAAGCACAGACTGAATGTCAGCACGAAGATCGAGTAGAGGGCGAAGCTCTTGACGAAGCTGCTCGAGACGGCCCGCAGCATGAGCATGTGCGTCGAGATGGAGAGCACGGGCAAAGAGCCCACCAGTAGACAGAACTCCAGGGAGACCAGCAGAATGGTGAAAACGGCCAGGACGCGCTTTGTCTCCTCATCATAGCTGGACTCGATGCAGGTGAGGATCGACAGGACGATGAGGATCAGTTCCATAATGTTGGTGATTGACCAGAAGTAGAGCACCGGTGACATCAGCCACTGGATGACCTCCCGGACAATTAGATAGGCGATTCCCAGCCAGGACAAGGCGCCAAAGAGGTTGGTCAGGGCCGCGTGTTCGCTCTCGTTGAACTTCAGCAGTGTGTGTGTGATGATGGAGGCGGTGAATAGCGAGTATAGCAGGAAGTTCAGGTAGAACATCACGGAGAGACGATGCCACTTGAGGAAGAGGAAGCTTGTGATCAGCGGGTGCCGAAGCAGGTGGCGCAGCTCCTTGGCCTCGGCAATGTAGGCAATGGGGGTCATCTCGTCGTGCAGTCCTTGGGAAAAGGTCCGCGGAGTGCTCTTATGGCCGACCGGTTCCCTTTCCTGGCGAATAAGGTTCTTGTAGTTGAAGATGATCTCGAAGCCCTGTTCGCCGGGCTTTTCTCCGTTCGTGGTGATGCAGGAGTCTAGGTGCTCCTCTAGCAGATCCAGCGGCATATCCTCGATCGGCAGATCCCCGAAGGCGCTCTTAGCCCCTATGTAAGCTCCCCGCTGCAGCAATTCCTGCATGGCCCGGGTGTTGCGATACTTCACCGCGTAGAAGAGCGGCACCAGACCCCCGCGGTCCGCCTCGTTGATGTCAACGCGGTCGCTGTCCAGAAGCACCTCGAAGCACCGCTGGTAGTTGAAATTATCGTACGGCGCCTCCTCCAAGTGGCTGATCACCGAGTTCAGTAGCCTGGAGTCGGAGCTAAGCCGTAGCTGCGGGTCCTCCAATAGGCGCGAAAGTGCCCGCCAGTTTCCACAGGTGGCGGCCATCTCGACGAGACTCGCACTGTTAGCCTTACAGGGCTTTGAGTTAACGCTGATGCCGGTGGCAAGGATGGCCTCAAAAGCTCGCTGCTTGTCCTTCTGGATGCTTTCCTCCAGCAGGGGCAGATACTCCTCTTGGTGGGCATTGAGCTGGTTATCCGCCAGGCCCTTGAGGTTCTGGTGATACTCGGCAAACTGCTGCTCGAACAGGACCTCATCGCCGTCCCGCAGGGTGCGATGCAGGGCCTGCAAGTCAAGCTCCGGGCCCTTCTCCCGCTGCTGCGGCAGCTGCAGCTGCGGAAACTGGGACTGCAGGAGCTGGCGCACCTCTCCGTTGCGGTAGCTGTCGATGTCCACCATCGGCTGCCGCAGGAGCAGCTCCACCACCTCCAGCTTTCCCGCCTTCACCTTGTTCTTGCGCAGCACGTGATGGAGGGGCGTAAAGTCCGACTGATCGAGAATGTTGGGCGAGGCGCCGTAGTCTAGCAGCAGCTCCATGCACTGCCGGACGTCCGAGATGTTTTCCTCACTAAGATTCTTAGCCAGCGAATGGAGGGGCGCAAGTTGTCCATACTTCCGGTCCACGTCGACCTTCGAGCCGGGACGGTTTTGGAGTAGGGCCGCCAGGTTGCCGGGATCCCTTGAGTCGGCGGCATAATTCACTGCGGCCTTGTTCAGCTTCTGGTTAATCTGAGGGAGGATGATGAGAATGCTTATTGGGATCTATCCGAACACTGCCTTTGTGTAATGCTTACATAGTTTACTTGGCTCCCGTGGGCAATGCAGGCCTCTATGAATTCTCGGCATCCTTTCGTGGACAGGGCCTTCTCGTAGATGCTCGTGTGTCTCTCGTCCTGGAGATCGGCCTGGGCACCGCTGTCCAAAGCAGCCTTGAATCTCCTGATGTCCCGCTTGGACAGAGCGTCGCTCAACTGGGCCTGCGGATCGACGAAACCGCAGTTGTTTAAGTCCATTTGGGGGTTCTGCAACGAAAGAAAGAGAGAGTGAGGGCGGATGAGCAATGGTTACCTAATTAGTGGGGCAAGACCCGCATTGCTCACTCAGCTTCTGACCCGACCAGCTTTTTGGCAGTCCAAAACCTTGGAATGCTAAGACAATAGCTGGACAGACTGGACGCGGACTTGACACAGCTTCATGCTACGATGATTTTCACACAAGCCGGCCAGCAGCAGTGGCTGGTGATGGATCCAAAAGCTGCCCTTCAGGTTTCTTGACAAGCATAATCTTCGCTTCGGAGGCGGCAATTAAAGAAAGCGTCTGTAAGTGGTTTTTGTGGTACGAACTTCGGTCTTAATTTGCTCCCCATGTAGTTATTAAATTATAACAATGCCAGAAGAGACAAGCGAGGCCGGGGAGTACTTGATTGCCCACATACATAGATATGTATTGACCGCTGTCTTGGGCAGGGGATTGGGATTGATCCACAATCAGGTTTTGGGCTTTGGGCTATCAAAGTCTAACGATCGTAAAGAATAATCATAAAATAATCGACACATCAGTATCAATTAGCCATCAATTTGTTGCGCTTTACGCTTTGATAACTCTTCTGGGCCTGGGGCTTCCGAAAATGAGGAGACGTCAGGGGTGCCCTGGGGTGCTGAAATCGCACGATTTATCGGCGGCTTTTGGGCCAAATTTCAAGGCGGCTTCTTCTGTGGGATCTACAGTTCTCCAGTCTCTGCTTTGATGCTTAAAATGTGTGAGAAATCGGCTAATCAGACTCGAGACAACTTGGCTAATTTGAATATCAGCCACCGCTGATTATATATCAATAGCCACGGAATTGGTAATCAGGAAACGATGAGAGGGCTTATGGATGTTATTTGGCTTAGCAAACAAATTGGATATTGTAAGATGATGCCCAGAGGGGTCCCCAACAAGCCCGATAAGATAAACAGAATCGCACAATCACCCTCCGTAATTGACTCCAGTGTTTGTCTTATATTCCAGCGTACTATTTGTCCACTAGAACCTATATTTGTACAAGCAATTATGGACAAACAGCTTCATTGTTTAATAAGCTCAGTCCAAAAAACTGAACTCGACAGTTGACAGAAAGAATTGCGTAATATTTAGTAATCGGCGGAAAGCCAAATTCTCTGACCCAGCATCCGGACAAGCCACTGCCACCTGGAATCCACTACAAGAAAACCCGTCCCTGTTGATCAGGTTTTGGCAACAGGAAAAGCTGAAAAAAGGCCAACAAATAATTGCACTTAACGGAAGTCTTGCACAACTCTCAGCTGCAGAGAAGAAATGGAATACTTACAAGCCTGTCTTTCAAGTGAAAGAGTTTATGGTTAGACATAGTTTGAGCCAAGCAAAAACGATACATTTCAAATAGGTTTCCACGAACAAACTGTCATTTCCCAATACATTTAAACAAATAATTAGTTCTCTTTTATTTAAACTTCATCAAGATTCGATAATTTCCGACGCCCACTTTAAATTGCTATAACTTCGGAAATACTCTGACCTGAAATAAATAAATTATACAAGCTGTGTACAGTCTTGTGATTTATTCTTGGATCCCAATTTGGACTCTACACTGAATCCTATAGCCAGTCTCGACAAAGACTCAAGAAACAAAAAATAAATTAAAGTAAAAATAAAGAAGGAACAAAACAGCGACAAGAATGAGAAAGGGGAGTTGATATGTATATGTGAAAGTCTGGAAATGTGTCAGACAGAAGGGAGATATGCGTAAGTACATCCGCAGATTGCCATTTAGGAGGATACAAAGTAAATACCTCGAACTGCACCCTCATGAATACGTGACGGACTCGAGGGCCGTAAAATCGGGCATCGGGATGTTGAATCTAGAAGTTTCAGAGCTTTAAGAAGTGGCGAAAATAATTCAATTTGCTTGTCCATAAAGTCTATAAATTCTGTGTTTATTAGCAAACTAAACACTTTGTTTACTTTACTTAGGGCGCTTTTACTGCATTTAATGAAAGAAATGCTCGCCTTTTGTTTACACTTGGATTTATAGCTGGAAGAAGATGAACACGTACCGAGAAATTTAAAAACAAAAAAGAGCCTAGAAGCGAAGACACAGAAACATCGTGATCGTGATCGGGAACAGCTCACCATTTGGAGTCGCAGCCAAAGTGAGACTTGAACCGCTCTCGCAGCTCCGAAATTGTCATCGTAAAAACTTCATAATTAAGATGGATGCGTGTAGATATAGATGTAGATACAGATGCGAATGGGCTGACTTCATGCTGAAGTGAGCTTGTTTATGAAGCATCCGCAAAAAATCCAAAAAACAACCTCATCCAGCAGAATTTTGTTGTACAGAAAAAGCAATGTTTATCCGTCCAAAAAAACTACAACAGACACACATGGAAATTGTTAAATAAGTGGATACCATACCCTCCCTATTCATGTGCTCTACATTCTCTCGACCCGTTGTGCACTTCATAAACAATTGTCTGGCCAACGTCATGGAAACACAACAAAAGATCTGGGGGGAGGGATGGGTATCCAGAAACACAGCTCTCCGCACGATTCAGTAATTTCAAATAATTTAATTAAAGGCAAACACTCTCTCTCTCGGACGGAGGAAAACGGAACTTAATTGGTATGGAGAATTGGTGCAAGAGTGTTAACAGATTGCTCGGCGAGAACAGCAAATCCCAATCAAATATCTAATATGCGATGAATCCCCTCTGGATCTACGCCGCTGTGCTTTACGAAGAGTAGCAAACACGAATAACCAAAAGCCTCAGGGGCGGAGCCAAGTAGGCGAGCGAATGAAACAATTCTCCTGAGGTATATGCTTGTACGATTGTATTTGCATTGGAATGGGCACTGGAATCCCTAACAGGCCGTTAATAGCCTAATCGATGGATTACCTAATTGTAATAGGCAATAAAAAATGCAAATCAGTACATGAGCAGGAGGAGGAGGAGGAGACGGAGTAGAACGGAAGCGCTGGACACCTTAATTCCATGCATATGACGGGGCTCCGATTGTCCCCAACCCAGTTAAGTAAACATGGGTTCAATTACGGCTCTTCCACGACGCAGCTGAAAGCCTGCCTGGTCAGCAAGAACATACTTTTTGTTGACTTTGCCGGCACTCGGGTTTCAAGAGTAAAACTCTTAAAAAGACTATTCAGAGAACTAGCCACCGCCTTTTAGGGAATCAACCCACCAGATCGTGATCACTGCCCATCGGGCATTAGAAAAGCGTTTTGCTTAAAATTCGATGATGTCACGGGCTAAAAATTAATTAGGAATTTATCATTTATCAAAATGCAATTCTTGATTAATTAGCTTCTCGCGACGTCACTTTATTGAGTTTTTGCCGTAGGCGCCGTTTTCTGCAGTTTTTTAACCTTGGCTTGGAACGTTCAATATTTTAACAAACTTGTTTTCACTGACTCTGTTTTTGTTGTTGAGTGGGTTGGAGGCGAGCTGATCTTTGCAACTGCGGTTTACTCATTCCTCTTATATCCCACACATATCTGCATTACACATGATTCATTCACATTTACTAATGATACGCGTTTTAATTTCTCCGCCAGTCATCTAAAGCTTAGTTTTGTCACAGCATCAATGAGATTTGCATAATGCGGCTGGCGGTGAATCATCGTTTAGTTTTTGGAAATATTGCTGGAATTTTTTAAATCCTCCTATTTTAAAAACACTTCTTTTGTAGTGCTTTTTTTCACGAAACACGAGCACTTGCCGCGATCATTACCTTCTGCGGGGATATCCAATATGCAACTGATTCCGCGTTCGGTGTAAGCGATCTCCAAGTGGCGCGTTGTTGGGGCTTTTCAAATATAATCGATAAAAAGTATCTTCAACAGAGCTTAAGACTTATCGATATATTGCCATGTTGATAACAGCAGTCGAAATTCATAACATGAATGATGATAGCATAGTGCCGTAGTCATTGATGTTTCATCCATATTATTGTTTTAACGTTTTTATTTATGCCTTTGCTGGGTATTATAATTTAATTCAGGAGCTTGTAAACTGTAACCATGAACTATATACGTATATTCTTGATCAGCATCAACAGGCGATTCCTTCTAGGCATAAAGGAAAGATAATAAATTTCTTTCAATTTTTTGAACACTTTTTAAGGGGTTACATCGTTAAAAATTGCAAAAATTTTATATTTTTTTTACATTTTAAATGATGATTATGCAGACTTATTGGCCTAATAAAAACTTGCATGGGACAGCTTTCCGAATTAAAATTAATGCCTTTTTGGCTAAGTTATGCGATTTTTATACCCTTGCAGGGTATTATAATTTCAGTCAGAAGTTTGCAACGCAGTGAAGGAGGCACCTCCGACTATTTAAAGTATATATATTCTTGATCAGGATCAACAGCCGAGTCGATCTAGCCATGTCCGTCTGTCCGTCTGTCCGTCTGTCCGTCTGTCCGTCTGTCCGTTTCTACGCAAACTAGTCTCTCAGTTTTGAAGCTATCTAAATGAAACTTTGCAGTTAGTCTTCTATATACTCTCACTCGTATATATGTCGGAACGGGCCGGATCGGACGACTATATCATATAGCTGTCATAGGAATGATCGGAAAAGTTTTACAAAAAAAATTATAAAATTTTTTGTTTTCAACAGAATTTGATCAAATTTAAGATATAGCCGTTTTATATTATTCTACAATTTTGTGTAAAATTTTATGAAAATCGGACTAATATATCATATAGCTCCCATAGGAACGATCGAGAAATTTGAGAGGAATGAGGATGGGGGTGGCTGTTGTCGGAAGACTGACAATCGCGGTGGCGATAACATATTTAGTTTTCAACAGAATTTAATCAAATTTGAAATATAGCCATTTCATATTATTCTAAAATTTTGTGTAAAATTTTATGAAAATCGGACTACTATATCATATAGCTCCCATAGGAACGATCGAGAAATTAATACAATTAAATTTATAACTTTTTTAGTTTTCAGCTGATTTTCATAAAATTTGAGGTATAGCCATTTTATATAAGTCTTAAATTTTGTGGCAAATTTCATAAAAATCGGACGACTATATCATATAGGTGCCATACAAACGATCGTTTGATGTAGAGGAAAAATGCAAATCTGTGAATGTAAAACTGCAAATATAATATGTATAGGTGAATGAAATGAAAGCAGGTATTACTTCATTGTTTTTTAACACAAATATATATAATTTATATTGTATTCTATTTATAGAAGTTCTATCTGCAAGGGTATATAAACTTCGGCGTGCCGAAGTTAGCTTCCTTTCTTGTTAAGCATTGATTTGTATAATGAAATTGACAGAAAATTATAAGTAATATCGACTCAAAAAGTGGTATTATAATATCAGTCAGAAGCTGAAAACACAGTGAAGGAGTCATTTCCGACCCTATAATTCATATATATTCTTGATCAGCATGAACAGCCGAATCGATCTAGCAATGTTTCAAAGAAAATAAATTTTGAAAATTTTTTTACATTTTTTGTGTTAAAAATTGTCATTGTCAAAATCTAAAAATTTGACAAAATTTAAACTTTCTTTAATTTTAAAACTCAGTATGCAGATTTGTTAACCCCATAAAAACTAGCAAAGAACAGCTTCCCGAATTGAAATTGATGCATTTTTGGCTAAGTTATGGGTTTTTTAAATTTCAATTTGGTGGAAAAATTGTCATATAAATATATATAGATATCAACTCAAAGAATGGTATTATAATATCAGTCAGAAGCTGAAAACACAGTGAAGGAGTCATTTCCGACCCTATAATTCATATATATTCTTGATCAGCATGAATAGCCGAATCGATCTAGCAATGTTTCAAAGAAAATAAATTTTGAAAATTTTTTTCACATTTTTTGTGTATTTTCTGCATTACACATGATTCATTCACATTTACTAATGATACGCGTTTTAATTTCTCCGCCAGTCATCTAAAGCTTAGTTTTGTCACAGCATCAATGAGATTTGCATAATGCGGCTGGCGGTGAATCATCGTTTAGTTTTTGGAAATATTGCTGGAATTTTTTAAATCCTCCTATTTTAAAAACACTTCTTTTGTAGTGCTTTTTTTCACGAAACACGAGCACTTGCCGCGATCATTACCTTCTGCGGGGATATCCAATATGCAACTGATTCCGCGTTCGGTGTAAGCGATCTCCAAGTGGCGCGTTGTTGGGGCTTTTCAAATATAATCGATAAAAAGTATCTTTAACAGAGCTTAAGACTTATCGACATATTGCCATGTTGATAACAGCAGTCGAAATTCATAACATGAATGATGATAGCATAGTGCCGTAGTCATTGATGTTTCATCCATATTTTTGTTTTAACATTTTTATTTATGCCTTTGCTGGGTATTATAATTTAATTCAGGAGCTTGTAAACTGTAACCATGAACTATATACGTATATTCTTGATCAGCATCAACAGGCGATTCCTTCTAGGCATAAAGGAAAGATAATAAATTTCTTTCAATTTTTTGAACACTTTTTAAGGGGTTACATCGTTAAAAATTGCACAAATTTTATATTTTTTTTACATTTTAAATGATGATTATGCAGACTTATTGGCCTAATAAAAACTTGCATGGGACAGCTTTCCGAATTAAAATTAATGCCTTTTTGGCTAAGTTATGCGATTTTTAAGCATTGATTTGTATAATAAAATTGACAGAAAATTATAAGTAATATCGACTCAAAAAGTGGTATTATAATATCAGTCAGAAGCTGAAAACACAGTGAAGGAGTCATTTCCGACCCTATAATTCATATATATTCTTGATCAGCATGAATAGCCGAATCGATCTAGAAATGTTTAAAAGAAAATTAATATTGAAAATTTTTTTTCACATTTTTTGTATTAAAAAATGTCATTGTCGAAATCTAAAAATTTGACAAAATTTAAACTTTATTTAATTTTTAAACTCAGTATGCAGATTTGTTAACCCCATAAAAACTAGCAAAGAACAGCTTCCCGAATTGAAATTAATGCATTTTTGGCTTAGTTATGGCTTTTTTAAATTTCAATTTATCGGAAAAATTGTCATATAAATATATATAGATATCAACTCAAAGAATGGTATTTTAATATCACTCAGAAGCTGAAAACACAGTGAAGGAGTCATTTCCGACCCTATAATTCATATATATTCTTCATCAGCATGAATAGCCGAATCGATCTAGCAATGTTTCAAAGAAAATCAATTTTGAAAAATTTTTTTCACATTTTTTATGTTAAAAGATACTTGTCGAAATCTAAAAATTTGACAAAATTTAAACTTTCTTTAATTTTAAAACTCAGTATGCAGATTTGTTAACCCCATAAAAACTAGCAAAGAACAGCTTCCCGAATTGAAATTGATGCATTTTTGGCTAAGTTATGGGTTTTTTAAATTTCAATTTGGTGGAAAAATTGTCATATAAATATATATAGATATCAACTCAAAGAATGGTATTATAATATCAGTCAGAAGCTGAAAACACAGTGAAGGAGTCATTTCCGACCCTATAATTCATATATATTCTTGATCAGCATGAATAGCCGAATCGATCTAGCAATGTTTCAAAGAAAATAAATTTTGAAAATTTTTTTCACATTTTTTGTGTATTTTCTGCATTACACATGATTCATTCACATTTACTAATGATACGCGTTTTAATTTCTCCGCCAGTCATCTAAAGCTTAGTTTTGTCACAGCATCAATGAGATTTGCATAATGCGGCTGGCGGTGAATCATCGTTTAGTTTTTGGAAATATTGCTGGAATTTTTTAAATCCTCCTATTTTAAAAACACTTCTTTTGTAGTGCTTTTTTTCACGAAACACGAGCACTTGCCGCGATCATTACCTTCTGCGGGGATATCCAATATGCAACTGATTCCGCGTTTGGTGTAAGCGATCTCCAAGTGGCGCGTTGTTGGGGCTTTTCAAATATAATCGATAAAAAGTATCTTTAACAGAGCTTCAGAACTATCGATATATCGCCATGTTGATAACAGCAGTCGAAATTCATAACATGAATGATGATAGCATAGTGCCGTAGTCATTGATGTTTCATCCATATTTTTGTTTTAACATTTTTATTTATGCCTTTGCTGGGTATTATAATTTAATTCAGGAGCTTGTAAACTGTAACCATGAACTATATACGTATATTCTTGATCAGCATCAACAGGCGATTCCTTCTAGGCATAAAGGAAAGATAATAAATTTCTTTCAATTTTTTGAACACTTTTTAAGGGGTTACATCGTTAAAAATTGCACAAATTTTATATTTTTTTTACATTTTAAATGATGATTATGCAGACTTATTGGCCTAATAAAAACTTGCATGGGACAGCTTTCCGAATTAAAATTAATGCCTTTTTGGCTAAGTTATGCGATTTTTAAGCATTGATTTGTATAATAAAATTGACAGAAAATTATAAGTAATATCGACTCAAAAAGTGGTATTATAATATCAGTCAGAAGCTGAAAACACAGTGAAGGAGTCATTTCCGACCCTATAATTCATATATATTCTTGATCAGCATGAATAGCCGAATCGATCTAGAAATGTTTAAAAGAAAATTAATATTGAAAATTTTTTTCACATTTTTTGTGTTAAAAAATGTCATTGTCGAAATCTAAAAATTTGACAAAATTTAAACTTTATTTAATTTTTAAACTCAGTATGCAGATTTGTTAACCCCATAAAAACTAGCAAAGAACAGCTTCCCGAATTGAAATTAATGCATTTTTGGCTTAGTTATGGCTTTTTTAAATTTCAATTTATCGGAAAAATTGTCATATAAATATATATAGATATCAACTCAAAGAATGGTATTATAATATCAGTCAGAAGCTGAAAACACAGTGAAGGAGTCATTTCCGACCCTATAATTCATATATATTCTTGATCAGCATGAATAGCCGAATCGATCTAGCAATGTTTCAAAGAAAATAAATTTTGAAAATTTTTTTCACATTTTTTGTGTTAAAAATTGTCATTGTCAGAATCTAAAAATTTGACAAAATTTAAACTTTCTTTAATTTTAAAACTCAGTATGCAGATTTGTTAACCCCATAAAAACTAGCAAAGAACAGCTTCCCGAATTGAAATTGATGCATTTTTGGCTAAGTTATGGGTTTTTTAAATTTCAATTTGGTGGAAAAATTGTCATATAAATATATATAGATATCAACTCAAAGAATGGTATTATAATATCATTCAGAAGCTGAAAACATAGTGAAGGAGTCATTTCCGACCTCATAAACTATATATATTCTTGATCAGCATCAACAGGCGATTCTTTCTAGGCATAAAAGAAAGATAACACATTTTTTTAAATTTTTTCAACATTTTTTAAAATTAATGCTTTTTTGGCTAAGTTATGAGATTTTTAAACTTTGATTTGTTGAACAAATTGTCATATAAAAATATAAATAATAAAATCGTCCGATTGTTCCAATGTCAGCTATATATATGTATATATATAGTCCACCTATTCGCCGTACTCCGACTTATATACTAGTAAAATTATATAGACAAATAACTCCACAGTTCCATTCAAATAGCTTGATCTTAAATTTGTTCCAAAATAAATCTGTCTATATGCATATGATTCCCAACTGGTTCTAACATCCCCGGAACGAAGTGACTGCTGCCTGCCCAGTATCAGACATGTGTTGGGTTACAAAAGTTGCAAGTCATTGTTAATTTGTGTTCAAAGTTAGTAACTGATCATACATGCTTACTGGTCATAGATACTTATTGATCATACTTACTTACTGGTCATAGGTACTCACTGTTCAGAGTTACTTACTGCTGACAGTTAATTACTGATCATAGCCCTATAAATCGTCCGATTGTTCCTATATCAGCTATATATATGTATAAATATAGTCCACCGATTCGCCATGCTTCGATTTATATAACAGTAAAATTATATAGAAGAATAATTCCATAGTTTCATTCAAATAGCTAGATCTTAATTTTGTTCCAAAACAAAACTCTCTCTGAGCTTATGATTCCCAACTGGTTCTAACATCCCCGGAACGAAGTGACTTCTGCCGGCCAAGTCTCAGAATAGTGTTGTGTTACAAAAGTTGCAAGTCATTGTTTATTAGTGTTCAAAGTTGCTAACTAAACTGATCATACATGCTTACTGGTCATAGATACTTATTGATCATATTTACTTAGTGGTCATAGAACTACTGTTCAGAATTACTTACTGCTTATAGATACTTATTGATCTTACATACATACTGATCATAGATACTCACTGTTCAGAGTTACTTACTGCTCACAGTTAATTACAGATCATAGATCTATAAATCGTCCGATTGTTCCTATATCAGCTATATATATGTATAAATATAGTCCACTGATTCGCCATGCTTCGATTTATATAACAGTAAAATTATATAGAAGAATAATTCCATAGTTTCATTTAAACAGCTTGCTCTTAAATTTGTTCCAAAACAAATCTCTCTCAATGCATATGATTCCCAACTGGTTCTAACATCCCCGGAACGAAGTGACTGCTGCCTGCCCAGTATCAGACATGTGTTGTGTTACAAAAGTTGCAAGTCATTGTTTATTAGTGTTCAAAGTTAGTAACTGATCATACATACTAACTAGTCATACTTACTTACTGGATACTTTCTGATCATAGTTACTTAAAGTTCATTGCTACTTAATGATCATAGTTACTTACTGGCCATTAAGACCTCTGCTAACATTGTCGCAATGTTAAAAGCCTAACTTAATTATAAACTTTTCACGATTATGATTTCTCTTTTTATTGTTTATGATTTTGTAGAACTTAAAAGTTCTGTTTAAAATGTTAAAAGCAGTAGAAAGACGTTAAAGATTATGAAAAATTGCGGTTTTTATTTAATGTTATGTAAAAAATGGTAAATATCTTCTATTTCGAAAAATAACATGAAGTGAGTTTATATATGTAGGTATGTATAATATCGTATACAAAACACCTGAACATTTTTTCTTGATCCTTGACCTGACTAATTGGGACCTCACTTTCTGGCCGAAATGCTGTTGAACACAATATCCACTATCCCCAGTTTAATGCAGGCCCAGTAGGCCAGACCCGAGAGGATACAAGTTTTACAGATGCGGTCCAGGACATACATGCTGCGAAAAGGACCAGAGCAGGTGAGAAAATTGTCAGCAGGAGAATTACTAAAAGAGCTTACAATCTTAATTGAATGCGGGATTTGGGCAGGGAGGTCAGGGGTTCCTTCATCACGTACTGACGTCCACCCAGAATGCTGACTTTCATGTACTCATAGTCGTCGACATCGTCCGTGTTGATCTTGAAACTTTTTAGAGAAATTTCGGGTAAGATTAATCTCTTAATTCTTGAAGTGGAAACTTACATTTTGCGATCAGCGGCGTTTAGCTCCTTATATATTTGCTCAAAGTGCGTGGACTTGAAATCCCAGTTGCGAGTCGTGAAGAACTGCAGCACCTCCAGCCCCACCGCGATCTTCGTTTGCACCCGGATCATGCTGTAACGAGAGGAGAGAAGAAGGCATCATCGACCTTGCTCCTGGCACACGAGCTCACAAGAGTCATACAAGCGTCGCTGTCCGAAGATCAGCAGCAGGAAATCGATAAGGTAGGCCGGCAGCCACATGAACATGATGCTGCAGAAGGTGTGGTAGAACTTGTTGGAGGTCATGTTGCCGTCGGGATACCAAAGTCCGAATTCGAAGGGATACTTCAGCCCCAGGTCACGGCCCACGTCCATGATCCACTTCCAAGTACGCTTCTTGGCATCGTCCACGGTCAGGTTGTACACTGGGATCTGCAGCGGTCTGCGGCGAATACGAAGGTTTATCAAACAAGCATTTGATGGTTAAGCATCTTCGGGATTTACCTCTTCTCCGCGAGAGTGTTGTGGTAGGGCAGTAGAATCAGACCGTTGATGGCAATGTCCACAGGAATGACTTCAGACTTTAATTCGCCATTGCAGATCATGGAACGGATGACTCCCTTGCCGGCTCCAATCAGGACGCCCGTCGGCCCGTTCATGTTGTCCACCCAGCCCGGCAGGGGTTCAGACACCGCTGGCGTTACTGCCGGAGTACATAGAAAAGACGTAAGCTAAGCCCACTTATAAGGAGTCGCGACAAGGTACAAGAACGATGCCGAAGAGAAACAACGTGGCAGTGGGCGGTAAGTGTGTGTATATTCAACAACCTAGGATCATGTTTATTTGGAATCGAAACCTCGAATATGCGTAACTAAGACTAAGCTAATTGACTAAGTTAATGCCTGTGACCACCAAAACCAATGCAAGCTCTGGACTCTGGACTCAAAATATAGCCAGCACCCCCGTCCACTTCAGGAGGTAGTAGAAGAAGAGTCCCACGATGAGAGTCTTGCACACGACATCCACGACATATTGGCTGGAAAAGAAAGATAGTCCTTATTATTTGGCTTCTAATGGAAGTCCTTTGCGCTACTCACATCTTCATGTGCAGGCGGGCCTTGGGAATGTCCTCCTCCTTCTCCTTGAGTATGAACTTGCGGGCCCCCTTCGCACACTGGATCATATACTCCTCCTCGGTCTCCTTGACATTCATGTTCATGTTGAAACTGGAAGGAAAGTTTTATGAGTCTAAAGAAATATGCAAAGAAAACTGAGCACTTACATGGCCTTGTCTTCCTCGTTGAGCTTGTTCCACAGCGAGGCGTAGTTATCGGAGCGGAAGCACCAGGCATTGAGCGTGAAGAACTGAAGGACACCCAGGCCGGTGGAGATCTTCTCCTGGACCCTCAGCATGCTGCAGGAAAGAAACCAGAAGTCAGACGCATATGCAGGCTAAGAGGACCAATGCCACTCACAATCTCTTCTGGCCAAGCAGCAGCATCAGGAAGTCGAGGAAGTAAGCGGGCAGCCAGTGGAAGAGGGCCACATTGAAGTTGTGGTAGAAGGTGTTGGTGGTCACGCATGGATCCGGGTACCAGAGACCCGCGTTGAAGGGGATCTGCTTGTTGATGCGCTTGCTCATCTCCACCACGGTGCCCATGCACATCTTCCGGTGATCGGCATTCGTTATGTTGTAGACGGGCACGTTGACCGGACGCTTGGCCTGCTTGTTGAACTCGTACGGAATGACGATCAGTCCGTTGATGGCATAGTCCACGGGTATCACCTCGGCCTTGTTCTTCTGGTTGACCAGCACCGAGCGGATCACGCCCTTGCCGCAGCCGATCATGAGACCAGTGGGTCCGTTCAGGTTGTCCACCCATCCGGGCAGCGGCTCGTAGGCAGCTGGTGAGACTGTGGTGCAAGTAGGGAGTAAATTAAAAGGGGAATAGCTTCTCTGATAAACTCTACATACCACGAAGCCCTGGTTGATGGTCACCGATGCCGTGTTTAGAGTGTTAATGTGTGTGTGAGTGGGGTTTAAGTGTGAGTTTAAGTGTGTGGGGTTAGGCCTTGATATGGGGTGAGAGTGTGAACAGATATGCAAATAAGAGGACAGGAGATAGTGTGAAGGAAGTCTCTGACTCTAATTGTTCTGTGGGGGTAGGCCTGTAGTGGATCGTGTTCGTGTAGTGGTTGTGTTTCTGTTTATGTGGTTCGTGTTGTCTCTGGAGCAGATAGTCCTCAGCACTGGATCAACACAATTGGACACTTTAAGCACAGACACATAGACTACAGTACACAGACACATCGCACCTTGAGGTTTATTTTAGCTCGTTTTCTCGTTTATTTCACATGAAACATAGATATTCACTTAAATTAAATATGAAAACCAGATCCGGTATCCCCGGAGTTGTGCCCCAAAGCGAACCAAAGCGGAGATTGATTGGAAATGCGCGCAATATGAATTGGAATTGGGCTCGGTCTGGACCTCCCTCCAGTCAGGCCCTCTCAGACGCCCAGGAGACGGGCCACCAGGCCGTAGACCCAGTAGCAAAACGAACCCACGATAACCGTCTTGCAGAAGCGGTCCAAGATGTACATTCTAGAAATGGAATGGAACGGAGGGTGGAGTGCTCAGAGATCAAAGACTCTCGGGAGTGGGGTTGGGCTCGCTTACAGCTTCAGCTGGAGCCTGGCTCGCGGCAGGCTGTCGGGCGACTCCTTCATCAGGTACTGGCGACCGCCTTGGACGCACGACTCAATGTACATGGGGACGGTCTCCTCGGGATCCATGTCCATATTAAAGCTTCGAGCGGGAAATAAGTAATCTTTGAGCCCCTCAACTCTCACTTTACGTTGAGTTATGTTACGTACTTTTTCCTATCCGCTTCGTTGAGCATGGCCCAGAGCGAGGAGTAGGCATCTGACTTGAAGGTCCAGGCGCGCATCGTGAAGAACTGCAGCACCTCGAGACCAACCGAGATGCGGTTCTGGACACGGATCATGCTAGGCGCGAGACAGAAACGAAAAGGAGGTCAGGATTTCCACCCAGGAGCCACCTCAGCCGTCACTTACAATCGCTTCTGGCCGAGCAGCAGCAGGATAAAGTCAATGAAGTAGGCGGGCAGCCAGTGGAAGAGTATTACGTTGATGTTGTGGTGGAACTTGTTGGTAGTTATGCACCCGTCCGGGTACCATAGGCCCGCCTCCATCGGGTAGCGGTAGCCGATCTCCTTGCTCATCTCGATCACCTCGCCCCACGGCATCTTCCGGTGGTCGGCGCACGTGATGTTGTACACCGGTACCTCCGCCGGCCTCTCCTTGAGTTGTGCGAACTGGTACGGGATCACGCAGAGCCCGTTGATAGCATAGTCCACTGGGATCGCCTCGGACAGGAAGCGCGTGTCGATCAGCATGGAGCGGATGACGCCCTTGCCGGCGCCCACCATGAGGCCGGTGGGTCCGTTCAGGTTGTCCACCCAACCCGGAACGGGCTCGTAGGCCGACGGCGACACTGGTCGGACAATGTTGGAGTTCAGACTCACTTCCGGGGGGTCGGAAGCGTGGTGGAGGCAGATGCGTGGCGAAGCCTTTGGTAGTGACAGGGCGCAGCGTGAGCGAGGACAGGGGCTAAGCGTGGGCTGTTTCTTCTGTTTTCATTGCATGCTCATTGAACTTTTTGGTCAATGACGACGCCAGTGGCGGGGCAGTGTGTGTTTAAGCAATGTCTTGGGCCGCGCGCATGTAATTCGCCTTTTCCTTTTTGTTTTGTTTTGTGTTGTTTTTAAAAGCTCATGTTGTAGTCTGTTGTTGTTTGCGCTGTTGTGGGAGCTGTGGCTGGATCTGATCTGTGCGTTAGGCAGAGTGTGCGAGGAGGGGAAGCACATTAGGAGCACCCCACTTGGAGGAGCACGCGGTCAACGATTTCGTATAAAAAAACACACGGAAAGCGCAAATACACGGTACAAATTAGCGGAGGGCGGCAAGAAGCAACTTAAAGCTAAGCACCACACCCCTGGTGTGGCCACCAGATTTCATCGTTTCTTTTTTAAGCTGCTACAATCGGCAAAATCCGCAAACTCTGCGGACCTTTGATCGCCAGTTAGCAAATGGAGACGCAACGCTTCGTTATTGACTCTATTTATGGGGTTATTTGTACAGCTAAGCGGGTCAGCGCCGCCTCGAATCCGCCCCTAGAACCAACGGATTCAGGCAAATGTGTGCTCCTCATTGAACCTTTCATTAAGGGGAGCGAAAACGAGGAAATATTTGCTTGCGTCCCGTTTCCCTCCGAAGGGGCTTTTGTTCTTATATAAATTAATAATATATAACAAGGCCTAATAGAATTTTTACTGTTTTTTAAAGAAACAAAAACATACATTTTCTATTTGAAACTGCAGTAAAATTTGAAATTGCGATATGAAAAGAACTTAAAAGAAACACACTATTAATTATGTGAAACTGCAATAAAATATCACTTTGCAATAGGAAACTGAGAAGAAACCTATATTTTCTAGGTCGTTTATCACTAAAGCTCCTGAAACACCAAACCGCCCACTTATAAATTACCCCCAGCCTTAATAAAATAGTGTTATTTTCTTCAGATTTGCATTAAGCCAAGCGAACAGGTTTCAGTCAGTCCGTCTGTCTCTCCCCGTCTCTATTTCCCCTAACCTATAGCTATATAAATAACGACCTTTCAGGTTTGCAAAAATTGGTAATAGAAAAGTTTAATTGACTGCCAAGAGTTTGGAAAGATCGTGCATTCCCGCAGAGACACTAAAAAAGCCGGGCCAGGTGGCCAAAAATGAAATAAATAATACACAAGGCAAAGACTTAGGCCAAGAGATAAGCAAAGGCGCATGATTAGTTTGCGGAGGGGAACCTAACTCATTCCCGGAGGCTATTGCAGCCTCCCATCCGATGGGATCTCCATAGCCAGCGCCAAGCAAGCAAAGCCCCCAGCCATAGACATTGGACATGGGAAATTAATGACGCGAATTAATCGAATTGCTGCAGAAGCCAAAGCACACGGAAAGCACCACACAGAGAGGTGACAGGCACCAGAGAGGGGGGGAGAGGCTGCAGCTGGAGCCGGAGCTGGAGCTTAGTCAAGAGGTCACTTACCGATGCTGGGACGGGCGATGATCACCGGCATGGACTCGTAGTGGTCGCGCACCAGCAGCTCCGCCAGCCGCTTCGAGTAGGTGTAGGTGTTGGGGTGCGGCTTCAGCAGATCGGGGGTGATGGCGTCCAGGGTCTTCACGTCCATCCACTCGGCCAGGCGCATGAGGTCCTCGGGCTTGTGCGGGAAATCGTACACCTTCTCGTACATGACCTCCTGGTCGCAGTTGCAAAAGGCTGTCGAAAGATGGATGAAGGCCTCCAGCTGCTTCATTTGCTTGGCCACGTTGAGGGCGCGCCGAGTGCCCAACAGGTTCATGTCGACGGCGTCGCGCAGATTGCCCTCCAGCTTGAGGGTGGCCGCCATGTGGAAGACAATGTTGGTGTTATCGGTCACATGCTTGAGGCTGTCGCCGCTCAGGCCCAGCACTGGAAAAAGGAGCAGAGCTAGAGTCTTCATCTTCCAGTAGATCAGGAAAACACTTACGATCGAAGGTCACGTCACCCTGGTAGATGGTCACCTTCTTGAGCATGTGCGGACGCTGTTCCTTGATGCGCTGGAAAATGGGCAGCTTGAACATCTCCTCCAGGCGCGTCTCCGGGGTCTTGCCCCGTTTTGGGCGGCAGATGATGATCACCTCCTTGAGCGAGTGGCAGGAGTAGAGAAGCTTCTCCAGCAACACCTTGCCCATGAACCCAGACGCTCCAGTGATGAAGATCGTCTTGTCCTTGTAGTACTCCTGCACGGGCGATAGATCCACCGTCATCTTGCTGCAAAAGAGACAGGAATGGGGTTCAATTAGTGGTCTGGAATGGAGTCCAATGGAGTGGCGCAAGAAGCATTCCGGGAAAGCGAAAACCAGTCAAAGGAAAAAAACACTGGCGATTGGCAAGCGGCAAGTGGCGCAAGCAGCTGCACAAACTGGGGCTCGCGATTCTGGCCACGCGTGCCGCTCTTGCCACATCCAGACTCGCAGTCGCAGTCGGACTCGGAGTCGGAGTCACTAGCAACCTGCCGCAAACGGGTTTCCAGTTGGACTTTCGGTTTCCACCGAGTATTTGGATTTTCGATTGCGCCTGCGGATTCGCATTTCTTTGCTCTGCCTTATGCAACGCTGGGGCAGCTGCCTCGACTGCTTTTTATATCGTCCCCACTCCCGCGTCCGGGCGGGGATTGTGGCAAGTATTGGTTGCTCAATCTGCATGTGTCGTGGCCTGGCCTGGCCTGGCCTGGCTTCGATTGCAGCCGCGTTACACTTGGACAAATCTGCGGCACAACCAGATCTCCACCAGAGACAATCTCGGACAGTGGCTTGCACTTTGGCCATGCCATGACATTTCACGCAAGACCGAGCTCGATTGTTTACCTCTTGATTCTGTGGCCAGGTGGCCACAGTATCTTTATCTTTCACTGCCGGAGAGTGTTTACCTGCTCCAGTGTTTACCGAACCAGGCAAAATGGAAATAGCAAGGAAGCATGACGCAGCTGCTCCACCTGCGCCTTGAACTACAACCACCAGCTGTAATCTGGGCCGGAGAAGAGCTCGCTAGCTCAATGGGGCGGTTCTCCTTCATCGCTTGGCGGCTTGGTCATTTGGCGCTTGGCGGCTTGTTACTTAGCCGTCAGCTTTTGGGGCTTTATTACCAATTAAAACGCGACCGCCGAATGTGTGAAAACACAGCAAGAGCAGCCGAGCCACGTCGAGAAACAACCTCAGATCGCCTGCACTTATGCAAGCCTCGAATTTTGAGAGCCGACGCCGCCGCCGACCTGGCCAAGTTGTCAAACTCGAAGTCATAAGCATAACACACATAAACAAAGAGTCTAGCTCGAGCTGGAGCTCCAACTGAAGCTGAAACTGAGACTTAAACTGAACCTATGACAACGAAGCTTCATTTGGTTGACTGCAAACGAAAGACTTAGGCAACGAACTTGATCCATATAAGTGATGTGAAGGAGAAAGCAGTTACTATAAACATTTCATAAAAATCTAAAAATAATGCAGGGTGATTTTGGATATTAATGATAATATAACTCCCAAAGATCTACTCCTACAAGATGTGATACTATATAGAATATATAGGTTTCTAATTTACTAGAAGAGCATCCACTTTTTAGTTAAATATGTATACATACGTATAATTAATAAACGTGATGTGGGCCTAAACTATTTAGTTTAATATTAATATATCTCTAAAATTGATCCTGTGATTAACGACCTTTAACCTTTCATATTAATTTATTTACTTCATACTTTTTTAATTTTTTTTAAGCCTCAATAAAGGCTGGCCCTATTCAAAACGCTTTGCAAAGACTGTTGATAAATTATGGCTATTCATGTGAATGCCCCACCTCCGTTTTGTCATATTTTTATTAGAGCCCAAACCGGTATGGCTTTCGTGTCTAAGTAAAGACACATTTTCGAATCTTTAATTAGCCAGCAGTGTAACTGTGTTTATTGATGGTCTGTTCGTCTTGTTTACAAACGGCCACCTCGATGAACTTTTGTAGCGTTTTGCAACTCGGTAACGACCTCAGTCAGAACTTCATTTAACTAATCCCAAGCCAATATCTAAGTTAACGATAGTGTGACGTTAGTGGGGAGTCATTAAAATTTTCCAATGCAAAGTGCAGTAAATATGATTGACTGACTGACTGATTGGCTGACCCCTTTTCTAAGGTTGCTTGTGTAAGCCGAGGAAGAGCTAAAGCTGAAGCTGAGCTCGTGTGTGCGTGGAGGATCATTAAGAAAACCACTTGAGGCTGAAACATTAAGCCATGAAATCGAACAAATTTTAAATGTTTGGCAATTCTTCCATTCCATTGCCCATTTTGCCTGAGAGAGACAGCCTTAGCCCCAGTCTTACATATAAATATACAAAAAAATACAAAAATCCCCTCAATATGTAAATATCTATTGATACAAAAATGAGATGGAAGTCAAGCCACACATAAAATTAGCAGCAGAAAAAAACAAAATCTGAAACGCAAACCTTAAACTGAGACTGAAACTGAATCTATGACCGAAATATATGCAAAGGGCTCACGGAACTTGGAAGTATCGAAATATCAGACGGCGACAGTTCACGACACGACCCTGACACAGACGCAAGCAGGCGATCTCAGCGTTGGGTTAGAGCCACTTAATTGCGGTCAGATTGGCATCTAGAGAGGCAGCCGACGCAATTAAACGCTTCGCTGGGCAGCTAAACGCTTCGAATTGCAACCAAATTGCCCCGAAAAAATAATAAGAAACCGTCAAGGAGCTGCGGAGTTGATCTTTGGCCAGGTGAAGTCGGTGTGAATGGTTGAAGACCACCACCAACGTTGGTAGTCAAGTGTTTCAATTACCTCGGGTGCTATGGATTCTCCTCAATTAAAGCGCTTGCAATATTTTTAAAATCAAACACGTCACTCGCGCACGCGAAACGATGCGAGACTAAGTCGAACTGGATTGGATCGGAGTCGGAATCGGAATCGGTTTCTGATCGCGTTGAGCGGCGGCTGTGGAGGAGGAGGAACGGCTCGATGTGCACGCTGCGACGCTCGAAAGAAGACTGATCGCGGCCAGCCTGCTGCTTGTCAATATGAATGGGTTTCGGTTTCGGGTTTGGAGCGCTCTGTGGCTCCGGGATGTGGCAAACCCAAAACCAAAGCCCAAACGCAGCCGAAACGTAGCGAAAATGTTGGCCAGGTTAGTGTTGTTGGTACATAAATATCTATTAGCTTGGCTAATCTAGGCGGAACTCGTACTTAGTTGTCCACTGGCTAAGCACTTAGGTGGGGTCAGGTGGGAGATGGGAGTCCCTATAGGAAAACTAGGCAAACATGTTTGGCCACAGTTTAACTCTTATTGGTTATTGGTTTTTGCACTGACAGAGGAGATGGCAGAGCTCTAGATATATTGGGCATGAATATGCATAAGGGATGCAAAATTAGCTTTTGCACGGATCGACTGAATCGAGTCGGCGTTGTCCATTACACAATAGCCAATGGCCCAGCTTTGCATTCGCTGCCACCGCCATGGCTGTTTTCTGTTGCTGTTGCTGATTTCCACTTTGTTCGACATAATTAGGTGGTTATCAATCTCCTATGCAAATCGTGTATATGCAAATCGCGTTGCCCAATGCTGCGAATAAGGGTAATCAGTGCTTCAGTCTTTCCTGTGATTTTTGCACACATTAAATTATGCATATTGCCAATATTGTTGCAAAAAAATTAAATGCCCGTTAGCATTGGGGTTTTGAATAAGACCGCCAGCTACGACTTATCGATAGTCAGTGCAACTAGCCGAGATCACAACCAATTGGTCGTCATATCTCCAATTAGGAAACTCTTTATTTCACAAATGTTTTTTTTTTATTTTTTGCCCTAAACTTTTCTAAGTTATATTTTTTGGACAGAGGTCCTGTTTCTGTAACTGAACGATTACTTAAAAATCGATATATTGAAAGCACACAACATCGACAATGACCCACCGCCACCACCAGTGGCCTGGTCACACCGCCAAATTTCCCGTCGAAAAAGTCGCAAATTTTATTCGCCTAAAATAAACTGCAAACATGGCCGAGCTGGACGATTTCTTTGCGAAAAAGGACAAGAAGAAGGGCAAGAAGTCGACTAAGTTTGTGACCGCCGACGAGCTGGTGAAGAACCTGGAGGATGGCAGCAAGCGAGAGCTCGTCAAGCCTAAAAAACCGGAAGCGGTCGCTGGCGGCGTGGCAGTAGCAGGCGAAAACGAGACTAGCGCCAAGGTGCCAGAGTCCGTTGCGGTGTGTGCTGTGAGTTGTGATAAAATAAAAGCTAATCGCTTATCCCCAATGCTTTATCCGCCATGCAGCCCGTCGAGGAGGAGTGGAAGGAGTTCGAGGAGGAGCAGAGAAAGGACTACAGCGGCCTGAAGATAGGTCAGCTGAGTACCATGTGAGTTTCTGCCCCTGCGCCCTCTGTGCGCGATACCATGTGTGTCAAAATCACGATTCTTTCACTCGAACCCAAGCTCGGGACATTCATTACGTTTTCCATTTAACCCATCAATATCGCACTATTGCACAAACTCGCCTTCTCTAAAGCAATTCGCCTCATCGCAGAACCGCCACTGAATCCGACGAAGTGCGGGCAGCTCGTGTTCCCACTGCAACCGATGGCGGCAGTTATGAAGAGGAGGAAGAGGACAGCAACGGCTATGATAACGCAGAGTCCGGTGAGAAGCTCGTCGGCCACGGACCCTGGAAGAAGGTGATTCCCGCCGAGGAGGTGATGCAGATCCCGGTGCCGGTGGAGGTCGAAAAGCCATCGTCCAAGACCTACGTTTCTCCCGCGTTACGTTACAGCGTGAGTAGAGATAGCAGCTGCCCGATCCGATCTGGTAACCAGTAACCGTACACCTCTTTCGAATCTGCAGCAACAAGCTGGCTTGGGGAGCGCACTGGGCGGCGGCTCCGTCGGCGGTGGCCTGCGTCCTCGACGCGCCGCACCGGATATAACCAACACCGAGTTCTTCCCAACGCTCAGTGCAGCGCGCCCGGAGGAACAGCGCAAGAAGAAAAACGAACCCGCCTTCGAAGAAGTACGTCATGGTGGCCGCTTTCAGCGTGTGCAGGAGGCCACGAGCGCCCCCGTGGCGGCCTCCAACCGGTTCCAATCGCTCGATGATGAAGCCAGCTAGGTTTCAGCAGCTGCTGCTGATGCTGGCCACGGGAAGCGTTGTCAACCGTCACAGTGTCCGCTGCCGAGCTCAAGTCATCCAGTTCCAGGGGTTCTGCGCCAGCTCATGCGATCCTTCTAGGCTTCTTTATTCATCTATACCTCTTCCCCCACTGCTACTCTACCCTATGCCACAGCCACAAACTACTATTGTTCATTTCGTTTTGCATTTTTTGAAGTATGGAATCAATGTAATAGAATACGAATAATAGCCATGCGTTGAAATCCGTTTATAAACGTTACTTTTTTATAAGTGTCTCCTCTTGTCGTTGTCTCACTCATCCGTCTTGAGGTCCTCCGGCTGGCTATTCAAGTAACTGAAAGAGAGGGTTGCTTCAGTCAGTAGGATAGATCGTCTCGGGACGGCACTGTGCGTGCTGACTTCTCGCTATACGGCTTTTCCGGCGTGTTGTGGTAGCACTCGAGCTGCTCCTTGGCCAACAGCTTCTCCGGAAAGTTACGAATCAGATACAGCCAGCAATGGACGGTCCTGTAACAGAGGAACCGAATGTACTCTTTAGCCAGACTTCCAGCTGCCTGTGCCACCTACTCATCCTGCTCGGTCCGTATGGCCTGTTCCTCGCGGTCGTAGTAGTTTGGGTAATCCTCCAGTTCGTCCAGTTTGCCAAACATGGCCTGGTCCACTTCGTAGATCTCGCCTTGTATTTGCTTGCCCTGGCCGGGCTTGGCCAGCAAGAATGGAATGTTGTACCGGGTGCCCACCACCAGGGGAAAGCGTACCACTGTCGTGCCTTTGCCGAGAAACCGGGAACTCCCGTTCTCCTTTTTCGTCAGCCAATGGTGGTTGGGCTCCCCGCGCTTCAGCGTGCCGTACACAAAGACCCTTTGCAACATACTCCTCATGGGGACACTACAGGGTGTGGTGCTTATCGGTTCCGCGGTCTATCGAGGCCACAAATCTGCCTCGGAGATTGCTCAGTCGACGTAACCCGCCCGATTTCTTCTTCTTGCTGCCATTCGCAGCGCAACTGGTGGACTACACCGGGAGAAATCGGGTATAGAACCGGATATGGGGCTAATGGAAAAGTACCTCGAGTGGTGTAGTTTATATAAGGAAAAGCCAGACAACGTTCATTTGAATTGCTTCACTTTATTATTGTTTTTATTACAAGCTAAGTTCGCTAAAACCTAAATAATGCGTATGGTACATATCGTATATATCAGATATCAGTGTATATATCAATTGCCAATATAAGCGCGTATATATCAATCCGTACAGCTGGGCATGTACGGTCTAGAAATGCAACTACCGGTAACATAAGAATAGTGGCCACTCCCCGAAGGCGACGACACGCCTAGTTCTGGGCCTCGTAGCTGAGGTCGTCCTGCGCCGGGTGCTTGTGGGTACGGCGGTGGCGCATGATATACGGATGCGTGGTGGAGTTCTCGTAGCTGGACAGGTACGGCAGGTTGAGCAGCTTCTCCGGGTACTTCTGCAGCAGGTACACCCAGCAAGGGACGGTGCTGAAATGAAAGTAATAAGAGAAACAGATGGTCAGGTCGGGTTCGGTTTATACGTCGAAGCTGACGTCAACACTTACCCCTCGCCCACGCCAATGTTCATGTCCTGCTTCTCACGCGTGTAGATGTCCTCGCAGTCCTCTAGGTTGTCCAGGGAGTTGAGCATGCGATTGTCCACCTCGTAGATCTCGCCGGTTACGTAATAGCCCACACCGGGCTTGTTAAGCAGGAAGGGAATGTTGTACCGGGTGGCGATCACCAGCGGCAGCTTCTGGGTGGTGGTGGCCTTGCACCAGAACTTGGCATGTCCATTGCCAGTACTGGCAAGGATCGAGTTGCTCGGCTGTCCGTACTTGAGGGCTCCGTAAACGAAGAGCTTGCTCAGCGCAGAGGTGGCTTTCTGCAGAGTGGGCGGAGAGAGAGAAGAGAAGTGGGGTTAGGTTAGTGGTCCGAAGAAGAGCAGGTGGTAATTGGGTATCTGGTAACTTTGGTGTCTCCGGCCTAGTAATATCAATCTTTGCCAGCTTATCTGAGATCAGCATATTTTCCACTCGCCCAAGTCCGGCAAAGCCCCCCGCCAAGTTCCCTGATAAGGCGGACGCACACGCTTCGCCGCCGTCTGCTCCTCCTCCTGCTCCCCTGTGATTGTAGCGGTCGTGCCCACCGTCGATGTTTAATAATAGAATAAAAATTGAGCGCTGCTCGCACAGATGAGCTGGCCGGGATGGCCCTAACCGGTTTGGTGCATTTAACACTCATTAACACTTATAAACTGTTCTGTTTTTGGGGCTTTTTAGGTGTGCGTGCCTCGCAAACTGCGCAGCAGCTACGCCTCCATCGGCTGTGTACATATACATATATGTACCATATCTCCAGATATCTCTACATACATACATATGTGGGCGATTTATGCGCGTGATTAGGGGCAGGACGGATAATTGCTAAATCGGTCTAATCAATGGTGTAAGTGGAGATCACACGCAACCCGCCAGGCGGCCTCCAATCAATGTCATTACTATGAGGCATTGCATCGCCACCGGTGCCGCATCTCGCCGAGTTGCTTACATAACTCGCCGCCCGAGCTAGCACACGTAAGTATGTATATGTATCTATTAAACGAAATAAAATAGTTCTTGGAGAAATCCATAGCCTGGAGAGCACTTCCTGTTCGCTGGAATCTACTGTTAGCCTGGATTTTCCCACGCTTTCGCAACGGCTAGGGCTGCCCACTTGCCAAGCGTGCCGCCACGCAGGACGAAAAGGATGCGTATCGCCGTATACACAAGAGGTGTGTGTATATACACAATAAATGCTTTTCCCCGGGTCCACGTACCTTGGCTTGGCCCATATTTTTCCTGTTTTTTGTTTTCTTGTCGAACCGCTTGCAGGTAATTAAAATTGCAAAGTGCTGCAGTTGCAAAAGAGAAAGAGCTCTTGAGGGGATCGGGACGAGGTGTGCAGGAGCTTCCAGCCAAAGATTGAACCGCGCCGATGGACAGCAAAACTCCAACTGAAACGCGATGGAGAACAATCGGAACACGAATGCCGCTGCTGTTGGTGGTGGGTACAGTGGAAAGAATTGTGAGAAAATTTTAAAATATCTAATATTTTAAAACTATTTATTTTTGGGGGATCGGGACGAGGTGTGCAGGAGCTTCCAGCCAAAGATTGAACCGCGCCGATGGACAGCAAAACTCCAACTGAAACGCGATGGAGAACAATCGGAACACGAATGCCGCTGCTGTTGGTGGTGGGTACAGTGGAAAGAATTGTGAGAAAATTTTAAAATATCTAATATTTTAAAACTATTTATTTTTGTTGTTGCTAATTTGTTTACTGCATTTAGCATTTCACAGAAAATTACCTCATTGATTATGCACGAATTCAAGCCGAATTTTTTCATTCAAATCTGAAATTATTTAAACTTAAAATTCAAATTTTTTTTATTGTATCCAATATGGATAATATTGAATATAAAATTTTGTTCATCACAAAACTCGTGCTCACTGTGCGATGTCGCCAACAACAACCAGTGGCCGCCTTCAATGGAACAACAACAAAACAAAAACACGCCACACGCGCAAAGCTAAAAATGACGCCGACGTCGCCGTCGGCTGCGCTGCTGTCTTGGGCTTGCTTGCTGGGGCTTTATCTAAGAACCAATATACCCTTTAAATGGAGTACCCTGTGTTGGAACCCCCCTTCCCCAATTTTGAAAGGAAAACTGAGCTCTTATCGCAACTAGAAGCAGCTCTTGAGAGACGCTTGTAAACAAACATTCATTTCTCCCTTCAGGGCGTCCTCTTAAACATAAAAGTAAAAACAAAAAATTATTATTTTTATTTTAAAATTGTTCCCTCTTCAAACACAATCTCCTAGGCCCCCTTGCCATTTTCACTTTCGTTGACGACGCCCATGGAGAACACGTACGCATGCCTCTGCCTTGCTTCGGTCTTGATTCTCCGCCGATCTGCTGCCTATCGGATACACATACATATGTACATACAGATGTATACGCACATAATTTTATGTAATTAATTCAAATTTTAAGCGACGGGCCTTCCATGTGTCTGATCTGTTATAAACAATAACAAAATCACTATGTAATTTAGCGTGGTGGGAGCGGCAACAACCAAAATTGTTGACCAAGCTCTCTTACGCTCTGAGTCTATTTTTGGGGGCTTGGGGCTCTCTCTCTCTCTCTTAACTTGTACCCTAATAGGTGAAGTCTATCAGTTTGCAGACTCTCTTAATACTATGAGATGAACATTAGATTTTCCTAAGACGATAAATAATTTAATTAAAATAAATTAATTATTAGATATACACATTTACATTACGGTGAAATTCAGGAAATTCAACCAAAAGAGATTAATAGGAACCTAAAACAGCCCTTGTAAGTTACAGCTGACTTGATCCAAGGTCAATAGTCCCTGGAGCAGATGCCATTGCGAGCATAATGGAGGTGTTTGTGCCGGCAGGCACACAAGTTGGGCGCGAAGCAGTAGGCGTGGGGTCCACAGTCGCTGGAGGAGAGGAGCGAGATTAAGTAGAGGTAACTACTCACTACTCAGAAGTAACTACTCACTGCTCACAGATAGGCATGCACTGTTGTCCGTGGAGCAGGGTGGCCCGCAGCTCGTACCCCTGGGCACAGGTGCACTGGCCGTCGGAAGAACAAGTGCCATGAGTGCAGCGTCTGTAGAGGACATCCTGTTACTCTACTCCACTCATAGATAGCTCACTTACCCCAGACAGGGATCCAGCAGGCGGGCAGCCCTATGACGACACTTTTGCGACAGAGGATCGAAGTAGTAGTGCCTGTCCTTGCGGCAAACACACAGATCCGGGGCGGCACAGTAGCCACCGGCCGCCTGGCAGCCGGGCAAGCACTCGGCCGCACAGACAAGTCCGTCCGGACTAGCCCCCATATACTGGTCTGCACAGGGACAGGGTCCGTCCTCGAAACAGACGCCGTTCCGGCAGACGATGTTGCAGCGTCTCACGCACTGCCGGGTGTTGACCACCAACATCTCGTAGTCGGAGCACAGCGGCGGAGGCTCGTTGATCTCCCAGTAGCCATAGTCGTAATAGTAGTGAGCCTGCACAAGGGTGACGCCCAGGAGCAGCAGCAGGAAAGCCATCCAACCCATCATCTTGGCGAACTGAGAGTAATTCTGTTCAGGCCACGAAAACGAGAGTGAAAGTGATTTCCTCCGGCGGCGTAATTTGTGTGCGGATCTCATTAGGGACTCGGTCATAATCGCTGTACGCAAACAGAGTATGCCCAACGAGATGACGCAATGGCCCCCAGTGGCCGCGGTCAACTGATAACCGCTCGACCGGGGATCGCCTCGATCGGAATTACAGCAGAGCCATTTGCATCGATCGAATCGAGTCGAGCAGACGCCACATTACTCACTCACCCGCTCGGCCAGGGAGTGGAGCTGGTGCTGGTGGAGTTGTCGGATCGGATTCAACCCGATCGTGTGTGTGCGCGCGGAGAGCGAGGTTTAGCCAAGGAGAGCACTTTAACAGCCCGATTCTGGAATGTCTGGATTTCTGCGCTCTCGATGTTGCGGCGACGGCGCCCACATCTGCATGTCCACACTTGAAAGAAAAAGATGCATTTTTAAATTCTTTAAACTTGTTTTAATTTATTTGCTGAAATAAGACATGCACCTTATTGGTTAACATAGATTTCAGCACTCCCAATCTTAAACATTTTTAAAATTTTCCTATTTAATATGATGATTTGTTAAATTGCAAGATTTAGTCCTTGCTCCTTGCGTATTTACAATTCAGAAAACAACATTCGACTTAGGGTATGTTTTGTGTATTCAGTGCACTCACTGACCCATTTTCAGACCGAGCAATCAATTCTCTTTAATCACAATTCAATTCTTCCGATGAGCATTTCTCGCAGTGGGGCCCGTCTCTGTCTCTGTCTCGGGACCGGGACTGCAGCTGGCTTTAATGCGCCCCATTCATTCAGTCGGTTGGTGTCGGCGAGCGATGACGCAGTGGAGCAGCAGCAACGGCAACGGAATAGGCGACGCCTGCGCGAACGGAAGTCCAGAAGAGTGTGGCACAGAGTTGCCAAATAGCCACCGACGCTGGGGGATTAGCGAAAACGCCATCGAGGCAGCAGAGTTCTTTCATTCGCTTTTTCGTTCTTTCTTTCTGCGCTTCGATTGCAACAACAAATTGAGTACTGGACGCGACCGCTGGCCCTAGCCCCGGACTGCCTTCTCCCGCCATAGCCCATCTTCAGCCCCACTCCCCACTCCCCCGCCAGCAGTGAGCGTGTGTGCGCGGGGTGAATAACATAAAACAGACAACAGACGCAAAAAGCGAGCGCATAACAGCGAACGGCGAAAGCATAAAATAAACAATTCCATTTCGGGCTGGTCAGCTGGGAGGAAGTTCTGGCCCCGGCGCTGCTGGTGGTGGTGACTGGTGCGGCGGTGGTGGGTGACGCTGTGGCGGTGCTGTGGGTGGGTGTGGGATGTGCGTGCTCAGACAGAGTGAGAGCCAAACGCTTAGAGTCTATTATCTATCCAGCCAGTGCTGACGTCGCTGGCAATCTGTGAGCTTTGCTGAATCCGGAATCACGAATTGGAGACGCTGCTGATATGTGCTACGTTATTATTACGAGCGCTAGCCTGGTGTGGTTCCTCTGCAGCCTGGTGGCCGACATGCTCTTCGCCGTGGCCCTGGTCACGCCCAAGTGGCTACTGGGCCCCGCCCAAGCGGCCAATCCACGGCGCCAGTCATCGGTGGGCATCTATACGCGCTGCAAGGTGATGCAGGAGGGGGGCTTTCACTGCGGCCGCTTCGACCTGGACGGACTGGCCACGGACAGCAGCGTCTATCCCGGCGAGTGGAAGGCTGCCATGTTCTTCGTCTCGCTGGGCTTCATCCTACTCTCGGTCACGGTGCTGCTGACCCTACTAACCTGTTGTCGCCAGTCGGCGTTCGGCAAGAGCATCCACAACATGACTGCCTGCGCCCAGGTGGTGTCAGGTAAGAAAGAAGCCAATCCTCTGCCGATCCTTAGTTGCTCCACCACAAATGATGCCCGTTTTCCAGGAATAAGCGTGATGCTGGCTCTCTTTCTGCACCCGCTGGGCTGGCGGGCGGCTCGGGTCCAACGTCTGTGCGGTCCAGAGGCGGAACCATTCTATCCCGCCGACTGTAGCATAGGTAAATGTGTTAAATTCCCTGTTGATCAGCCTAAACCTTGAACTCCGCCGCAGGAATCTCCTTCTACTGCGCAGTTATCGGAGTGCTACTCACCTTTGCGGCCGCTGGCCTGAGTCTGAAAGCGGAGTCGTCCAATATGCGTTCTCGTGTCCGCCGGAGCGTGGAGTCCGGCAACAAGCTGGTATGCATTCCGTAACTGCCTCCGGAAATAATGAGCACAATCTCTTGCTGAGAGCGAGCATACTTAACTTCATTCTTGAATTATCTTTAACATTAGCATAAATAAACGTCTAACTTTTCTACAGTAAGGATACGAGGATAGGTTTCCCTCCAGAATTACTTGTTACGCCTGCCCTTGGCCTTGCCGGGAGGCTTGCCCTCGACATCTGGCTTGGCCTTCGGTATGTAGACGCCGTGATTCGTCTTCTTCAAGTGAGCAAATAGCTTGTTCTTCGAGTCGAAGACGAGCCGGCAGGTAACACAGGTGTGTTGCGGCGCTGTCGCTTCGAGATCCTCATCTCCACCCTTGGCAGCGTTTGCAGCTGCCGCCCTGGCCTCCTTGGGTTCTGTTTCTGGAGCTCTTGGCTCTACGGTTTTCGCCTTGTTCGTTGGCGTTGTCTTTTTGCTTTTGCTTTTTTTGGCTGCTTTTTTGCCTCTGCTCCAGTCGTCGTCTTCGGATTCGCTCTTCGTCGTGGCCTTCAGGTCTATGGGCTCGTCTGGACCATCGCTTGCTTCCTCCAGCACTTGCTTGGCAGCTGTCTTCTTTGATTTTTTATTCTTTTTGCTGCGCTTTGTTTGCGTGGTTTCTTCTTCGCTAAGCGCCTCGTTACCGGATAACTGGTCATTAGCAATCTCTGCTTGGTCCAGAGCATCTTCCAATCCGTTTAAACTGTCTTCGTGGGAGGCGTCACCGTTGAAGGCCTCCTCTTCGGCCTCCATTTCCTGACGCAGCCTTTCCACGTTGTCCCGGTGCTTCTTGCTCTCCTCGTGATTGGTTCTCGCTTTCGCGTTTTTAAATGTCTTGTTGCACGCTACGCAATAGAGGTCATCTACGTACTCCACCTCCAGATCTGTATCGCTCTCGTCCTCAGAGTCCACAGCGCCTTCATTGTTGTCTTCGTCATCGTCATCCGTGTACTCGTCCGAATCACTGCCATACTGCTGTGCCAACTGCTTCAGCTGCTCCTCGTATCCCTCGTTGAAAACCTTGTTCTCCCTGGCGGCCGCCAGTTCCTCCTGCCGCTTCCGCAGCTGCTCCCTGCGCTTCTCCTCCTGTTTGAGGCGATTGGCCTCGGCTCTCTCCTCCAGCACGCGCCTGTAGGCCTGCACTCGGCGATCCCGCTTGCGAACAAAGTTTACCAGGTTGCGCACCTGCAGTGAAAGTAACAAAAAGGTCAGCAAATAAAGAAAGCTACTATAAGCGGTGGGTTTCACCTCCTCGTTCCGTTCCTTGCGGGCTGCCTGAACGATCTTCTTCATCTCTTTCTCCACCTTGCGCAGAATGAAGCGCTCCTTGATCTCACGGACGTCGTAAGGGCAGAGCCACTCGTAAGTCTTCTTGGTGCTATATGCCTGCCAGAAGGCGTAGAAGGGACCCACAACATCCTCGTAGCTGCTATCCGCGTTACCAAACTCGGGCGCTAGGCTAAGGTGGTCGTCACCGTCCATGAACTCGATGTCCTCCGAACCGATCTGGACAAAGACGTCACCGTAGACGCGGTAAAAGCCTTGCGGGTCGTCGCCGAACCCTTTGTAGCAGCTGCTGGTGAAGTACTGGAACACGTCCAGGCAGTTCTCTGCGTACTCCGAGTTCTTGCCCCGCAGAATCTGCTCGCGATGGTTGTCGTACCAGGAGCGCTCCTGAGGGTCCGATAGCACCTCGTAGGCCTGCTGGAGCAGCTGAAATCGTTCCTTGGCCTCCTCCAAACTGTCCGGGTTTTTGTCGGGGTGCCAGCGCAGGGCCAGCTTGCGATAGGCAGTCTTGATTTCGCCATCGTTGGCGTCCCTTTGGAGCCCCAGCTCCTCGTAATAGCAGCGCATGTTTTCCAACGATAAATTTTAATACGTAGTGTTAGACAACATCACAAGTCATCTGGAGCTCACAACTGCGTTCTGGCGGCTCCTTGGCCGCAGTGCTGAACAACGTTCCGGGGTGTTATTAAAATTACGTATAAATAGATTGCTTTTAGGCTTAACTTGTAATTCCACAATTTTAAGGGAAAAACTTACTGCAAAAAAATATTTAATCTCAATCTGATTAATTTCACAAGGAATCCTTGCAGCGGCATTTAATTTCGAATTCGTAACGGCTGTTGTGCACATCCTCGCTGCGCATTCCGTCATTAGCTTTTTTTCCTTTGACGGCGGCGGACGCTTTCTTTTCGCGCCGGTCCGCGCATCATTAGTTGAAATTCTTCCGCACGCTTGTCTCGCAACCACCGAAAAGTTTATACATCCCATACCAATACATACAAATATAAAACAACCGGAAATAAGATGTTAAAAACCTAGTGAAACGAAGCACTTCTGTGTAGCAGCACCGCAATCTAACGGGACTTGCCGTTCTTCTTCGAAAAGCTACTCTGCTTTTTTCTTTATAATTTAGCCTAGAACGTTTTCGAATAATTTGCATGAAACACAAATCGAGTATAAGTTCAACCATTGCCAATCAACAATAACAATATTCGCAAAGTTCCCAAAAACGGTTATGCATTAAAGTCTGCAGCCGAAAAGGGAAAATAGCTTGACATAAAATTTACAGTTACGTGGGATTTACAAGCGAGGACGAGACGCACACAGACAACTCACACAGTCAAAGACCCACTCCCATGCAAACACATACATACACACACACATACTTCATCGCACAGCTTGGCTTCGTTTTGGGGGCGAGAGTGGAGTCCTTGAGGCAAGCATCCATCGTTGGGCAGGCTTACGAACCACCCCAACTCGGGTGCGTCGGTACTCGGCCTGAACTGAACTGAACGGCAAAAAATAACCGTCAACAAAAAACAAACAAACACAGGCGTTGCGTTTGTGTGTGTCCGTGTTCGTATCCGTGTGTGACCGCCGTATAGGTTTACCGTTGGGTCCGCCTTTTATCTCGCTCGCACAATAAGTGGAGGCGTAAAGGAAGGATATTATGAGGCAGCAGACAACGTTGGCCGCCTTTGCGAATAAGGTAATTTCGCAAATGCCAAGACACCCCCACCCCCACCCCCACCCACTCTCGCACATACAGCCACAGAGAGGGGCAGGAGGAAACTATAGAAATTGTGACCCTGCTTTTCTGCCGGATTAAATGGATTTCCTTATCATCGCAAAGTGGTCCCAGGAGTCCGTTTTTGCTCCATTGTTGCAGCGAATTGCATTTTGCAGCTAGCTTTAATGGCTCTTCTCTGTCTCTATCCTTCTTTTCAGTTACGTCAGCAACTAGAATCCGTCCATTTCGACTAAGACTACGGGTCAGAACGATGTTCGGGTCCAAGCTGCGCTCATGGATGGAGACGCACATTGTGCGTCCCCGCAAGAAGGGCAGCAAACACAAGCAGGCCGCCGCGGAGGCGGGCAGCTCCATTTCCGGGCATGGGAACGGAAAAAAGGCAGGCACCCTTCCGTCGCAAGGAAGCAACCTCACCAGTCCGGTGCTGACTAGCAGCGGGAGCCACAGCATCGCCAGTCCTGTCCGAAGGCGCGAAGTGTCTCCCATTCAGTGCCACGTAAGCGGCAGCCCCTATAGTAACGATAAATTCTAATTCTCTTGGTTACACAGCCCCCAAGTCGTCGCTATGGCTGGCAATCCCCAGATGACGACTCGTACGTCATCACATCGCCCAAGTCGGACAACCTGCTGTACGCCACGAACTGCTATCAGACGCACCAGGAGCCCCTGCAGGCACAACAGCCATCACACAACTTAAGCGTGCCAAACAGCAAGGATTGCTTTGGAGCCGACAAGTCGCCTATCCGTGTTAACTGCTCCTCGTCATCCATATCGTCATTGTCTTGGTCTACCGGCTCTAAGGAGCCCTCTTCCGGCAAGCAGACCACCTTTAGGGAGCAACCATCCAATGGGGATTATCACATTCCTCCCGAGGAGGAGGTGGAGTACGAAGAGGTGGGCGCTCTGCTGCTCCGCCCTCCGGCTCCCATGGCGCATCACCAGCGGCCACAGTCCGAGAACCTAGGCGCCATGCGGCTGATCTACGAGGAAGAACCAGTCAGGCAAGGCAGCAACCATGTGCGTTATGGCCGCCTGTTGCCCTCAAAGCTGGCGCCGGCTCAACTGGGCAGCGAGTCTCTGGACAATTTGTCCAGTACTCCGCCCATACCACCTGCTCCGCCAGGAGGGTCGCGGATGCGAGTTCCCCGAGGGGTGCAGCGCAGCAACTTTATGCCAGGCCCACGACCACACAGCCTGCCGTCGCCAGAGAGCGCCTACTCCACGGGCTACTCCACTGACGGCACTTCGCCGTGCGCTGCCAGCAATTGCAACCCGCCTGAGTACTACATCAACATGCGCTCGGGCACCCACTACTTTCCCAAGAGTGTCAACTCGCTGGCCATCGAGGCCCAGCGCTACAAGTTCGGCTTGAACCGCATCGAAGAGATGTCGCCAATGGATCCTCTGCCCAAGAGCAACTTTGGCCTAGAGTCGTCGCCCAGTCCGCTGGCCCTGCGCCAGCAACCGAAGCTTTTTGAATGTGAGTTGTGGGCGTGGAGTTTTGCCGCCAACAGAGCAATTAACCCCATTTCGAGTCCCGACTTGACTGAAGTAATGTTCCACTTCGCTTTGCTTCTCCCCTCCATTGCAGCTCCCTCGCCGAGACAGCGCTGTCGCATAAGGACCAATCCCTGGTACAACACGGGCGAGCACTTGCCAGCCTCGTCGGGCCCCACGCGCTTGGAGCAGGATGCAACCAGCACCACCTCCACCACTTCGTCGGGCATTAAGTCGAGCAATGAGCTGGAAGTTCCGGCAGCGGCGGCCAAAACAACAGTAAACAAAGCAACCCCCAGCGGCAGGGGCACTCCCAGCAAGTCGCCCCGTGTGGGTGCGGACATTGCTGGCGGTGGGGTTGGAGCTGGTGGTGTTGTTGCACCTGGAACAGGAGTCGCTTACGAGTCCGAGGGCTCTTCGTCGTCGACTGAAGTGGAAAATCTGCATGCCCCGCACACCATAAAGCGACTTCACTTGGAACAAGGGGAGACGACAACAACTTCAGCTCCTGTGGCAGCTGGTGGCGGAACAGGGGCCACCACCACCTCCTTTGTGCTTAGCGACGACGAGGCGACCCTCAACGAGATGATTGGGAAGTTTGACGAGAGCTACATCTACGAGAAGGAGACTGACATCCTCAGGTGAGAGCTGCGCAGTCAGGGCAACTCGAGTGGCTTTGCTCACTTTCCACCCATTTTCCCTTCCGCTTTCAGCAGTGACTCGGATCCCACTGACTGTTGCGCTTCGGAGCTTGACACTGGACAGGATGCGGGCGATGAGTGCGACACCGACGAGCTGTTGGACATTGATTTTATAGACACATCATCCATGCAAGAGGTGGTGCTCGATCGGCAGGATCTGACACGCAATCTTGGTAGCTGCCACTATTATTCCCACCAGCCCATGAGCCCCATGTTGAAGCGAAAGTCGTCAACACGCTCGCGGCGCAAGAGTGGCCAGGAGGCAATCGATGGCTCTCAGCAGCGACGACGCAAGCGGTTCCTAAAGACGCGCAAGAAGAGCTGCGAGAACCGTGAAAAACAGCCATTCTTGCCTCTAAGTGAGCCTCGTGGAACTCGCAGCGTGGGAGGGACGCCCGTCTGCTTGCGTCGTAATCTTCTGGGCCCCAGGGAAAGGCAAGTCCAGTCTCTAATCTCGTATTGTTCGTTGATATAAGCCAGTTAATTTGCAGGATTTACAAGACTTCGCCACTGTCGAATCGGTCCAATTCACTAATCTTCGGCAGCGTCAATAAAAAGAATTCTCTCACCATCGCAGAGAGCGAGAAAGCTCTGCTCAAAGCGGACATGGAGGCTGATATGAAATACAAGCAGCTTATAATGGAGGCAGAGTCGCTGCTGGAGTCAATGAAGAACAGCCTGCAGAGGTAGTAATTTCAACTAAGTTTTCCCTTTGAGAAGACTCCAATTAAGAAATATTTTTTAGCATTCCCAGGGACACACCCGTTGCCAGTCCGAGGCGCTTGAATCCATTGGCTAACAAACGCGTGGAGATGCTCAAGCACAGTGAGGTAGACTCTAAGAAGCAGGCTCCTCCCTCTAACAACACTCCACTGGAGAATGAACTGGCTGCCGCGATCAATAAACGAATTGAGATGCTGAAGTTTGAGACTTCGTCTGCTGCCTCGCCTCCCAATAGTCCTAAGCTGAGTCGCTGCAGTCCTCGCAAGACGCACCTAACCAACTTCATGAACCAGAACGCTCCGCCGGAGCTGCCGCCACGCAAGATGAACAACGGCAATGTGCCAAAGGCTCCGCTCTCCCCTCAGTTGCAGCTAAATGGCAGGCGTTTACAGGAGAGCCCTAAGGGAAAGCGACGCACCATGATGCTGACATCGACCACCACAACTACAGTGATAAGCTTCAACGGCAGCGACTCGGAGATGGAGTGCACTGTGGCTCTGGAGGATGTTGGCAATCACAACTACTTGCAGGATCAGCCGAGGGCGAAAGTCAAGCTGGATACCCATCTCCAGAATCAGGTGCATTCTGAGTCCTTGATTAACAATAATTTCTATTGTCCGCACAGCGAGCCACTGAAGCGCAAGGTGTACAAGGGGAGCTCCTCTTTCGAGCGGATTAAGAAGAACTTTGACTTGGAGTTTGGTGAGTGCTTAGTGTTGGCCATGAACCCGCGTTATAACGACAGAAATTACAGAGGCAAACGGACGGAGCAAGTCGAACGAGCGTTCGCAACTTCAGCTCTTAACTTCTGTTTCAGCAAAAAGCTCAATGCATGACGTGACACTGGACGAGGCCAAGGAACAGGCAGCAAAGGGAGGCGGCAGCAAGCAACAACTCATACTGAACACTATTGTGGATCTGAAGCGGAGCTTGGAGCATCAGAGCCATCAGCTGAGTGGGCTGAACGGTGAATAGAACTGAGTGAACTGACTAGTAGGGTTAAGATCATCATCGTCACACGTAACCATCATACATAATCTAGACCGTAATGATAACTAAGTTAAACCAAGTCCAACCGAATCCCTCAGACTAGACACGTCAACTGAGCGCAATAACTTTCTAGCTGATAAGAGAAGACGACTATTTACATTGATGGTAACACTAGACGAGTGTCGTAATAGGAACTATGGACTGGAGCAGAAAGTTATTACTTATTACAAAAAATCTGTAGAATTTGTAGCGAATTGTTTTTCATGTTGATTTCTCGTTTCCGTTGCTTGATATATCATAGCTCTTATTTCAAACACATCAGCTAAAGTATTAGTAATTGTTTAGTTTTTTTCCTATATACTATATATACTATAACCTTTCGTTCTCACTTAAAATGGATGTGCCAAGCGGAGAATGTGTTTAGAACACCGACTCCCTGGCCTACCCGGCGTAACTATTCAATATACTAACCACCCCTAGCTTGAATATGTTGCTCCTAGTCAATAACTCGTAATACTCCTTAGTTCGATGTCGAAATTTCTCTCTTTCCGATGCATATCTACGCGTACACTTAGAGAACTCAACTCAACTTATGGTAGAACCTTTCACACTTAATCACCATCAGCATTATCGCCGAGCATTCGGAAGTATAGTCCTTTAAGTAAAACATATTATCCATCCAATCTGAAAATTGTTTAGCCAAATTGTTTTTACGTAGTTTAATGGAGAAGAAAAGACATTGTTCCACTGTTCTGTTTCCTTAGTTAAGCAAATGAAGGTTGATTCTGTTTTCAAGGCCAGACATTGGTTGAAGCTGGCGTTGTATTGGCAAGGTTTATAATGATTTCCTCCGACTCGGGGCTGTAATTGGTTGTAATTTGGATTAATCGAATTATGTATTGTGTTGTGTCCAATTAGTATGCATATAGACGCTATAGAACCCACAAAAAGCAAACATACATAATCTAAGTCAATACTGTAACGTGATAATAAACTTAATGAAAACCCCCAAGACCAATATTAAGCCATTGGTCGAGTAGTAAGTATATTAGTTATCATATATATATTATATATATATATATATATATATCCAAACAATTATGCCTTTGTAGCTTTGCCCACTTGTGTTCTCCATTGAAATTGAAATTGCAATTAGTTTTCGTTTTCGCTTACGTACTTGCGTACTAGTGCTTGCCATTAGAGGAGCAGGAGGCGGCGTGGTGGAGTGCTCCAGTGTGCCGTGTTAAATTTACTTAATTAGTTTCACCCGCGGTGCGACACTTGAACATCGGACATCGGACTCCGAGCGCACCGAGCGAGCAGTGACCGCTGTCGCGAAAGACGCACGTCGTGGAATCAAGAAGTCCAGCTCGATCCACCGCTAACGCGTAGTTCCCCTCCAGTTAGTCTGCATGACAGTAATTTATGCGCCCTAGATTCGAAATACTCAATTGGTTTTCCGATTTGAAGCAGCAGCGACCTTAAGACAATCCAACGAGCTTTTTGATACGACGACTTACCACAGTTTAGATACACCGCAACTTAGGATGAGACTGCAGCCAGATCCACGACGGTACCACGCGTGGTATGAGTGATATTTGTTGTTGTGAACCCATTATCCTATCACAGCACATTACTGAATTACTATACCCACGTACTTTAGTCGCCAATAAAGGACCAATATTTTGAAATGCCCGCTTGATCTTGAATGGGTTTTTTCTGGTCGAGTCACTGTGGAATTTCCAGAGTAGCCGCCGCTCATCCCCGTTTCTTGTCATCTCGATCATTATATTGCGTCTGGCTGGCGGTAAAAATAAACCCAAGGCAGTGTTCTAAAAATCCCCAGAAAAGCATCAACAATGGAAAATTAGCAGACAGATCATGGACTTGCTACGGCTCCGTCGACGTCTGCGTCTTAGCTGCTAATTATGCAAATGGGTGGCATGGGAGCGGGTGAGCCGCCAGGCGAGGAACTGCCCGGCGGAATACCAATTGGCCAGGCCACGCTTAAAACATCAAATCAGCATTAAACATGGCCGGCCCGAGTGCCAGAGTCGCAAAAGGAGGCACGACTGACGGACCTGAGACGTCACTCGTCCTATATAAGGCCAGAACTGGTTCCTCTTCCACAATGTGGTGGCCACTGGCAGGAGCACGGACCGGTCCGGTCCCCAAACTGCCGATCCCACATTGAAAGCGTTTTTTCCCTTGAGAAGGGTACTACATAAACTATTTCAGATATTTCGATGGGAAAATACAGTAAAAAACGAAAAAAACTTAACTTTGGGATATTGAATTTTGTACACCCAACCCAACATTTATTTTGACAAAATGATGTTTAAAAAACTCATAGCTAAGCGAAAAAAGCGTTGATTTTAATTCGGAAAGAAGCCCTTTATTATTTTTTATTAGCGTTATAAATCTGCACACTCCGATTAAAATGTAAAAAAATTAAAATTTTTACCAATTTTAACGATGCAAGCCCTTATAAAATATGAAAAATGTCGAAAAAAATTATTTTTTTTCATACATGTCCAGAAAGATTTGCCTTTTGATGCTGATCAAGAATATATATGGTTTATAGGGTCGGAAATGACTCCTTCACAGCGTTACAAGCTTCTGATTAAAATTATAATACCCTTCAAGTGTATACAAATATTTGTTGTAATATTTAAATTTCAGCGTGCAGATTTATTACACTTTTAGAAACATAAACCTAAGCTTTCCAAATTATGTATGTAAATGAATGTATTTGTTTTCTCCTAGTTATCCTTATTTTAAACTTTCAGTTCGCCTGGAGACGCATTTCCTGTTAGGGTATTGCTCAGTGCGTTGTGGCCAAGGCTCTCTCCCGCCCCCTGAAGGCAAAACAATTTCGGGCCACTCTCAGCCTGCAGTTTTGCTTTTGATCTCGTCTCGAAAGCTTTGGCAGTTTTGGCAGCGGTGGGAGAGGAAGCGGGGATAGGGCGGGGTTGTTGTCGTTTTGTTAGCCGTCATGTTGTCTGTTGACTTGTTGTTGCTGCTTTTTAACGTCTTTGTCGATTATTGTTATTATTATCGAGATTCTTGTTGTTGTCGTCGGCTCGCTGGCTTTTTAGCCATAAAATGTTACTTTAGTGTTGGCCCGCCGCAGTCTGTGCCCTCTGTCGCAGTCGCGGTCGGCGTCGCATCGTCACATCGTCGCAGCGGGCAGCGCAGTCGCTGTTTTTAGCCATGAAGGTCATGCCCAGGTGTGTGGCATTCAGATTCACCTGAGCCCGGACCGAGAGCCCGCGTCCGAAGTAGAAACCGAAACTGAAACCGACTCTGCGGCGAGCCGAACTGCGGCTGCGCTTGCGCTCAACGCAAAACAGGTGCGGGCAGGTGCGCGCAGGGAGAGGGGAGGGACTGTGGAGGCACGTTGTTGTTTTGGCAGTTATGAAACTAGTCCAATGACTCGCTTGAGTGTTAGGTTTTGCCGCCTCTTCTTGTAAGCCTGTAAGCACGCACACACTGCCGCCGCACACCGGGCGTATGAGTGATCTTCTGTTTGGGGAAACTTGTGGGCCAAATGCATCTCGTTTCGTTTGGTCGTTCCTCTTGGCCAGTTCTCAATGTTGCGTCAGCCACCACTTCTCCAGAGTTTCGCCACTTGGCCTTAAATGTGCGCAATACCAAACCAATTGACGCCTCCCCCGGAGCGGGGAAAGCTTAGGCCCAGAGTTGACAAAGGAAAACAGCTCCGTCATGCGGCAGTGTGCAAAAATTTGCTCATTCTGCTGCGTAGCTGATTGTCCGGTTCTGGCGACGGCTCAGCATCCGAGTGGTGGGGATCCCCCTTCTGCCCTTCAGTAGCTTCTTCCGCCTAAACAGGTCACAGTTGCCTTTAGGTCGCCCAACGGTACCCACTTAACATTGATACAGTGAGAGCTCCCCCCAGAGCTCTAAGAACCCGTTCCTGGGACACTTGACTTAAAATATTATAAAACACAAATTAAATTCATCAACTCAAAAGGGAATTACAATTTTAAATACAAATAAACTTAATGTTTATATAGTCAATGATTTCAGACCTTATTTATTAATAGGTACAATTGCATTTCTCTGTTTGTTTCTGTGTATCACCGCTCACGATCCAATGGCTCTGAATCAGTGGAGCTGCCTGTTCTGGCCTTTCTGCCGACGTCACAACAGCTCTCTGAACTTGGCCCACCTTTCTGGGAGTGCGAGTGTGCGGTGTGTGTGCTCCCCTTTCACAGGTGTGTGGAGCTTGGAGTGGGCCAAGCTAATTAACTTTGAGGGTGCTCAATTAGCGCTTACTCCCCTTTCGGCCGGCGATGAAGTTGAGAGGTTGTCGCAAGCCCGGCTCCGAAGCGGAGGAGCAGGGGATCGCACACCGAAGGGGACTTACCTCCGCAGAATGTTCGTGAATGAATCTCTTTTGGCATGATTTAGCGCTCTGTGTAATGTGTCCAAGCTCTCAGCTCCCGCTCCACGAGTGTGTGTTAGTGTGGAATTTCGAGTTTTTGGACTTTGTACCAATGGCTGCTAGCCATGAACCGACGCGTCGACGAGCTGGCCGCCAACACAGGCTGCTCCCCGCATCGCCCGCGAAATCGTGAGGCTTTGCTTACGAGCTGTTTGCGCTGGCTCTGCTCCATCTATCGGGGCACCGCAGATGGGCCGTAATTGTTCAGCATAATGCGGAATAAAGGTGCCCCGATTTGGGCCCAGAACCCCGACCAAATCGGACGGACAGCGTCCGAGAATGGCACTGGGACCAGGAAGTCGGTTACTGGGGGACCACCTCTCGGCCCTAACGGAAACTATGCGAACTACGAGATCGATTAAGGCTTGCCTTATGGCTTTGGCTTCCGCCTGCGATCAATCGAGCTGCTGGGGTCAAACGGAAGTGTTTCACGATATTTTCGGACCTACCCGACCCCACATGCTAATCTCTGAAGCTGAAGCTGCTCCGAGTGCCGTTATTAATTAATTTCTCGTTTCGATTTTCATGACGCCGAGTTATTTTCGGATCGCGGCAGCGGCACGTGATAGAATTTGATTCCGAATTTCGTTTTTTTTTCTTTTTTTATGGCTGCAGCAGCTCAATGTTGCAGAACCGCAGCGGCAGCCTTGGAGACCGAGGCTTGGGGAGCTTAGAAAGCTCGGAGCTCGCAGTTTGGAGAACTCGGACCTTGGGCAGCTCGGCCAGCTCGACTTGACCAGTTACACAGAGGGCTCAAACTGCTGGCTCACGCCGACGACAGCGACTTTCTTTTGATCTCGGCTCTGCTGGGATTATGTTAACTCCGATTCAGATTCTTCTTCTTCAGTCCAAGGTTCAGGTGGGGTCAATAAACGGAAGCGAACACAATGAACGAATGGCGGCGCGGCGGCGTTAGAGTATCGATCTTCGCTGAGTTATGATACTTCCGTCTATCTGCTCCGCCTCTGTCCGGGTTAAGGCGAACACCAACAACAAGCGGAAGCCGAAAGCGAGCTAGAACCGTAAACAAGTTTTTTTGTTGGCTCGCAGCAGCCAATCCGCCGGGCCAAAATAAATGTACGAAATAGTTAACTGATACTGAAGCTGAGACTGGCGCTATTCGCCATCGACTTGATTCACTATACCCAAACCCCTCCCGCGATGCGGAAGCCTTAGGAGGGCGTTAATTGATGAGCAGAGAAGAGGGGAGAAGAGCCACACTGAAATCCCAGCCGGACTCGGATGTGAAATCCCTTCGCTGCACAATAGTGGGCCATGGTATGGTGCGGATGGAAGACCCTGGAAACCGCTCAAGTGAAGTCTGCCGATAAGCAAGAAACAAGTTCATGGCTTCTATTCAGAGTGCTCGCGATTCTCGTCGTCACCGCCAAGATAAGGCCACGTCCAAGAGCACACAAATAGCCAAAATAGAAACAGAAATAACCACTAACTAGCAGCTCAAGTGGCCGCGGCGGAAAGCACAATTAACTTGGCCCAGATACATGTACTTACCAGAATGGCCTGACATTCTGAAGCAGATTACCTCATTTCCCATAACCGCTTACCACATCTCAGCTCCCAGAAAATGTAATACTGTGGAAGGACTGCTCTCCATGCACGAGTCCAAGAGCTGAAGAGCCCTCCGCCGCCACCCTGAACTTGAGCAGGAAATAGCAATCGCCATGAGTCAGGCGCATGATCGATAGTTTATTCACGGCCACAGGCTATGAATCGGCCGGGCGGGGAATTATTTTGTAACTGCAGCACTCCCCAGGTCTTAGGCAGACATTATCTATGGTGGGTGGCGATAAGGTTGCCTCACACCCCTTAGCCCGAGAGGGAAAAGTTTCCTCTGATTCTGCCTTTCCCTCAGCGGTTATTCCGAATCAAAATCAGCAGAGGAATAAAACTAGTGACTTTCCAGAACCCGTGGCACGCGTTCGCCCAAAATTAGTAGGCCGAGAAACTCGATAAGATAGGGCAGTTTTTGAATTGGACTTTTGGGGAGTGTTTAACTGGACGTCTTAGTTATGGCAAATGAAGGAAATAATAATCAGATAACGGCAATATATATTTATCCGAATACGTCAATTCTTTGTTTGTTTGCCAAGTGCAAGATAGAGGTGCAGGAATCGAAGTGTTTATCCAAAATAAGATTAGATTGAAGACCCTTTGCGTACGTTCCAAGACTACTTACTTTATTGAAAACAAGATACGATCACTAAAGGGGCCAAGCCAGTAGTTTTATTGGCCTCCGAATCCTTTACATCAGAGTGACGGGGTTCAGTTACCGGGCCTCTACTGTAATCTATATAGCACATTTACAATGGTCATTGCCATACTCCAAAGCCACCTTTCAACGAACGAATGGCCTTTGTACCCATCGCACGAGCCCCACAAAGTCGCAAGTCGACAAATTCAGCTCTGTCGGCACTTTCTTTCTTTATCGTTGCCAAGCCAAAAGAGAAGAAAAACATGAGCAGGTGGAATAAAATATACATATATATATTTTCTAAGTAAAATTTATTTATTTTGTATAAATAATTCTCTTTCGTAGCTCTTGCACAAGCGCTATCAACGTTAGTAATTTACAGTTTGCTCTGCGACAGCGACACACGGTGGGATGTCGTCCTGCGGATACAGGCTGACTGTCGGCGGGATCTGTGGGATCTGCGCCTTGCCCCGCCTCCAGAGGATCGATCAGCCCACCGAGTGACGCTGGAGGAGGAAATCAAACGAAACATAACGGCACAAATAGTTGGCTTAAACAATTACAATAACAATTGTGGAATATGTATATATACGTTTAGCATTACGAACTAAGAGTGGAGTGGGGGGCGGCGCCTGATACTCCCGTCGCCCCATACCGTTGCCATTGACCCCCACCCCCCTTGTGTGTGTGTGTGTGTGTTGTAATTTAGTTAGAAATTAGATTTCTTGTACTTGTTGAACAGTGTGTTTGCTTGCAGTTCCCGTAGCTAGCTTCTATTTCCAATAAACAATATATATGTACGAGGGACTTTTGGGCTGTGGTTTAGTCTGTCTGTTTAGTCACATCGATTCCGAATTCCCCTTAAAACCCATAAGAGTGATTTAACGCAAAGGCTACCAATTTATACATTAGAACGAACATATTGTTGACTTGTTAATTTGTTGCTTTCGGCTTAGGCTGCTCCATCCACTACTAAACTAGCTATTATTCCTCATCTTCATCCTCAGTTATACATTTATACAATCGATCCTCATCGGCTGTCTTTCTTAGCACCCCCTCAAGTTACATATACATTAGCATATACATAGTAGATACAGATACGGATACGGATATAGTTACAGTTACAGTTAAAGAAAGACCTCACACTTGGTTTACTTGATACTAATGAGAGTAGAGACCCGCCCGCGACTATGGTATGAAGGAAGCTGCTATCTAATGGGAGCAGGTTTAGGGTTAGGGATTGAAGAATAGGAGAAAAGTATAGGAGAAGAGGGCCGTCCTAGACGGGCCCAATATCACTTTGGTATCTGGCGGTCAGGTAGTTGGCCGCCTCTGTCATTTGTTCCAGGCACTGGTACAGACCGTTCAGATGCCTCCGGCAGCGCTGTGCCAGCTCCGTGGCCTTGTCTCCGGAGGCCTGCTTCGACTTGGTAACATCCACGATGTCGCTACCGTCAGTGCTTTGCGCGTGGTCGCTCTTGTTGCCGTCCGATTCCAGGCCCGAGTCGTTCTCCTGCGAGATGTCCGAGTCCGAGTCGCTCATGTTGCTCACCGAATTGGTGGACATCATCGAGGCGGTGGAGGTTCGACGCACATGGCCCTTAATGCCGCTAGAAGCGCCTGTGCCTGTGACTGCAACGTTGCTTGTGCTGGACTCAGTCTTGCTCTCGCTGGGATTGCAATTCGAAGTGGAATTGGGGCTAGCATTGAGCAGCTGCTGCTGTTCACTCTGCTGTTGGTGCTGCTCGTCGTCCTCCTGGTTGGCCGTCCAGAGCAAATCTTTTTTCAGCGAGTTGAGCATGTTGTAGAGATTGAAGAGCTCGGAGGCGCTGAGGAAGTCTTGGACGTTCTTCGAGTGCGCTGCGCCCCGCTTGCCCTGGGCGCTGGAGCTCTGTGTCAGCTGGTTGGCGGTTGTGTCCTTGCCGATAGTGGCCGGGATGATGTCAGTGCTGTCGCCGATCTGCCGGAGAACAAGCAACACGCATGGGAGTGGCCATGGATAAGTATGAGTTGTAGGCTGCTTTTGCAAAAGGGTTTGCTCTACCAACCTGTCGATCCATGAGCCTGCATGGCACGAGTATGGTGTCGTCCATAATGTTGACAGTCTTCACAAACTTCTCCATCACGTTGACGATGCTGTCTTTGGAGAATTGCTGCTCATCGTGACGGGCGATGCGGCGCAGGCAGTTCCTGAAAGCAGAACACAATCAAAAGATGAGCTTGTGCTTGGGCTTTGCCTAGCTAGCAAACAGTAAATCAGTGGAGCGTGTGCATAGGGAAACCAGTTTGGGACAATAGACACATGATTGGGGACCGTGCCCCATCACATAACGCCAGGCCAGGCCAAGCCAGACCAGACCGGACCAGACACCAGCCGTTCGTTCTCCAGCGTCGTTAAGTCTACCGCGTTCAGACTTCCGCTACCCGAAGTCTTCTTTCTGCCCTGGGTGCGCCGCTGGCTGGCGGTCTTGCTGGTCAACGTGGCGTATGATAGATATGAATTGGTTTCTATGCAAATCAGCGATTCGCTGTCGTTGTCGCAAATTGAATTTGTATTTTTAACTTTGTATAAAATAGAAAACCTGTTGGTGGTATCTTCTTTTGTACCTGACAATGCTTGTGTGGCTCTTTAAGATTTCTATTTCGGTCTCGAAAGCCAATTTAACCCCCGCCACGTGCTGGACGCTTCCAGGTGGGCCCCCCTTGGGAGGAGCGTCCCAAGTAATAAGCGTTATACAATCCTTGCCGGTCTCATTAACGTTAATTTCACGATGAGACCGCGTAACATCGCCCCGGTCAAGCCCCATAAACATCAACAATTGACAGCCATTAACCCCCCGGAGCGAGAGCGTTTCATCCGAGCTGGAGGCCGAGGTTGGTATCTGGAACTGGTGCGGCCAAAGTCTAGAGGGCCAGTCTTGGCTTATCGCCGCCAGACGGCTCCCAGACGAACGGATCGCTGGAGGTTTCCCCGCCTCCCACTCAGTGCGCCCAGATTGTACCCAGATTGGGCAGCGCAGCTGATTCTACGTAGCCAGCCAGTGGGGAACCGCGTGATCACAGCTAGTTTGACAGAACCGAGCGCCGAGCGCACTGATAAATTTAGTTTTAGTGACTGCGCCATTTAAAGACCTCTAGCCTAGGGAGCCCCACCCCCGCCTGCCCCATTCCCCGCGGCAAACAAACTTAGACAATCTAGATATCGATGGCTGAAGTCTAAGAAAGGGGCCAGTCGGGTAGGGGTGGCCACGAGAGTGCCGCGTGCTCCGTGGGCTGCCTGCCGCTGGCTGTTCCGATGACCGACATCGTCTAGAACCACAGCTAGATGGGGATCTAGAGCGAGGGCGGCCAGTGGGGGCGTCTACTTTGTACGTGGTGGACGGGTGTCAAGGCTCTCTAGCCCACGGCCAGACGTCGTGGACGTCGGTACGTCGGTACGTCGCCGGAGATATTCCCATTGACTAATTACGCTAATTGCGGCGTTGAATTCCAATCGTGGAAATCACGGGCTCTGGGGGAGAACGCAGGAATGCAAAAGCAATTACCATCTTATCAACTATATTCGCTCGGACACTCGCAAATCGACACTCGACACTCGACACTGGTTCATAATGGCACATAATAGAGATTGCCTGAGATTGCTGTCCCACGGAATTCTAGACGCTCAATCGCCTCACTTTACTTTCAATTATAGTTCATTATTTGCGCCAGCAAGTGCTGGGATAGATGGGTCTAATCAAGCGACGTTCGAATATTGGCCACGCGCCAGAGTGTCCACCATTGCTATTGACCTTTTGTGATGCGGGAAAACACACAAAAGAGTCACCATTGTCACCAGTTCTTTCTTCCTACTGATCCCGCTTCCCGCTGCCCGCTCCCAAGAATCTAAACGCCGCCGGCTGGGATAACACGCCACCCGCTGCCAGCCAATTCAAGGGCCTGACTATAGCACACCTGCACCTGCCTGCCCAGCCGCTCCCTCCTTCTAGCGACTGTGTGAGAATTGGGCTAAGCTTTGCCAGCGTCACGCGACATGCGCGAAAGAAGAAGAAGCGAAGGCGAGGCGGCAGCGGTGACGGGAGAAAGGTGATGTACTGCATACAACGCCGAAATCAGGCGATTATTATTTTCATTCAGCGGCAGCTGGCAAGCAGTGGGCAAGGGGTGGGTGGTTGGCTCATGTGGCAAGCGTAACTCGTAACTCTCTCTTTCACTTGCCGCCCTCTCTTTGTGTTTTCTTTTTCGCTGCCGCCGTGTGGCGTGATGTTTTCTATGGGAACTGTACGGAGTAATCTCCGCTCAGCTCCGCTCCTCATCGCTGCCCCTGAGCTCCTCTAACGGCAACCAGCTGAGCATGATGAATGAAAACGATGCTATGTGGCTGTGTGTCCGCTGTTTTGTGGTATTTCTCGTATTTGCAATGTTGGGCAATGGCGCATATACATATGTACATATCTACATACACATACCATACCTAAATACATGTGTATATTTTTTGAACCGAATTGACCAATATTTGGTTTGTGTTTCTGCCTTTAACTGTGTCCCCGCCTGACCTCCATAGCGCCTCCAGCCTAATCGATATTTGATACGCCCGCAAATTTGATATTCTACCTACTCTTTAACCGGGTTTCTTTGGTTTGTTGCCCGTTGGCCATTGGCGGCCACCCGAATATCGAGTCGTTCGCCGTTTGTCGTTCGCCCCGTTCAAGGCGACACCTGCGGCACCTCTGAGCGATGTGTGTGCGCCGCCAACTTGGGTGAATCAGAGGATTTCCAAGATTTAGCAGTCCCAAGGAGGCCGAATAAATAGTTAGTTATTGGTCACATATTAAACAAGCCAGCATAAACCGATATCTGGCGATGAGTAATAGTGGCTGATAACTGGGCGATAGCGATGGATTCGCTCCTTATCGCTCTCATCCGAGAGCCGACTGTGATTTTTTGCCCCTGTTATTGGCTTAGGCGAAGCATTTGGGCAAACAAACAGACAACGCACACACACAGGTGTACAATATATAGCCGATTGTGTCATATCAGCGGACGGGACGGGACGGGACGGCTTGGCTGTTTCTTTCGTGTTTGAATGGCCGCCGAAAATCGTACGATAAATTTCTTGTATCTTGTTGTTTTTTTTTTTTTGTCGAAATGAAACGAAACTAAAGAGAAAACATAAGAGGGGTGCGGTTGGCTGGCATTTGAGACAGTACAGAGAGTCGAAATCAAAAGAGAGCGCACCAGAGTGAGAGGGAGGGATGGGGTGTGTGTGCCTTGTCCAATTTAGCATCGTTTTGATCAAATTGAACTTAAACGCTTCAACTAGCGAACTGGATTCGTGCTCGAGGCTTACCGACTTGTCTCCAGCTTGGTGAGGTCTGTGTATCCGCTCATGGTGGCCGAGTCTGGGTCTCCGGCTGTGTATTTGTGGCGATGATTCGCTGCTGCTGCTACTGCTGCTACTGCTACGGCCTGCTGACACCGCAGGTTATAATTGATATGAGAGATTTTTCTTCAGCGACCAACACACGCGCACTTTCACTGACTGGGCGACTGGCGTCTGGCTACTGGTAGGTTCTTTGCGGGATTACGAAATCTGGCTGCAGTCAGAGGTAGTTTGGATTGGCTTTGGACTCGAATTGGACTCGGCCTAGGTTTCTGTGTCGGATTAGTTGCTGCCCCGGCGGAATGGCTCTGCTAAGTGCGCTGCCTCCAAGAAGTCGCGGCCGTTTTATGCCAAAAATTTGCATGCACGCACTGAGCTCGTTGCGAGCTCGGTTCAATTAAAATATATGTACGAATTCTAAACAGTCTGCGCGCGTCCGCAGCCGATTTAAAATTTTAATTGCGACGACGACACGACCAAAGAGATTTTATTTTAAATTTCGGAGAGCGAGTTGCTTAAATAGTAGTGCTGTCAAAACATCGGAGCACTATCGATACTATCGATGTTCGGATATTGTCTTCAAAACATCGACTTTTCGCACTATCGATGGTTTCAAAAAAATGTTGTTATTTTAATCTTACATTTTATTTGCTTGTTATCACAAATAATAATACAAATAATAATGAATTATTTATCGGGCTTCAAATAATTTTTAAACATTAATATTAATTAATAAGTAAATCAAAAATTTAAATTATTTATCAAACATTAATCATAATAATAAAAGTAATCTTTTAATATAATTTATATTTATGTATTTATATCTATGTTTAATTCGTAAAATCATCAAGAAAATCGATAGTGGAAAACATAGATTTTTTTCCTCTATAAAATAGCTGAATATAATTCAATGGCACTATCGGGCATCGATGTTTGACACATCGATTTTAAACATTGATATACGGTCTCACGCAGAGCGTAAATTAAAAAATTTGAAATTAAAAGTAAATTATAAGGATATTTTCATTTTTTTTACTAGTCAAAGATACTGATTACTACTTATCATAGTTGCTTACTGGTCATAGATACTTACTGTTCAGAGTTACTTACTGCTTACAGATACTTACTGTTCAGAGTTACTTACTACTCATAGTTACTGGCTGCTCATAGTTACTTGCTGCTCATAGTCAATTACTGGTCATAGTTAACTACTGATCATAGTTCTATAAATCGTCCGATTGTTCCTATGGCAGCTATATATGTGTATATATATATATAGTCAACCGATTCGCCATTCTTCGACTTATATACTAGTAAAATTATGAAGAAGAATAACTCCATAGTTTCAGTTAAATAGCTTAAATTTGTTCCAAAAAAATCTCGCACATCTGTGCATAAAATTCCCAACTGGTTCTAACATCCCCGGAACGAAGTGACTTCTACCAGCCAGGTCCCAGATATGTGTTGTGTTACAAAAGTTGCAAGTCATTGTTTATTAGTGTTCAAAGTGAGTAAGTGATCATACTTACTTACTGGTCATAGATACTTACTTATCATAGTTACTTACTGGACATAGATACTTACTTCTCATAGATACTTACTGGTCATAGATACTTACTGGACATAGATACTTATTTGTCATAGATACTTACTGGTCATAGATACTTACTGTTCAGAGTTACTTACTACTCATAGTTACTGGCTGCTCATAGTTACTTGCTGCTCATAGTCAATTACTGGTCATAGTTAATTACTGATCATAGTTCTATAAATCGTCCGATTGTTCCTATGGCAGCTATATATGTGTATATATATATAGTCAACCGATTCGCCATTCTTCGACTTATATACTAGTAAAATTATGAAGAAGAATAACTCCAAAGTTTCAGTTAAATAGCTTAAATTTGTTTCAAAAAAAATCTCGCACATCTGTGCATAAAATTCCCAACTGGTTCTAACATCCCCGGAACGAAGTGACTTCTACCAGCCAGGTCCCAGATATGTTTTGTGTTACAAAAGTTGCAAGTCATTGTTTATTAGTGTTCAAAGTGAGTAACTGATCATACTTACTTACTAGTCATAGATACTTACTTGTCATAGTTACTTACTGGATATAGGTACTTACTTGTCGTAGATACTTATTGGCCATAGATACTTACTGTTCAGAGTTACTTACTACTCATAGTTACTGGCTGCTCATAGTTACTTGCTGCTCATAGTTAATTATTGGTCATTACTGATCATAGTTCTATAAATCGTCCGATTGTTCCTATGTCAGCTATATACATATGTATATGTATATATATAGTCCACCGATTCGTCATGATCCGACTTATATACTACTAAAATTATATAGAAGAATAACTCCATAGTTTCATTCAAATAGCTAGCTCTTAAATTTTTGCAAAATAAATCTCGCACATGTGTGCTTATGATTCCCAACTGTGTTCTAACATCCCCGGAACGAAGTGACTGCCGTCGGACGTCTCAGAGAAGTGTTGTGTTACAAAAGTTGCATGTCATTGTTTATTTCTGTTCAAAGTTAGTAACTGATCATACATACTTACTAGTCAAAGATACTTACTGATCATAGTTACTTACTGATCATAGATACTTCCTGCTCTTAGTTACTTTAAGCTCATTGTTAATTACTGGTCATAGTTAATCACTGATCATAGTCCGATTGTTCGTATGGCATCTATATACATATATGTATAGTCCACCGGTTCGCTGTGAAAGAGTCATTTCCGACCCTATAAATCATATATATTCTTGATCAGCATAAACAGGCAAATCTTACTCAGCATGTAGGAAGATAATAAGTTTTTGACAATTTTTTAAATTTTTTATACATCGATCAAATTGACAAATATTTAAATTTTTTGAAATATTAAATGAAGTATGCAGATGTATAATCGAAATAAAAACTTGCATATGAAAGCTTTCCGAATTAAAATTAATGCCTTTTTGACTTCTTTATGCGTTTTTTAAACTTTGATTAAAAAAAAAATTATTTAAGAATGTAATAAAACCGTTTTAAAAAAGGAATTCTTATAAGTAATCAAAGATCTCGGAAGAGTTATTTAGCTTTCTTGTTATAAATACAATATTAATAGCACAGGAAACGCCTGTCCACATATTTCTTGGACCCATTGATCTGATCTGACCGGGCTCATTCCTGGATGTTTAATACATTTTAATACAAATCCCAAAGAATAAGACCAAATAATGAAGTTTTTTTCATAATTTAAAGTATAAGCACGGGTATGTTTAACCAACCAATTTATTTAGAAGTGTTTACTTGTTCGCTTCAAAATATAATTATCTCCATATACATTCACAGGCTCAAAGGAATTGTACATACATACATATACTGTTTAATGAACAAAGAGTGGGCACAAAGACCACCTGTACTATCATTTTATGCATACAGGTTTTTTAATATGTTTGTGATACACACATGTCCTGTTAGCAATTTTACATTTTTAAATGAAATTGGTTTTTTGGGATAGCTTGACAATATAGCTCTAGTTCCCTACTCCTTTCCAACTGGCCATTTTGCCAGGGTTCTTCTTCGGTGCATTTTGCTAGCGGAGCTGTAGCCTTTGATGGTGCGGAGCTTGCTCCTCGTTTAGGCCTGCGCAGCAATGGATTACTAAAGGTAACGACAATATACTCGACATAAAATAACTTACTGAAGACATTCCGTAAGTGTTGTTATCGGAGCTGTAGTCTCTTGATGTCCTTTCGTTTAGGTATCCGCTGGGAGGCACGTACCGGAGTTCGCTCCTCCTTGTGGCCTGCACGCGGAAGGGAAGGAATAATTAAAGCAATGGCTCAGGCTTAAGACTAAGCAGTTCTTACTAAAAGCACGCAGAACGACGAGCGGAGAACCGCCCGTCTGGCTTCCATCCTGGCTTTCAAGCATTTCCGAGAACCCTTTGACACATCGGTACATCTCCGTCACCTGCTCTTGCGTCAGAAGGCCGAGCATGTTCAGCTCGGGATCCCAGTAGAAGGGAAGCCAGCCCAGGCGCAGACAATTCTTGAGTTCCTTGAACATCTGGGGAGGATGAAGAATGTAGTTAGAAATAGGGTTCAAGATCAATCCGACTTCGTCATACTTACATCGGTCAAAATGACTGTGAGTGGCTTGAGCCAGTAGTGTGGGGGTTCTTGCCTAATTTTCAAAAGAAACAAAGTTTTAATGTAGTAGCTCTTTAGGTTGCTTAAATTGGACTTTACATCGCGATATTTCTTAATCAGTTTTATCCCGTCCAAGCAATGGTTCATATTCTCGCCCCGAAGCATAAACTTCTCGGCCTCGTAAAAGGAGGACCGAAACGAGACCTGAGCTGTGGTCGTTTTCAGGGGCTTGGGAATCGCATCCCAGTGTGAAAGATTCGCGCGCCTAAAGTAGGTAAGCTGTTCGTCGGCTAAAACGTTCTGTTGGGCAGCCAGGCGGATGGCGGGCACATAGTCTACCGAGTATTCAAGATCCCGCCCCTCTACAACGATGGTGTGGGCCGGCCCACAGGTTTTGTACCGCAGTTTTATACCATTCATCTCCACGCGATTCGCGATCCGATCGAGGGCGCGACTAAAGAGGCTCTGCAGCCAGCTCTGCAACAGGTCCACGGCGAGATAGTTATTCAAAACGAGAGAAAGGAGCAGTTTCCGGATGCTCTGACGATCCGCGCGGGGATCGTCCTTAAGGAGTTCTAGCACGTGCGTCATATCGAGTAAAACGTTTCCCGGCATTGTTGAATCTCGCGTCACGACGATACTCTCGTAGTACGGTATTAGCAGCTTAAATACTAAATCGAATTCGTTGGGCTTCGCGATCTTTAACAAATCTCCAGAGCTGCCTGCGAATATTGACGGATATTGACTACGACTTAAGTAACGAGCGGATAACGCGGCGCGAAATGAACGGATATCGAATGGGTAGGGAACGGCGCGGGGCAGGATGTCGAGTTACGCGATAAGGACGGACATGATGACACGACACGCGTTTTATATATTTATATATTCTTGATCAGCATCAACAGCTGAGTCGATCTAGCCATGTCTGCAGGAAAACAAATATTTTTCTAACATTCTCCAAATTTTATAAGGGATTACATCGTTAAAATGACAAATGATTTAGATTTTTAAATTTAATACGCAGATTTTCTAATCTAATAAAAACTAGCACATTAAAGTTTTCCGGTTGGAAAATAATACATTTTTGGCTTAGTTAGCAGGACCTCGTGGTGATACTGATCATGTATATGTATTGTACTTTATCAGACGTCTCGTTGAATAAATGTAATACTTGGTCAAAGAAAGTCCTACATTCTCAGTGCTTAAATAATCATTATATATTTATCTGTGTTTAACCTTAAGAGTAGGCACTAAACTATACTATAATTCGATAATGTCAAATTTACTTTTAAGACCTTGTTTTTTCCTTTCGATGCACTAGCTTATTATTAGAAATGACGTTAGATGGGACTACAAGAGTACTTGAATTTACGAGCGTCTTATCAACATTACTTTTATTGTTAATTGTTTTATAACAAAATGACTCATGTGGTGGGGGAGGCGGGTTAGGGAAAATGTATAAGGTTTCCGTTGCCAGTTCCTCTGGGGAGTATTTACTGGCGCCTGCACGGCAGACACATACCTTCCAAACTTAATTCCACGATGAGGCTGTTAAGCTGCGGACATTTTCTCAGTTCTTTGAATATTTTAGAAGATAGCTCTTCGAAGTGCTTACCATATACTTCGCTCTCCCGCCTCGGGATGGCTATATACTTACTTAATACAGTCTGAATCAAGTCCTCAGAACTCAATTTACCAATTTTACTAATTACCTTGGTCATTGCTAATGTGTTGTTTAATAGGTTGAAAAAGTGCAACTGATCGACAAAAAGACAGAAATAATATATTTAAGAGCTTAAAGTATGACCGTCTCCGAAAGCTTTTCCAGATAATGGAACAGCTGGAGCAGTCATTTTCTCTTCAAGACCAACATAAGTCTTATTAAAGCTAAAAGGGAGGAAGAACCGAATTGTACAGAATACATGTAAAATAAACATTTCTACAATTCGACCAAGAAATCGTTTTAGAGGTTCAACTTACCACCATTCGGCACCATTAAGCGGAATAATGATCGTTTCACGTTTGTACAAAATCATTTCGGCCAAACTAAAGTTTTGTTTTATTCAGTTGATAAACAAGTACTATCAATATTGTGTGCCCCGCCCGACCAGCGCGGCCTGGACTTCTTAGTGACCCGCGGTGGCAGCCTTGGCAGCGATCTCGTCCTCCTTGGCATGCAGAGCGATGAGCTCCTGCTTCTTGGTGGCGATGCGCTCCTCGCGGCGCTTGCGTGCCTCGCGCACCTTCTGTCGGCGGGCCTCGGCCTGGTCAGCCAGCATCTTGCTGCGCTGCTTCTCGGCCTTCTTCTTGTGGATGTACTCCATCAGGACACGCTTGTTCTTGAACACATTACCCTTGCACTTCATGTACAGGTCGTGGTACAAGTGCCGGTCGATCTTCTTACTGTCGCGGTACTTCTTCAGCAGACGACGCAGAACGCGCTGGCGCTGCATCCACAGCAACTTGGTGGGCATACGGGCGTTCGCCGTACCCTTGCGCTTACCGAATCCGCAGTGGCGTCCCTTCCGACGCGCCTCGGTGTTCTTGCGCACCCTGTAGCGGGAGTGGACCACGACGGGCTTCTTGATGATCAGACCATCCTTGATCAGCTTGCGAATGTTCTGGCCTGCAAATAGAAGACGGAAGGAGAGGTCAGTTCACAGCTCACAGTTAACAACCCGACAGCTCTACTTACGCGAGTTTGTGTTGGCGATCTCGTTGATCTCATTGGGGTCCAACCAGACCTTCTTCTTGCCGCATCGCAGTACGGAGGCTGCGAGCCTCTTCTGGAGTTTAAGAGAACTGAAAGACACAAGGAATTTGTTAGTCGCAAGTCGCAAATCCGAGCAGCGTGTTGGGTGCCAGTGGCAGTGTCCATATCTGTGTGCGTGTAGGTGTGCGGCGCACGTTTGGCAATTTTACAATTCCCGCGTCGAACCTGAATTATCCGCAGTCTCTTCATAGCACACAACGTCGCCGCCTTGTGTCCGCACACACTGCACATATATTGGCACCGCAAGGCAGCCATTTCCCGCATATTTACGAAACTCAAATATACCTCATGCTGTCGAATCCTCGTCGTGAAAAGAAAGAAAAATTTGACAGGCGGAAGTAGCGAGCTGTCAAAATATCGATTGGGCTATCGATAGTGCTGATGGTTCAGCTCTAGCCGGCAACATCGATTATTTTTAAGCTGCTGTTAAAAATATACTTTTTAGTTTTTATACGCTTGCAGGGAATTGTAAATTCTTCGAAAATCGGAACAATTTCTCCTACAAGCAAAGAAATAATTTTCTACAATAAACTACAGCTGAAAAAACAACGATGTTCCTTCCGATACTATCGGTGTTGACAAAAATTATTTTTAATTTTTTAAATCTTTACTTACACTCAAAGTAGGCATGAAAACTCGTGGAGCTAGTTCTTTTAAAAAATTTTCTCAAAAAACAGGTGAAAACATTATTTTATGGTAGTGGAACTCACTCTCAATAAGAACGTAATCAAAGAACGTTACGTTATCAAAACGTAATCTTGTACGTAATGTTTGAGATAGCAAAAACATCGATGGTTAATAAATGCTATGTATATAAATATATATACTTTTTATTTATGTTCATCGATTTAAAAGCCCGAAGGGTATGAAAGCTTCGGCTTTTTTAAATTATTTTGGTCCCAAGAGTTCATCTTTTGCAAACAGGTGGTATTTTTGCAAGATCTAGCGGCGGCCACACTGCTCTGCTCTGCAATAACAACATAATAATTTTAAGCTATTTGCGCTGCGAAAAGTGCAATTTACGCAATGCAGCACACGCTCAGACGTTGCCTGGGCATGGCCCGGGTGCCCCTGCTGCGCCTCCACCCCAGTGCCACAGTCGTTGCGACCACTAAACTGGAACCGGCGACGATTCCAAGGCGCAATTTAGCCTCGGTGCCGCAGGAACAGAACAAAAAGGAGCAGGACGCCAGGGAGAGTCCCAATCGCCTTCCCCGCCTAATGGACTTTCCTGAAATCGTATGGCCCTCGGCCCTGAACTCGCTCAAGAATTGGATCACGATCCAGTTCATCATCCGGCCTTATTTCGACAGTGAGTTCCAGCTAAAGGACTTCATATATGGCGCCAAGCAGGCCCTGCAGGTGGTGTCCTCAAGACTGATGGGCGGCGACCTAGACTCGCTGGAAAAGCTAGTCTCGCCCGAAGCGATCGCGGAACTGAGACCCGTAATACAAAAGCTCTCGATGACCCAGCGGCGCCAGCTGGAGATCAGAGAGAGCGACATCTACCTCAGCTTCCCCTACCAGGTGGGCATCATGTTCGACGAGGCGAACGACAAGCTGCAGAAGCGCTTTGTCGAGATCACCATGGTCTTTCATGTGATGCGCGGGCTCTCCGAGATGCGGGAACGCGGCGAGGAGATTCCCTGGAACATGGGGTGAGTTGGGAACCGAACTCGTCTTGCAAAATTCCCCCTCACCTCTGCTATCTTGCAGCACTCTGCCCGAGTACCAAGACAAGGTGTTCATCTGCAACTACCGCTTCATCAAGGAATTCACCGCCGGGCAGCAGTCTGACTGGACCATCAACGTGGCCAACCAGTTCCGGGCCATCGACCTGATCAATGAGACCAAATAGCACATGCTCCCGCCACCCTAGCCACCATCCTAGCATTCTACTATCCGATATTAGATGGTCCTTCCACCCTCGCCTTCGTTGGAATAAAAAGTTCGTTGCCGCATTTAGGTATAAAAAACGATGAACTTTACTGTGGATCTCGAATTTAAATTAGGTTCATGGTGTAATGAGGGCATGGAGCGGTTTATGCTTAGTGCTTAGTGCTGCTTCTTGGACGCGGCCTCGTGCTTGGACCTGTAGACGCCCTGGGGATCGTACTTCTCGAGCAGCAGCTTCCACTCGCCGGCTCTTTGGGAACGCAGGAAGTTGATCACCTTCTGGGAGTTGCGGCGTTGGACTTCAGTGCACTTGGAGCAGTCCGACTGCAGAGCGTCGGGCAGCAAGCGCTTCAGCTCGCGGCCCTCGGGCGTGCACGGACCTTTCTCCATCAGGCACTTGAGGTAGTTGTTCAGGACCCGGCTGTTGCCCAGTACCTCGTCCACGTTAACGTTGTCAAACTTGTTGGTGTACTGCTTCTCAGGAGCGGCGGCCGCCAGACCGGCAATCACGCATAACACGATGGCTAGTGAAGCTTTCATCTTGACTTGGGATAAGCTACAAAGAGAGAGGCGAGAGTTAGAAATGTTGACGCCAAGGAGAATGCTGGGATGCTGCTGCAGCGGTTGCGGGCAGGCAGTTGGCGTCGCTGCGTCTCGGTTTCGTTCAGCAGAATCATCCGAGGTGAGTGCTGCTCTGAGCCGCGCTGCCCACTTTGTCGTCATGCATTATTAATGTGCCTTGGCATATATATCGCATATGCATACTAATTGGCGTTCGTTTGGATTCCATATTTTACAAAGAAGATTTCACAATTCCCATTCGGAGTCCACGACCACGTCGCCTTATCCGATTTCGACTTCTATATGGCTCGCTCGGGATTTACGCAATCGGTGGTTTAGCGCGTAGAGCTACTCTCGGGATTCCTGATTTGATTTTGATTTCCTTTTGGCTTTGGCAGCAGCTACTCACTTCTTTTCCGGACCTTTTCGGGCAAACGCTATTGATGAAGTTGTGGGGCGTATGAAGGCACAGCTTGGATTGCGAGCAGATAGCCTGGTCGCCTGGCTTATATACCAGGAGCTTTAGCAGCGCTTACCCTCTAGCTCTTTGGGAAGCTTTCGCAGGCAGGCAGCGGCGGCAACGAGGCTTCGGCCGAACCGGATTTCGGATTTCGGTGACTGACTTAAGGTTTTGTGTATTTTTTTTCTGCTGAATTTCGGCAAGTCCAAAGGCGGGCCAGCGGTCCAAAGGGTGGAATGGAAATGAACGGAATGGGAGTTTTATGATATCACAGATCCATCTCCACTCACACCCCGCCCGCCAGGTTTGTTTATTCGCTCACGTACGGAATTAGTAGGAAAAGCCATTGACGTACGTGAAAATTGAAATTTACATGTTGATTTTGGCCACTTGGGACTGGGACGGGACGGAGCTTGAAGCTCGGTTTCCTACTCTTTAACGATCGCATTTGTGGCGACTTGTCGTGTCGTGGTAGTTGCCGCTGTGTTGTAATCACTTTTATGCATTTCCATTTCCCTTTTAATTATCTCTCTCGCTGGCTCTTGGAAGCGCACGCACCAGTCTAGACTCAACCAGATTTCGAAAGCTCTTCGACGCGGCTCGGGTTGGCTCGGCTTGTCTTGTTTTGTTTTGGTTTTGTTTGGCTGCAACCGCAGCCTGATCGATTCCAACTGGCCTGGGCTTGGGCTTGGGTCTGAGCCATGGGGATTTACCACAGCCCCGGTCCCGGCCCCGGCCCCACCGTTCCCCAGTCTGGTGGACAGCGCAGCGTGACTCTGGGTTTTTCGGCCAGCCTTACTCGGAGCCGAAGCAGAGCCATCGCCATTCTGTGCAAATGCCAGCTAATGGAGCCAGCCCCAGTTCGCACTGATAATTCTAGCTAGCTCTGGTGGGGGCAACAATAAGTGGCCATAAAACCAAAAATACGAAAATACACTTCATACCCTCGAATAATTATGAGCAGTCGCGCTTTAACGACTGTCTCTTGACGCGGCCGATTCTACGGATCATCGTGCGGACGCCTCTCAGACCTGGGGGTCTCCGAGATCTCAAAGGTCTCGGAGGTCTAGGAAGGGGTCAATAAATCACCTGCGTTGTGACATAACACTCGTGCCAATTAAACAAACAACTTTCGGTCCGAACGCCCCGGTGATTAACATGCGAATTAGGGCATCCTTAGCCCCAGGTATCGCATCGATTTATGCAAATCGAGAGTGCTCCGCGCTGCTGGAAAGGAAAAAAACTCCCTGCTTACTGAGAGGGAGTAACGAGGAGGAGAGGAAGGGTTGCTTACCTTGAAGCCGGCCAGGGCATCAGCTCCAGCTCCGGGGAGAGATCATGCGACATGTGCAAGTTCAGGTTCAGGAAGGAGAGGCGAGCAAGGTGAAATAAAGTAAACAAACCGCAAAGTACACAATGGCGACGATGGCGGCTGCGGCTCAAGAAATACTAATAATGATCAAGAAAGGAAGCTAACTTTGGAAAGCCGAAGATTGTATACCTTTGCAGTTAGCCACACGATCATTGGGTTTGAATAGGCAATTGGTTATAACTATGCCAAAAATGCATTAATTTCAATGCGGAAAGCTGTCCCATTCTAGTTTTTAATAGGCTTATAAATCTGCATACTTCATGTAAAATATAAAAAAAATTAAAATTTTTGCCAATTTTAACGATGTAACCTCTTACAATTCTTATTGAAAAAATTGGCAAAATTGTATTATCTTTCCTACATGCCTAAAAAAATTTGCCTGTTGATGCTGATCAAGAATATATATATGTAGTTTATAGAGTCCGAAATGACTCCTTCACAGCGATAGAAGCTTTTTACTATAACTATAATACCATTTGTTGAGCCCATGTTATTTATATTTTTATAAGACAATTTGTTTCAACAAATCAAAATTTAAAAATCTCATAACTTAGCCAAAAAAGCATTAATTTTAATTCGGAAAGCTGTCCCATGCTTGTTTTTATTAGGCTAATAAATCTGCATACTTCATTTTAAATGTAAAAAGAAAAAAAAAGAAAATGTTTGCCAATTTTTGACAATTTTAACGATGCAGCCCCTTGTAAACTTTTGAAAAATTTCAAAAAATTCATTTTCCCCCAGACATGGCTAGATCGGCTCAGCTGTTGATGCTGATCAAGAATATATCCTTCACAGCATTAAAAGCTTATGACTAAAAAACGAATACCCTGTAAGGGTATAATAATTAATGTACGGTTTAAAAAAACGCAAAATACAAATAAATCTTCGGCCAGTACGTGCCCAAGTTTTCATTGTCAAGCCTCAGAGCGAGGCGAATCAAACGAGAGCCGCGACCTCAAACCGATGCCGAATTGTCAACAAAGGGAGGGCCGACAGACGGCGGTCAGAGCTGGCTGGAAGCTGGGAAGCTGGGAAGCGTGGAAGCGGCTGACAGATAAGGTGAAATGAGGCACATTCAATTTTAACTTAATCGGTATATTATGTAACTGCCAACTACTGATAATTGCATCGGAGTGGCACCTTTAGCCTAGCCTAAGTCTTGTATAAACATATATACACGCGGGTCTAGTCCGGGAGTAGACACTACTTGACAGCCAGATCGGAGAGCTGGCCGGGGAGGGCATGTTGCGCAAGGGCTGCGTTTGGCTGGAACCTTGTCTCCAGCATCATGTTCCGTGTTCCGCCGCCGCACACCTTGCGATAGAGGTCGACGTAACCTAGGTCGCCGCAAGCCACTCTGATCGCCTTCAGGACGCTCCACACGGCCAGCAGCAGAAAGAAGCCCATGCAGTAGGGCTGCATGTGCTGCACCACGTTCACGTTGATCCACATCAGGGCCAGCACTAAGAAAGGCAGCTCGCCCATTTCCTGGGGAGATAAAGAGATAGATGCAGCGTCAGGATCTGGGAGAAATCCCTGGGGAAGCGGAAGCGGGGTTGAGGTACTTACAAACTCGTACCAGAAACTGGGCACCATCATGTTGCTGTACTTTTTCAGACGCCGGCTAAAGCGGCTGAGGTCAGGAATGGGAATGTTCGATTGGAAGCGGTACTTCTCCGTGATCGGTATGCCCGTGATCGGCTCCAGGAGTACGTAGGGCTGGTGGTCCTCGGCGTTGGGCGTGTATCCCTCGTAGTGCTCGCTCCAGTTGTAGCTGGTTCCGTAGAAGTGCGGCATTGAGAAAGCAGATGGGGCATCGTCTTTAAGGAGAGAGAGAGAGAGTGACAGAGGTTGGAGTTTTAACCTTATTTGGGACAGTGCGGGGCGTCCCCAGGATACGCACTTATCACACACTTGGAGACGTCAAACATGCCATCGTACAGCTTGTAGGCGTAGGTGGTGTCCAGGCACTTCGGTGGCTTCTGGAGAGCCTCGAGCAGCGTGTAGCGGTATGTGTTGAGGCCGCTGTAGATCTCCTGGCCTCGGTAGGTGAGAGGGAGCACTCGGCACGATTCGATGGCGACGACGTCGAGCGGCGTGTCCGGCTCGACAAATGGCGGATAGAGGGAGTTGTCAAGGGCACCAGTCACGTTGTAAGGACACTCTTCACTCTCATAGCGGTAACTGTTCGAGCCTTGCTCCTTGATGATCACCGCGTCGTTCAGGGTTTCAATGCGAAAGAAGTTCTCGATACCGCTATCCGGGCCGATATTCACCGTGTATTCCTCCTTCTTGTCTTTGAGAGCCTATAGGAATAGCCTAGGGATGACCAAAGGCTTCCGGAAAGAGGGTTACCCGAAACACTTACGTTGTGCAGCACCCCGACATTGGCGGCCATGTTGGACACTCTGGCGAGTCCCTGGAGCAGAGGTCGGGTGAACTCCCAGAGGAAGTAGTAAATGGAGTTGGTCAGGAACTCGTCCTCGCTCGCAAAGACGGCGTCGAAGCCGAGAGCCGAAAGGGGGGCCTGGTGCTTGAGCTTCGCCGCAGCCCCCAGCAGCACGTTGTTGGTGGACGTGATGGTCCAGTTGAGCACATCTGGAGCCACACTCTCTTCCGGCAGGAACTCCACAATGCGATAGCGGTGTTTGCTGTACTTCACGTGTGTCGCGTTGCGTTCCAGGATGTCGTTGTAGCCTACAATGTTGTAGGTGATGGGACCTATCTCCTGCACCTTCAGCCTCGTGTCGTGGCCAGCGAGGAACGCCTCGGCGTTGGTCACGTTGAAGACGTAGTTCTTTAGCTTGCCGAACGGGGAGTTGATCCAGCTGTCCATGGTGGGCATTTCCTGGCGGAAGCGCACATGCTCTCTGGCCACCAGCACACGGTAGTCTGCACTAAGCGACGCCACAAACAGATAGATGCTGCCTGCTGCAAGGAGCAGGCAGAGCAGTATCTTCAGCCACCGGAGCATCATGTTGCGGCTCAGGCTTAGTCTTGGGACGGATAAACTGGGACGGAGACTCGGAACTGGACGCAGGCTGAGCCAAGACTGAAACGCGTCTGATTGGGAGAAAACACGCGATCCGTTTAAGTCTAGTTCCAAATGCTTTCGGCAATTGTTTTACAATCACTTATCACCACCAGCCTCCAGCCTCCAGCCTTCGCCCCGCCTGCTCCTCCTCGTCCGACTGCTCTCGGGATTGGAACGGAATGAAAACAAAGTGTATAAAATCAAATAGCGGAAAGGCTATCAGTAAGCTGGGCCGAGAGTTTATTCTGGTTTCCCCCTGGGGCCGTCTGTGTGAATAGCGGAGATTATGACGCACCTCTGACCCGAGCATAGGAATGACGCTTATCTTGGTCCGAATGTATGCTACCATGTTTCCACAATGGCCTCGACGGGCGGAGGATTCCTCCTCAGGATTCCAGTGAACTCTCTGGAACTCAGCACAGTGTATTCGCTCAGCAGACCCCCTCGGGTGGGGCCACGCCAGCCTTGGACGGGAGCAGGTGTGGATGGCCTGGTCCCTGGTCTTGTGGTCCCAGAGGTTGTACCTTATCAGCCACAGACTGTCCCGGCCGGCAGGCTTATCAGTGCTGCGGTCAGCCGACCGTGCAACTAAACAAATGACTCGCCATAAAAAGTCTGGCTCTGGGTCTGGCTTCAGCAGGGGCGGACTCGATCTCGTCCAGCGCACTGATATGCAGCCTGGAGTCTCTCGTATCAATAGACAGCTTAATGGCCATGCTGCTAAAATCCGGTCTGGTGTTTGAGATGAGGCATTAAAATAGCTTCAAATTCGAAAATACTAAAATTAGGGCTAATGATAACGCCCACCGGTGTTGTTGGTAATACCTACCCATTCTAATCACTGTCTTACTTTGCATGGCTTGTGACACCTGTGGTAGCCTGGGAAAGCCGAGAGCTCGGAACTGATAAAAGATGTAACTAAATAATAATAATCTCTAGGTCTTACCTATATAGCATACGTTTGGGGATCGCTTATAAAGTTATCAAATAACATAATGTAGCATCATACATTTATAAAAAAATGATTAACAAACTACAAAAGAACTTCCCGTAGTCAGGTAAATTTCAATATAGCTCTGAATCCAGTTGACTCGGATTGAGACAATATATATAATAATTATAATATTGAAAGCTGTTGCATTGTTAATCAATAAAAAGGCACAGCGAAGCTGCCTGCCATTAGCGTCGCATGTTTCCTTTGGCAATCATTATAGCATAGAAATCCAAAAAAGATTTGGCCAATTGTCTAATTAAAATAATATCGTAGTTTATTGTACACACATTAATGAATATAAATTGTATATTCAATCGATAGAATTATGTATTTATTGAATAGAAATTTCTGATGCGGAGCTTGTCCGTAATTTTCGGCCTAATGAAGCACATTTGTATTCGAGAGGACGGAACCTTTTGTTTATTTGAAAAAACGTTTCCAGAGTTTTGTGACTTGACTTGCGACCGTTCTCTCGTCCGTCCGGACATCCAATTTCAACGAGGGGTTAATGTGGTAGGACAGGAAAGCGAGTGCGGGATCGGCTTCTGTTTTGGTATAACAAATCGAAGTTTGAGTCGAAGCTTTGAGCCTTAAAGCGATCACGACTGTTTCGTAAGACTACACATCCAAATTTTCATAACGATTACTTACAACGATAACCTACATACAATACAATAGATACAGATACAGATACAGATACAGATACACATACAAATACATACAAGTCTTCCCAGCTCCATTTCATATAGACTACGGATTCGGAGGGGAGAGGAAACGGGAACGGGATCGGGAATGGGGACAGGGAACAGGGAACAAGGTTGGGATTAGGGATGGGCTTGGGATAGTCCCAGTTCCTAGCTAAGGCTTACACTACACTATAAGACACCCAGAGACCCCTCGAACTGCGAGCAGACTAAGACTAGAGCGCCTAGTATCTGGCGGCGGGCTGGTTCTCCTTGTTCTGCTTCTTGTTCATGTCCACCTGTGCGGTGGCCAGGTAGTTGGAGCCCTCCAGGTGCAGGGTGCTCTGTCGGTGCGAGTTGCGGATGAGGCAGAACGTGGCCAGCAGCAGCAGGATGACGCCCAGGGCGCACAGGCCCAGTATGAGGCCTACGCGGATCTTGGGCGGCACCTGTTCGGCGAAGCGCATAAGGTCGGTGACCTCGTCGGGCAGATTGTCGATGCCCTCCTCAAACCACAGGATGGGGAAGATGATGTCCGGGAAGTTGGCCACCTGCTTGATGTCGAACACCTGGCTCACCGCCAAATTGATCTGGATGCGGCCACGCACTCGCAGCGTAGTTCCCAATTTCTGCAGAAGAAGAGAAAGTTAGATGGTTGATAAGACTGAGATGAGACTGATGGAGCGTGAAGCCTTACCGGCTGGACGTCGAAGAAGAACTGGTGCAGTTCCTTCTGGGGCGGGGAGATGCCCTCCACTTGGGTCCTCAGGCTATCGTCGGCCAGGTAGAAGTGCGGGAAGCTCAGCATGATGGGGGAATCTGAGGAGCAGCCAAGGAGATCAGATTAACCCGGGGGAGGAGGAGTAACAGCGAAATCCCGCTTACCGTATTGGCACAGGGAGACATTAAAGAGGCCGTTGGGCGAGCACGAAGGCTTGCCGGCGGGGCAGAAGCACATGTTGTCCGGATGACTGTCCACGTCGGCAAAGACCCACTCGGGTGGGGTGAAGCGGTAGCCGGGCACCTCGTTCGAGGTTTCCACCTCTTTCTCGAAGACCAGGGGCAGCAGGCGGCACAGGTCTTTGTCGTACACGTGCAGGATGCGGTCCTTTTCGATGTGCGGCGGGAAGATAGAGCCGTCGGTGCCCGCCAGGCTGTTGCACGCCTCGGTGGTCCAGTGTGGCAGGTGGGTGCGGCCGTTGTAGTTGTCGATGATGCCGTACTTCGTGATGTCCTCCACGCCCGTGTTCACGGTGATGCGGTCGGAGGAGGTGCCATTCTTGCCGTACAGCAGGCCGAACTCCTCGTAAGGCAGCTTCTGCTCCTTGGGCACTACGTCCTTGGCCAGCTTCAGAAGCGGATCCTCGTAGCCCCAAAGCAGCTGCCCGACGGAGACCTGGACGAACGGCTTGATCTTCAGGATGTCCATGATGCTGGCCATCGCCAGTCGCAGGAACCTGTCCATTGAAAGTTCAAGGTTAGTGGCGGCCAGGGTCACGGAGGCGGATTACAAGTGCACTTACCTGGCCGCGTGCTTGCTCTGGGAGGTGGCGCTCAGCATGGGAATGTTGGGCACAATCACGACGTCGTCTTCGGGGCCCACGGAGAGGTCTTCGCGGAACGAGTAGATCTTTCGCAGGTTGTAGCTCAGCGTGCCATTGTCATTCTCCACGATATTCACCTTTTCCCAGGTCTCGCTGCAGATCGGAATGGGGGATTCAGATCGAGGCCGGCATTAGCAGGAGGGTGGAGGCTATTTACCTGTAGACATAGGGTCCCACTTCGTCGACAATGGCCTTGGAGCCATTGCTGAGGAAATCGTCGGCATTGGTCACGTTGTATATGTACAGGCTGATCCTGGGCTCCACCGGGGGCTTGGCCCACCAGCCAAAGGTCTTGGCGCCGGGGCGCAGGGCCACCATGCGGTCCACGACAGCATCGATCAGCACGGAGAATTCACAGGCCACCACAATGCCGCCGATTATCAGAGCCGCGGCAATGACGATCGTAATCCCTGGAAAACCAAGGTGATTGTTGAACAATTGTGTTCACCGAATGCATAAATTAACGCGGCTAACTGGGATGAGTCAGTCGGGAGGGGGGATCAATCTGAGTTGTTATTGAGCGGGGACGTGGAAACGTGGATTTGATCGAGGCAAATATTTGAGGAGAAGGCTATAAATATTTATTCGGCGCCCGTTTGAGTCAGCTTGAATTGAATCACTAACCCTCTGACCTTTAACCTCAGTTATGAAACCCCCGAGCTAGTGAATTATCCGATAAATATCCAGCAATTAGTTGGGATTGAATAATTACAATTCGATCAGAGAGCTGGAAAGTCTACTTGAAATAGAATGGGTTATAATCGGATCCGAGTATCCCTGGCCGAAGAAGACGACCTCTGGAAAAGTACTACTACGCAATAGCTCCAACTCATGAAGTGAGCTACAGTTAAAGGTTGGGATAGTAGCCAGTTTATCCTATCCGGCGCACTTTGAGCGGCTTTAAAGTGTATCCCCATCCGGAGACCAGTCTAACCAGTCGCCAGAGCAGAAACTACACTATTAAAGTGAATATGTATATGTATGTGTATACCCTGAGAGCGCAAACAATAACAAAAACTAGAATCGGGCACGTGGAGTTATAATCCAAAGCCAAGCGAATCGCATTGGCTAGGCGGAGAGTACTTGCGATTCCACCTCCCATTGCGTTGTGCATAATTAGCTTAGGACGGGATTATTACACAAATCAAGTCGGAAATATCCATATTGAAATTACTTGCCAGGCAAGAATGTAGTTATACAATCAGTTGTTAATGTCTCCCAGATCGGCATTATCATACTTACACCACTTCCTGAGGTATGTGCTGGACAATTTGGTGCACAACTTGTGCTTGGGCCCGTTCATGATGTGGTTAGGTTTGGGTGCTGTGGCTGGTGGTGCTAGTTCTGGAAAAGCAAAACAAAGATCATCGTAAAGAGACCTAGAGGTACTGGTTAAGTGGGTTTTTTCATCGTTAATCTATAATTAAGAACGAAGCCAGATAAACTGGAATGCAATCGCTCATATCGCTGGCGGGTCGCGGCCATCGCTCGACGTTCATGATCTTGGGGCCGATCATGGTCTCCCCAATTCCTCAATTCCCCCATAGAGATCTCGGGGAGATGTCATCGGAAGAGTGGCAGAAATGCGGCTGTCGATGCCTCGACCTCAGACACGTTTTTGGGGCGTGTTGGCCTTGTGCTGTTTTGACATCGCTTTGCTCGTCGATGTTGCTTTGTCGCTCTGTCGATGTTGCGGTTTCGCCCAAAAGCCAATTCATCGCGGAGCACAAAAGCGAGAAACCAATTCGGGGGGACTGACTCCGGTTCGAGTAGAACCTTCGAGTCAGCACAACCTGGTACTGCTACTAATTGTCAGCAGTACTTGGTGCTCCCTTCCTGGCAGGGTTTACCTTGAAGCTCAGCTCCGGCAATTAAGCACTCTTTAATGGGCCGGCAGGCTCCGCTCAGCTCTGCTCGACGCTGCTGAGGTCGGAGCAAATGGCTGGGACCTTGACCGGGGCCAGGGCTACGGCATAAACATGTATCTCTCAGGTGCGGATATTCGTGCGTAAACCGAAACGTTTACAATTGACGATTCCAGGCAGGCCATTATTCATATTCATAAAACAAAGCTAAGCTGAGCAGATTCGGACTCTGATTCGGAGACGGATTCGGCTAATGGCCAGCCATTTGCAGGCCCCGCACGGCCGAAGACAATAGAAACATTTTAATTGATCCCTTGACGTTCGATCCGATCCGATCCGATCCGAGACTGTCCCGCCCAGCTGCATACAAACGGCTGTCTTATCACAGCCAACTTCAGATGGAGCACGTTCGCACCTCGGCCCGATCTGTGCAATTCTTGGAGTCTGGCGGAAGCGCTTTTTATGATTTCTCCAACGAGAGATTCGGCTAAAAAGCATTAAACTTTGTACTTTGAGTCCGCTCTACCCTATCATCGCACACATACTCGACTACAGCTACGGGTTTATTATTTGTCGAGTTTACTGCGCTTTTCGAACGCTACAAGGTCGCACTCCTCCGTCTCCGTCTCCGTCTCTGTCTCCGCCTCCCGAAGGCTTTATTGACGTCGCTTTAACACACACTCGGGCAGGGCTTAAATATTCGTACTCAGGCATTAAGCCGCGATCCACTACCATCGGGCAGTGGTCGACGATGATGCCCATTGAATACTAATTAGCCCATAATTATTTCACCTCAAATGTATTTTCGGTGACACTCGATCGGGCCCAGCATTTGAGCCATTAATCAACGATTTCAGACTGGGATTGGGTTTTGATTTGGATTCAGTTTACCAAATTTTGCTGTTTAAACTGCAGTTGTTTTTGGTTTGCCTGCTAATTGGGGTCTGTGTTCACGGCCCATTGGCTTGCTGAGCCTTGCTTTTGCAGAACCGAGTGACTCAAACTCAGATTCGAACTCAGACTCGAACTCGGACCCAGAAGCCGCAAACAACTGTTTGTTGATTGTTTTGATTTCCTCTTATCAGGTTGGAAAGTATGCAAAGCACAGGATCGGGAAAACCCAGGCCGCCGCGGTCACAGCTTTACCACCAACAGCTTTCGGCATTCCAGCGAATTGCGGTACAGCTGATGTAATAGTCTTATTTTATTTTGGTTTCACTTGTTGTGGCTTTTCAATTAGCAGCTCCAGCTGCCCGGCCAGAATCAGCAAGCTTCAATAGAAATTTACTTTCTAAAAACACACGTTTTGTGCGCAGATTGAACCGAAAGCGGAATCACGGCCAGCACATCCGCCGTGGCTCCGATCGAAGCTTGGAGCTTGGAGCTGGGAGCTGGGAGGCACAGAGATCCAGTGGAGACGAGGAGCCAGGTCTCATAATTTCACTGCGTTTAAGTGTTGCACAAATAAATACAAGCGGTAGCAGCTATTTAGTGTAAGCAATTACCCTGACCCAATTTTGGGACGCTTGCCACTGGCGTCGACCAGGGCATACCCTGCACTAGACTAGACCTCCAACGAGGGTATTGGGGCAGTGCGTTGGGTTAAGTACTTCCACTCGAAACTAATGTAAAGAAAATGACTCGGGAAAGCCCTATGAACGGAGTGAAACTCGGCAGTTGCTCGACTTAAAGTCGTTTCAAAGTTAACCGAGTTCGAAATGCAATAAATATTGCCAAGGCGATACGTTACGATCGGTTAAGTGCACTTGGCTAATAGGGAAAGCTTGTTGAGCGGATATTAACTAGAAATTGACTGCTTTAAAAAAGAAATAATTCTTCTTACAGAGATTTTCTGCCCGAAAGGGTATTCCAGGAGCCGCCTCATCAGATTCCACCGCTAATGATTGCGGCCACGGTGGTGACACTGAGAGCGGCCAAAATGGGTAGCGAGTTGCCGACTGAAATTCACCTGCCTGCATTTGATAATACGAAATGAAATGGCTTTTAAATTTGTGCGTTTAACAATGTAGATGTAGATGTCGCCGTCAATGGCGTGACTGACATGTGCTGCGGACTCGCGAGTGGCTCATCTTGGGCTGTCAGTAGGTCAGTTTCGCCGCAGTTACAGCGACGACCGTCGCGGAGTGTGTGTGCTGTTGTGGGGCTGAGTGTGGCTGCTTTCGCAGTGAAATGTGTCAACAGAGACAGAGCCTGGCAATTGTCACCTCAATTTACGATCAACGGGGAACGGTCCGAAGCCCTAGACCTGCCGCTTCTGCTGCTGCCGTGATGAAGATGATTCAAAGCTCGGCGGTTTGCTGAGTTGCTGGGCCTGAGACCTCTTGGCCCCAGCTCTGGTGCAACCTTCGCATAATCGCATTGTTATGTGGTCAACAAAAAAAAAAAAAATGAATTAAAAAGCTTGCAGCAGCAGGCCCCTCTATTTATTTATGTATTTATTTATTTATCTGAGGTTTCTTGCCAGCGCACGCTTAGTTTCGGATCTTGTATCTTGTGTGTGTTTTCGGCAGACTTTTTATTTGATTTCGCCGTGTGCCGCTGACTGGCTGCTTCGTGGCAGCTTGGCTCTGCTCAGCTCAGCTCAACTCAGCTCAACTCCGCTCAGCTCGAGTGCAGAGCAAAATTTCACTTTTTCCACACAAGTAATCATAAAACTATGCACGTACATCAAATGCGCTTTTGGCAGGGCCGTAGACAGCGTTTAGCCGCTGCCTCAAGCCCCAAGACTCCCCAAGACACACAAACAAAACAAAATCAAAGCCCCCCAGAGCCCCTAAAGCATAATTCAATGATTTTCCGCTTTTGTAGCGAGGCAAAGTCGCTGGCGAAGTGGTTTCATTTTGGCTGACTGGGCAAGGTCTTGCTCAACCAAGAGCCATGATCAGAGCGGAGACGCAGGCGGAGATGGAGATGGAGTTGGATTCGGTTTCGGATTCGGATTCGAATTGGGAGACTTGAAGCCAAGGGTCGGTGGTCCATCAATCGGACTGCAGCAATTGGACTCTCTTGCAGCTCCCTGGAATGCGACCAGTCGCCAGCTGGACAGGCTGGACGAGCTAAATGGTAGCTGGAGCTGGAGCTGGAGCTGGAGTAGCCACAAACCACAGGCATTTCCAAATGGAAACAAATACGAGTACACACACATGCCGGGACACTCACACGGGGACAACGCGGACAGCTCACTCACACTGGGGGGATTTGGTACGGTATTGCCGCTTAGATTCTTGTGCCCGGACTGGAACTGGAAACTTGGAGCGGCGGTACGAGGAACTCACGACAGGTGGAACGTCTTAACTGGGGGCTACCGCCGGCAAAAAACGTCAACGACTCGAACGCTCGCAGTGCCGCCGAGAAACTGAAGTCGCCGTCTTCGAGTGGAGCCCCAACGTAAGATGTTCAGGCGGCGAAAGCTCCCAGCCAGAAGCTTGGCTTGCTGCTCGGCGTTGCGACAAAGCGAAAACTGGAAAACCTGATAAACAGGTAGAGGCGAGCGACGACGAATGGCAGGTAGCTGCCAGTGTGCGAGTTTGTGTGTGGCGCTGCAAAAGCGAGAGTGAGCGAACGGCGAACGGCGAGAGCTTTCCACTGCAACGCATGCGATAAAAGCTCAGGCCGGGCGAGATCGGGTGGGCCGAGGTGGACAGAGGTGGACAGAGGTGGACAGAGGCGAGCCGGAGGAGCCCAGTTGGCAGGCTGATAAACAAGTTTGTTGCTTGCATTGAAGTCTTTCGTTTCATTGCGTTGCATGGCGCGTTCCGTTTCGAACCCGAGTCGAAGCCAAAATATCTCATTGATTGCCACACCAATACCGCTGCACTCGGGCCGATTATGATAGCTGCTACTGGCATGGAGTTGCAAGTGACTCATGCAATTGTTGCCAAACCCCAGCGACGACAGGTTGCAGTCAAAGAATGTATGCAAAGTTGACAGCACCAGCGACTATCCAGCGATCCAACAGCGAATGCTTGATTTTCATTGCGCAAGGCTTTGTGCTTGCCCAGAATCTGAACCTGGGACTGGCTCTACTGGGAAATGCGCAATCCAGCTGTGGAAATAACTGGCGAGAGCAACTTGCTGCATTTGCATAAGCCAATCGAAGTTACGGGGAAATATTAATTGGAAATGTTACTCGAGAAATTGCCCCCAGAGAGTTCTGGCTAATGATAACAATTTTCCAGCTATGATTCAGGGGCAAACTTCTATATAGACTTGACAGAAATTGTCCCAAAGAAGTGGAAATTGGCAAAAAAAAAACCCTTATGATTTTAATAAAAGTGTGTTCATTTCTAAAAAAATAAAACTCATTAGCCTTACTGATGGTAAGACATATAAGATAAAGGACATAATTTTAGTTATTATCTTAATTATATTGGTAATGCATTTATTGCCTATAAAAGTCTGACTTACCGTACCGCAATTTTAACGATGTAACACCTTATAAAATGTTGAAAAAAATTTACAAAAAGTTATTATCTTTTATACATCCGTAGAAAGATTCGCCTCTTGATGCTGATCAAGAATATATATGGTTTATAGGGTCGGAAAAGATTCCATCACATAGTTACAAGCTCCTGACTAAAACCATAATATCACTGTTTGAGTCCATATTATTTATATTTTAATATGACAATTTGTTCAACAAATCAAAGTTAAAAAATCTCATAATTTAGCCAAAAAAGCACTAATTTTAATTCATTTAAAATGTAACAAAAAATTAAAATTTTTGCAATTTTTAACGATGTTGATAGATGTTGAAAAAATTGGTACATTTTATTATCTTACCTACATGCCTAGAAAGTTTCACATGTTGAACGTGATCAAGAATATATATAATTTAAGGGGTCGGAAATGAAATTTTAAAATTTGTTTTTGACAATGTTATGATGAAACGATCAATTCTACAACTTTAGAAGGGAAACTGCTAATGTATTTGTTTGGCTTTTAGAATAAAGCTTCCTTTTCTGATTAGTTTTAATATATAATCTATAATCTATATTCTAAAGTCACTTTTTTGTTCACTATAGCCAAGTTCAACTGCGCCTTATCACGGGCTGTCCCGTAAAGTAATTCACATTCTGGACCGGCAATAACAAATGCTCTAGCTACGTAGAAGGCGAACCAAGACATTATCGCCCAGTGATTTTCGACATTCCTCGTCAAGTCCAACCACAATTACACACCACACACCACACCCCACACCCCACACACTGCCGCACCGTACCCAACTCGACCCGTATCCGAAGCTCGACTCCACGGCGACTTTGCATGCCAATAAGGCTAACCGGGTTGCATGCGACCTTTCTGTTTATGTAAACTGCCATACAAAATGGCGCATTTGTGGCCGTAAATGATGCAATAATGATAAATAATAGCACTACGCATCATACATATATGTTAACTCAACTGTCGTGGCGTGGCGTGTCATCAATTGCTTCAGGTGACCTTCACCCCACTCCCGTTAAGCTTGGGGTCAACCTTTACTCACTGTACACAATGGCCCATACTTCCATCAAGGAGATGCGTTCCAAACGGGATTCCTTCCTCCTCGTCTTGGAAATTCGGCTTTTCTCGCTGATAATTTCGTGACTATTTCGTGTATTTGAGTGTGACGGAAATTACTTGGCACTTGACGACCCGGCAACCAGGTTGATAAGCCAGCCCGCTCTCCTACGTCTGATAAGATTCTCCTGTAAGCGGCCGTTGAGGAAGTGGCCTGGGCCTCGAACAGCCTCAGCGGCTGATGACTTAGAGTCGCTTAGGGTGTCACCTGAACTTGGAAGCCCGCCTAAGGTCGGATCTGGAAAGGGTGGGAGGGTGACCGAACAGGTAAATGTTTTGCAGTTAGCCCGGCAGTATCGACAGGGCCATTAACTAGCACGAACAGATTAGGATTGCGTTATTGAATTATTGAAAGCCCAACCGCGTCATCGGCCCGGGAGCAAAACAAAAGGTTCAGCGGGGCTATCAGTCGCTCAGTCGAACAAAACACACCGAGGCACTGGCTCCGAGCAGGGATTCGGATTCCGGAGCGATCGGGGAACGACAGATGAGTTGTAAACTCTTGACTAAGCTGATAAATGCCTGAGCACACAATCGCGGCCTAGCCGTGGGGTTCAATAACTCGACTCCGGTGGGGGTTCTTCTAGCCGCGACAACGATCGTGCCGGGAGTCCGAGAGCCCGATGATAAGCCAGTCTAAATATATCCAAGAATTGCGAATTGCGAAATTGAAACAGAGAAATCAGCACTGAGAGTTGGAGAGATGGGAGCACCTATCCCGGCAAGTGCTCCAAGTGGACCCGCCTGCACTTCTCGCTGCCTTCGATAATCGCTCGAGCAAACAATATGCAATTATCCAAGTCAAGGGTCCCAGAACGTCTTAAGTGCTCAAGTGCTAATTAAACTGTTTTTTCAATTCCCTTGAGCAAAGCGAGCGCACACACCTATGAATAGGCCCAGACCAGTGGAGGAGGCAACTGTGGAGGAGATCGTGGCACTAGGTAATACTGCTATTAAAACGTGTCCGACAGCTTCTTCGATTGGACTGTGGACTTGGTTAATGTTTATAAAAATAAGGCGAGCTGGTAGCTAAAGTTTTCATACCCTTTGAGTTTATTGGATAACAAAATATATAATTAAACACTTTTCTTCGGCAATCACAAACAAAAGAGTAGAGAAGTATTGTCCAAAAAGTAAAATTCTATGATTTGTGTTTAAAATAAAATAATAGTGTTAAATTATCATGGCAATGTGCCGGCGTCTTTGTGCGTCTTTAGCTGGCTTTTGTACAAAACGTAAATCGTTCTTAAAATGAATTCAAATAATTATTATTTAGGAAAGTTAATTAAGATCGTACAATAAGCATATATTATGCGGCTCCCCCGCTCCATCTCCTAACTCGGCTATAATGACGATGCTGGAGCGGAACGAAACAGCTGGGAGGCTGCATATGGGTCCCTCGTCTCCCGCCTCTGCCATGAGCGGTCGCCATCGGTGGCTCCTTTGTGTGTTCGCGACGATTAAATTTGCACTTTGTCTCGCGGCACACGCACAAAGCCAAAGCTGCTACGTAGTAAACAAGAGATCCCGGTTCCCGGCAGCGCAGCCGCCGCCAGTCGCTCGTCGTCCAGCGGTAATCAGCAGTCGTAGCTGACCGCCCGCTCTTATCACTTACTGCCGTGCCAGAGGCAGAGGCGCTGGCTGCGACGCTGAGGCGCCGTCGACGACGACTGCGAGGAATGAGGAAAGAGGAGCGACTGCGTCGCGCTGCTGCCCCAGCTGCTGCTCACTGCTGGGGCGAACTGATTCCGAGCGTCGTAGTAATAACTTGTTTGGTGGGCAGTACGCACCATTCCAGTCTAGCGGAGAACCAGTGCTCCAGTGGCAGCCTCAAATCCCCGCGAAGATCTAATCGGAGCAGTAGATAGTGCGTGGGCCGGCTCGATTGCTTCGCCGTGCAATCAAACCTTAATCAGAATCCGCGGGCAAGTGGATCAAGCGGTGGCTATATAGCAATATAGCCAGCCACAGCGATAACCGACCGAATTCCCCCACAAAACGCTCGTGAATACTCCGGATTTAATTGTCGCTGTTCAGCTGGAAAAACTAAGCCACGACAGGAAGGGGGAGGAGGGAGCACAGGAAAACAACACTGGAAAACCAGCTCCAACTCCAGCTGCAGGTCCAGTTAATAGATCCGAGAGACCAACAACAACAACAACAACAAAAACAATAACAACGATCGATCTGACAAAAGAGAACGGCGACAAAACAAAGAAGCAGGCACAACGAAAAGAACAGAGCCAAGTGTAGAGAAGCGAAGAGAAAGAAAACGAGAAGAAGCGAGGCACGGATACAAAACAAGTCGGTCGCAGTCGCAGCATAGATACATAGATACAGATACAGATGCAGATGCATATACCGATACGGATACGGACTCAGCCGCTGCATCCACTCACAGCATCCAACAGGAGGAGCATCACCACTCTGCGGGGGAGTGGGCGAGAGGAGGGGTATTAAAATATAATATTATTCAGCAGCCACACAACACAGTGTTTTTTGTGCTGTGCACACAGCGTAAACACGACGAAATTGTTAATTAAGACGCCAAATGTTTGGCAGTCGTCGAAAGTGCAAAGCAAAGCAGCCGCGGAACAGCGAGAGAGCGCCAGATAAGAGCGTATGTGCCTGGTGTGTGTGTGGGTGCGCTCTCTAGTAGTACCTGAGTGTCTGTGAGTTCGGTTTCCTTTCCGTTTCGTTGCGAGCACGTTTGACCACCACCGAAATAACACCCACCGAACAGCTGTGCCCCAAAGCTCACTCCAAGTGCATGCCGCTGATCTACGCTCTCGAGCTCTCGCTCACACACACCCGCATCACGTTATCAGTCAATGGCACTTTTCTGCAACTGATTCCGGCGCACGAGTGAAAAGGAGGGCGGCTGCGGTGGAAAGCGGGAACCTTCGTCGCGACAAGTCTTCAACCCATCCATTGGAGGCTTCCAGGCGGTAAGTGTCGGAGTCAAGTGCAGTGGTATTTGGCGATAGCGGAATTTTTCACAAGGCCCTAGTTCTCAACAGACTAAGTCAAACACACCTATCACGACCGATCTGCTGAAGGTTAGTGATTGTGTAAATACGTATATGTAGCAAAGAAAACATAGATATCAACATGCCCCGATGATTAGTCCTAGTTCCAGCTAAGGATTACAAACCAAGTAATTCCTCCCAATTCCAAAACTTTTATTGGGATCGGTGGTCCAAACTCCCACACCAAACTCTCCACTTAAAATCTATTTAAATTTCAGAAGGATGATAGCACCCCTTACCGTTTACTATTGCACACAGAAATCATTTAATACTAGGAATAGTATCTATTATCTATACTTATCAGTTCCACCAACTATCTGTTAGATGGTAGTCACAGTATAATCAATAGAACCTCCTCCTCGCGATCGCCATCGGGTTCGTGTTCGTGTTCGTGTTCGTGTTCCTGTCCGTTCACATTTTCTTATAACCCATATAACGATCATTATATTGGAAAATTACTACGCTCAGGTTGCGCCTTATCAGAGCCGTTGACCCGCTTTCAAAGTTGGCAAATCAGAACTTACCCCATGGTTGCCAAAGCTCAACTCTATGCACACACGCTGATAGCACACGCTGATAGTTGTTGTCTCGATTAATTTATGAATTAATGCCTAGTTAGTATGTACTGGGACCAAGAACATATATGTGCTCCTAGAGCTAGAGTCCCAAGCTGGTGATAAGAACGGGAGTACATATATACAGCTGAACTTTGATTTCAGCACGGGCAGAAGCAGCGATCGGCGAGCAGCATGCGAAGGCTCTGGGAGTATAAGCCCCGATTAGTTTGTGAAAACATCTGTAATCGCATGGTTAAGAGTCCTCAACCCGCGGAAGATTGCTCCGAGAATCGAAAAAAAAGAGCGATTGACTACTTATAATCAATCTAACCATCAATTGAATCCGTCAAATATTATTTCTCCAAGAGGTAGTATAGGTACGCCGGACATCGCGCAGAGACTTTAAAATAGTGATTCAATCTAGTGTGGCTGTTGCGCCTATGTGTTCATTGAACCCGAGTTTGGCCGATAAGCTAGTAATCTAGTGCCAAAGCTATCCCTTTGAGGCGCCACGTGTTTGTCTTTCTACAGATTGCTTATGGGGAAGAGAAGAGGAGAATAAACTCATATCGTGGAGGCTGTGGCGTAATATTGGGATATACAAAGCCCGATAAGAAGTCTCTCAATTACAATACTTTCAGCTCTGCCCCAGATACACCCACAATGCCACGTGCGACCACCAGCAACCCTGAGGTGACCTTGCCAACCGCCCACCAAGACTGCGATCTCACAGTGGCCGCCATCAGGTCCAAGTCCAACACACTCAACTCCCAGCTGAATAGGGTCGGAACGGGAACCTTTGGAGGCTACGGCATGGCGAGTGGGGCCGAGAAGCCGAAGCCGGTGCTGCAGATGATACTGGAGGCCTTGGGACTGCGAAATCAGGCGCAGAGCCGCGAGCCAACGTCCAAGGATATTGGAACTCTGATAAGTGAGTAGAGCGCTGTTGATAAGCCGGGAGGCTTGATTAATCCGCGTCCTCCGTCTCCGTCTCCCCCAGTGCTGGGCGTAATGTTTCTGCTGTTCGTGATCGGCGTCACTGGATTCTTCGTAATGTGGTTCACCGAGTTCTACAACAACACAATGCTGGAGGTGAGAGATGCTGTTTTGCAGGCCTTAGTACTATTCTCCAGCTAAATCCATTTAACCCACAGAATCTTATATTGGCCGAGAATTCGGAAACGGCCAAAGACTGGCTCAACCCTGACCCCAAGTTCGACACCTTACTGAAGGCGCACATATTCCACTACCCCAATATCGAAGACTACTTAGAGGGGCGGGCGGACAAGATAAAGGTCGTGGACGTGGGTCCACTCACTTACCAAGAGCACACGATCAAAGATGAGGTTTCCTTTAACAACAACTTCACGGTCACTTTCAGGGTAAGGATTCTAACGACATTTACGAGTAGTGTCTGTGCTTAACCATGTGATTTCATTTTAGGACCGCAAATCGTACAAGTTTCTGCCGGAGAAATCGTCTGTTAGGGAGGACGTAGTGCTGATGGTTCCAAATGTGCCACTCATCTCTGCCGCCGGACACGTAAAGCGCATGCCGTATGCCGATCGATTAGTCGCCGGTTTTTTTATCAAACAATTCAAGGAGCCACTCTTTAAAAACCTAACGGCCTCCGATTTTCTCTGGGGCTACGAGGATAAGATTATCAAATTGAAGAGTCTGGGCATGGGAAAGAAACGCTTTGGCCTCCTGATGAACGTAAGTGCCAAGCTCTAAAAGGTTGACTGCTCTGCTCTAAAAAGGTAACTCTTATTTAGCGTAACGGAACCAGCGTGGATTCGGTACAGCTCAACACAGGCGAGGATGACATCAGGAAGTTCAGCATAATTACCCAGTTCAATGGGATGCCGCAGCTAGACTACTGGGATGGAGACGAGTGCAATCGAATTGACGGCTCGGAACCCTCAATGTTCTCGCCGAACTTGCTGCAGAACCGAAGCACCATCAATGTGTTCCTTCAGGTCCTGTGCCGAAAGGTGCCGCTCCATTTTGAGAAGGAGGTTACCATCTTGAATAACATCGATGCAATTCGCTACAAGACGCCAATGAACGTGTTTGCCAAACCCGAATTTAATCCAGCGAACGCGTGCTACTGCACGAACACGGAGATGTGCCTGGAGAGTGGAGTGATCAACGCCACCAAGTGCTACGGGGATTCACCCATCTTTCCCTCATTTCCGCACTTCTTCACCGGCAATAAGTCGTACTATGATCTCTTCGAGGGCATCAAACCGGAGGCGGAGCTGCACCAGACGTACGCCGATATCCATCCGCGTTTTGGCTTCCCCATTGGCGGAGCCTCACGCGTCCAGATCAACATCATGCTGGACAAGACGCCAATACTGGAAAGTAAGTAGAGCATATAAGACATACTTTTCGTGTAGGACTAGATTTACTTATGCACCTATTCCAGATAAAGCCGCTCGCCTAGTAAATGCCACCATCCTTCCGCTAATCTGGATCGAGATCACTGCGGGTGACTTCGGTGAGGATGTGCTTCACACACTTTTCATGACCACCTATGGTCTCGACGCCATTCAGCTCGCGCTCAAGTACGGAACCCTCCTCATATCCGTGACGTCGTTCAGCCTGATCATTGCCGGGGTCTACTTCCTCAACAGCAGGCGGGAGGAGCAGCTCCAGGAGAGCAAGTCATCAGCCGAGCTGGAAGCGCTGAACAGCGGACTCGCTGTGGTGCAGCACGTCAACCTGCCCGTGTCGGTGTAGCAAACCATCCATCCGAGTGATCGAAGTGCCATTAGTAATTTAGTTAGGGGCGGGTACGGGGGAAAGTTGTTGTTTTTTCAACTTTATGAGATTTTCGAATTTGTCTGCGCTTATCCTAGAATAGTTATTACAGAATAAGAGTGATTTAGGCTACGAAGAGTCGCCAGTTACCTTTAGTCAGTAGTTATCTGCTGTATATATGTAAAAAGAAAATGTTTAATAAACTGTCTATAACCTGTAACGAAAGTTTTTTTAACTTACGGAATTAATGTTCGATTTACTTCTTGTTAATGACGGAATGACAAAGATTATGCCGAATGCCAGAAGATAAACTACAACTATAATTTAAAATACTATAATGATTTTTACACCCCTTGCAAGAGTCAGAAGCTTAAAGGAAAATGAAGGAGTCATTTCCGACCCTATAAATCATATATATTCTTGATCAGCATCAACAGGCGAATCTTTTAAGCCATCTCCGGCCGAAAAAAAATGTTTCAGAAATTTCCCATTTTCTGAAAAAAGGAAACGGGTTACATCATGAAAATTTGCAAAACTCGGCCAAAAATTCACCCTTTAAATGGAGTATGCAGTTTTATTAACCTGCTAAAAATGAACAATGGAACGCTTTCCGAATTGAAATTAATGCATTTTTGGCTTAGTTATGAGATTTTTAAATTTTGATTTGTCGTAAAATTTTAAAAATAAAATATTGTTAATTCCGATATAAAAATGGTATTGCACCTTAAGTCAGAAGATTAAAAGAAAGGGAAGGAGACATTTCCGACCCTACAAACCATATATATTCTTGATCAGCATCAACAGGCGAATCTTTTAAGCCATCTCCGGCCGAAAAAAAATTTTCCAGAAATTTCCCATTTTTGTAAAAAAAGGAAAGGGGTTACATCATGAAAATTTGCAAAAATCGGCCAAAAATTCACCCTTTAAATGGAGTATGCAGTTTTATTAACCTGCTAAAAATTAAGAATGGAACGCTTTCCGAATTGAAATTAATGCATTTTTGGCTTAGTTATGAGATTTTTAAATTTTGATTTGTCGTAAAATTTTAAAAATAAAATATTGTTAATTCCGATATAAAAATGGTATTGCACCTTAAGTCAGAAGATTAAAAGAAAGTGAAGGAGACATTTCCGACCCTACAAATCATATATATTCTTCATCAGCATCAACAGGCGAATCTTTCTAGCTATATCTGGGCGAAAAAATTTTTTTTCAGAAATTTCCCATTTTCTGAAAAAAAGGAAAGGGGTTACATCATGAAAATTTGCAAAAATCGGCAAAAATTCACCCTTTAAATGAAGTATGCAGTTTTATTAACCTGCTAAAAATGAACAATGGAACGCTTTCCGAATTGAAATTAATGCATTTTTGGCTTAGTTATGAGATTTTTAAATTTTGATTTGTCGTAAAATTTAAAAATAAAATATTGTTAATTCCGATATAAAAATGGTATTGCACCTTCAGTCAGAAGCTTAAAAGAAAGTGCAGGAGACATTTCCGACCCTACAAATCATATATATTCTTGATCAGCATCAACAGGCGAATCTTTTAAGCCATCTCCGGACGAAAAAAAATTTTCAGAAATTTCCATTTTTGTAAAAAAAGGAAAGGGGTTACATCATGAAAATTTGCAAAAATCGGCCAAAAATTCACCCTTTAAATGGAGTATGCAGTTTTATTAATCTGCTAAAAATGAACAATGGTACGCTTTCCGAATTGAAATTAATGCATTTTTGGCTTAGTTCTGAGATTTTTAAATTTTGATTTGTCGTAAAATTTTAAAAATAAAATATGGTTAATTCCGATATAAAAATGGTATTGCACCTTCAGTCAGAAGCTTAAAAGAAAGTAAGGAGACATTTCCGACCCTACAAATCATATATATTCTTGATCAGCATCAACAGGCGAATCTTTCTAGCTATATCTGGGCGAAAAAAATTTTTTTCAGAAATTTCCCATTTTCTGAAAAAAAGGAAAGGGGTTACATCATGAAAATTTGCAAAAATCGGCCAAAAATTCACCCTTTAAATGGAGTATGCAGTTTTATTAACCTGCTAAAAATGAACAATGGAACGCTTTCCGAATTGAAATTAATGCATTTTTGGCTTAGTTATGAGATTTTTAAATTTTGATTTGTCGTAAAATTTTAAAAATAAAATATTGTTAATTCCGATATAAAAATGGTATTGCACCTTCAGTCAGAAGCTTAAAAGAAAGTAAAGGAGACATTTCCGACCCTACAAATCATATATATTCTTCATCAGCATCAACAGGCGAATCTTTCTAGCTATATCTGGGCGAAAAAAATTTTTTTCAGAAATTTCCCATTTCTGAAAAAAAGGAAAGGGGTTACATCATGAAAATTTGCAAAAGTCGGCCAAAAATTCACCCTTTAAATGGAGTATGTAGTTTTATTAACCTGCTAAAAATGAACAATGGAACGCTTTCCGAATGGAAATTAATGCATTTTTGGCTTAGTTATGAGATTTTTAAATTTTGATTTGTCGTAAAATTTTAAAAATAAAATATTGTTAATTCCGATATAAAAATGGTATTGCACCTTCAGTCAGAAGCTTAAAAGAAAGTGAAGGAGACATTTCCGACCCTGCAAATCATATATATTCTTGATCAGCATCAACAGACGAATCTTTCTAGCTATATCTGGGCGAAAAAATTTTTTTTCAGAAATTTCCCATTTTCTGAAAAAAAGGAAAGGGGTTACATCATGAAAATTTGCAAAATCGGCCAAAAATTCACCCTTTAAATGGAGTATGAGTTTTATTAACCTGCTAAAAATGAACAATGGAACGCTTTCCGAATGGAAATTAATGCATTTTTGGCTTAGTTATGAGATTTTTAAATTTTGATTTGTCGTAAAATTTAAAAATAAAATATTGTTAATTCCGATATAAAAATGGTATTGCACCTTCAGTCAGAAGCTTAAAAGAAAGTGAAGGAGACATTTCCGACCCTACAAATCATATATATTCTTGATCAGCATCAACAGGCAATCTTTCTAGCTATATCTGGGCGAAAAAATTTTTTTCAGAAATTTCCCATTTTCTGAAAAAAAGGAAAGGGGTTACATCATGAAAATTTGCAAAAATCGCCCAAAAATTCACCCTTTAAATGGAGTATGCAGTTTTATTAACCTGCTAAAAATGAACAATGGAACGCTTTCCGAATTGAAATTAATGCATTTTTGGCTTAGTTATGAGATTTTTAAATTTTGATTTGTCGTAAAATTTTAAAATAAAATATTGTTAATTCCGATATAAAAATGGTATTGCACCTTCAGTCAGAAGCTTAAAAGAAAGTGAAGGAGACATTTCCGACCTACAAATCATATATATTCTTGATCAGCATCAACAGGCGAATCTTTCTAGCTATATCTGGGCGAAAAAATTTTTTTTCAGAAATTTCCCATTTTCTGAAAAAAAGGAAAGGGGTTACATCATGAAAATTTGCAAAATCGGCCAAAAATTCACCCTTTAAATGGAGTATGAGTTTTATTAACCTGCTAAAAATGAACAATGGAACGCTTTCCGAATGGAAATTAATGCATTTTTGGCTTAGTTATGAGATTTTTAAATTTTGATTTGTCGTAAAATTTTAAAAATAAAATATTGTTAATTCCGATATAAAAATGGTATTGCACCTTCAGTCAGAAGCTTAAAAGAAAGTGAAGGAGACATTTCCGACCCTACAAATCATATATATTCTTGATCAGCATCAACAGGCGAATCTTTCTAGCTATATCTGGGCGAAAAAATTTTTTTTCAGAAATTTCCCATTTTCTGAAAAAAAGGAAAGGGGTTACATCATGAAAATTTGCAAAATCGGCCAAAAATTCACCCTTTAAATGGAGTATGCAGTTTTATTAACCTGCTAAAAATGAACAATGGAACGCTTTCCGAATTGAAATTAATGCATTTTTGGCTTAGTTATGAGATTTTTAAATTTTGATTTGTCGTAAAATTTTAAAAATAAAATATTGTTAATTCCGATATAAAAATGGTATTGCACCTTCAGTCAGAAGCTTAAAAGAAAGTGAAGGAGACATTTCCGACCCTACAAATCATATATATTCTTGATCAGCATCAACAGGCAATCTTTCTAGCTATATCTGGGCGAAAAAATTTTTTTTCAGAAATTTCCCATTTTCTGAAAAAAAGGAAAGGGGTTACATCATGAAAATTTGCAAAAATCGGCCAAAAATTCACCCTTTAAATGGAGTATGCAGTTTTATTAACCTGCTAAAAATGAACAATGGAACGCTTTCCGAATTGAAATTAATGCATTTTTGGCTTAGTTATGAGATTTTTAAATTTTGATTTGTCGTAAAATTTTAAAAATAAAATATTGTTAATTCCGATATAAAAATGGTATTGCACCTTCAGTCAGAAGCTTAAAAGAAAGTGAAGGAGACATTTCCGACCCTACAAATCATATATATTCTTGATCAGCATCAACAGGCGAATCTTTCTAGCTATATCTGGGCGAAAAAATTTTTTTTCAGAAATTTCCCATTTTCTGAAAAAAAGGAAAGGGGTTACATCATGAAAATTTGCAAAAATCGGCCAAAAATTCACCCTTTAAATGGAGTATGCAGTTTTATTAACCTGCTAAAAATGAACAATGGAACGCTTTCCGAATTGAAATTAATGCATTTTTGGCTTAGTTATGAGATTTTAAATTTTGATTTGTCGTAAAATTTTAAAAATAAAATATTGTTAATTCCGATATAAAAATGGTATTGCACCTTCAGTCAGAAGCTTAAAAGAAAGTGAAGGAGACATTTCCGACCCTACAAATCATATATATTCTTGATCAGCATCAACAGGCGAATCTTTCTAGCTATATCTGGGCGAAAAAATTTTTTTTCAGAAATTTCCCATTTTCTGAAAAAAAGGAAAGGGGTTACATCATGAAAATTTGCAAAAATCGGCCAAAAATTCACCCTTTAAATGGAGTATGCAGTTTTATTAACCTGCTAAAAATGAACAATGGAACGCTTTCCGAATTGAAATTAATGCATTTTTGGCTTAGTTATGAGATTTTTAAATTTTGATTTGTCGTAAAATTTTAAAAATAAAATATTGTTAATTCCGATATAAAAATGGTATTGCACCTTCAGTCAGAAGCTTAAAAGAAAGTGAAGGAGACATTTCCGACCCTACAAATCATATATATTCTTGATCAGCATCAACAGGCGAATCT